GTCTACCCTTAGATACCTACCTGTCATGAAATCAAGGTATGGTACTGTAGGGCAGGTGACCTAGGCGGTTAGGACCAGTAGAATAGATAAGATAAGCGATCACACTCGATCAGTGATCCTTACTGATTATAAGTGATCTATCACTCTAGCTTAGTGATCTAGAATGATCTAGCAGTCTATATATATAGATGATATCTATACTTAGAAACCTACCTAGATAGCTCTTTAGTATTTAAAGTATCTTATTTAATAAAGCACCTTTAAGTAAAGCTATCTTAGCTATGATTAAGTTAATTATCATTGCTTAGCAGTGCCTATTACTTACTGCTTATATAAACCTATACATCTCTAGTCCTATGAAGTAGTCTTATCTCTTAGGATTAAGGATTATCATACTATCTTAGATAACTCTCTAGTATTTAAAGTATCTTATTTAATAAAGTACCTTTAAGTAAAGCTATCTTAACTATAATTAAGTTAACTATTATTACTTAGTAGTGCCTATTACTTACTGCTTATATAAACCTATATATCTCTAGTCCTATAAAGTAGTCTTACCTCTTAGAATTAAGAATTATTATATATTAAATACTCTTATTTAATTAATAGACTACACTTTAAGTAATACTTATAGAAATTATATTAGGATCTTAATCTACTAATAACATACTCTTATTTATAATAGAATAAGCTAGTACTAAAATCTAGTAACTCTCTATTCTAGTATAGGTCTTATAGGTAGGAGGTACTTAAAGTATAAAGTATGAAGTTCTACTAATATATAGAGAAAGTAAAGAAGATCTCTAAGAATTTCTTATTTAGTATAGAGGATATCTTATAAAGTATAAATCTAACTTTCTATATCTAGATGATTAGGTACTCTTTATAGTAACTTAACTTAAAGAAGAAGCTCTTACCTAGTTTAAACCTATATAGAGGAACTACTTAGAATATCTAAAGAATAATAGAGACCCTAAGGCTTAAGCTATCTTTATAGGAGGCTTTACTATATTTAAGAAAGCTATTAAGGCAGCTTTTAGAGATCTAGATAAGAAATAAATAGTAGAATAATAGCTAATAATACTCTAATAGATAGGATTTATATTTAGCTATATTATTAGGTTTAGATAGGTTTTAAGTTCTCTTAAATAGGAAGATAAATCTTTAATAATTATATTTTATATTAGGCTAAAGGTAGAAGTTAAGAATAAACTTACTAAAATAGACTGATCTAAGAAGTTTGTATAGTATATTATAATTATAGTCTAAATTAATAATTAACTTTATAAGTAATAGATAGAATATAGAGGATAGTAATAGTAGATATATTATTTAAAGATCTCTAACTAAGAAAGAAAAGTAGTATAAGTAAAAGATACTATAGCCTAGAGATCTATATAATATATAGAATCTATAGAACTTAATATTATAAAATAGAATAATAATAAGGCCTGCTATAACTATAGTAAGAAGAGACACTTTACCTATAACTACTAATAGAAAAAGTAAGAGAAAGTATCTAAGCCTATATAATAAGTAAATATAACTTAGAAGGCTAATTATAATAATAAGTACTAAATAATATATTATAATAATACTTATCTAGTATATATCTAAGATAAGAAGGCCTTAGAATAGTTTCTAAAAGCTATAGAATAGCTAAGAGTTGTTATTATAGGAAAAAGAAGGTTATCTAGAAAGAAACTACTTAGGCTAAAGGAATAGAATGATATTCTATTAGGAATAAATAGAATTAGATCTAGAGATAACTTAGATAAAGGATCTAAATTTATATAGAATAGAGATATATACTTAGTAGCTATAGAAGATAATAATAAGTAGATATAGGTATAGCTTAAAGAAAAAGAAGACTAGAGGAAAAACCTATTTACTTCTTTATTAGAAAGTGATAATAAGAGATATAGATAAATAATAACTACTTAATATCATAAAACCAACTGCCTTTACTATAGTATACCACTCTAGGCGGTTAGGAAGATAAGATAGGCAGAAAATATATAGATCCTAAGATCACTGTCTGAGCTAGTAATCTCTTACTATAGATTACTACACTCTATAGTAAGGACTTATAAAGGATTACTATGATCTAAAGTGATCTATTGTCTATATATATAGATATATGTCTATTCTTAGATATCTACCCTAGATAGCTCTCTAGTATTTAAAGTATCTTATTTAATAAAGCACCTTTAAGTAAAGCTATCTTAGCTATAATTAAGTCAACTACTATTGCTTAGTAGTGCCTATTACTTACTGCTTATATAAATCTATATGCCTCTAGTCCTATAAAGTAGTCTTACCTCTTAAGATTAAGAATTATTATAGCTATTAATAACCTCTATAATTAATATTAACTTAAGATTATAAGAAAGAAGGTTAAGAATATTTAAGATAATAGAATATTAAAGATAATAGATTATTATAAAGCTAAAAGCTAGATAGTTATATTATTAAAGTAGGTATTTACCTATAAGTTTAATAATAAAAGATATATTAAGAGATTTAAGATTAGAATTTATATTTAAGAAGACTAATAGCTATTAAATAATTAGAATACCTATATTACTATATTAATAAAAAGATCTTTCTAAATTCTTATAGCTATTATTATAAGATTTAGGCTTAAGATAAAGTAATTAGATATAATTAATATTTTTATTAATACCTATTTTAATAAGAAGATATTTATAAAACTTCTATTATACTTTAAATAGATTAATAAGATTACTTATTTAATTAAAGTACTATATAGCCTATAGATATTACTACTATTATAATAAAAACTTCTTTTAATTATTCTTATTAAAATAGAATTTATCTAATTAATTAAAGAGCTATATCTCTTCTATAATAACTCTATTTTAATATTCTTCTATATTAATAATATTATCTATCTTTATTATAAGAAGGATAAAGCTAAAAAAGAGATCTTTAAAGAGATCTTAATCTACTAATTTAAAATAAGAGATCTAGAGAATATTAAATAGTTCTTAGAAATAAGAGTTATTTAAAGTATTAATTAAAGTTAGATCTAGATCTTATAAGAAGATAAGATTACTAATCTTATTATTAGATATAAGCTTAATAATATAGCTAGAGAGCTAGTTATCTTTATATTAGTTAAAAAGATTATAAAGCTAGATAAGTAAGTAATCTTATTAAAGATTTATATCTATTAATAAAAGATAGAATCTTTAATCTATCTTAATATTATTATAAGACTAAATATTATTAAAGTAATTACTAATCTTACCTATTTTCTTATAAACTCTTTATCTAAAGTAATAAAGAAGATAGATAGAGTTATTTATTACCTCTTAAGAATAAAGAAGTTAGATATTTTATTTAATAGAAATAATCTAGATCTCTTACTTAAAGTCTATATTAATACTTTATTTAAAGATAATTTAAAGAATTAAAAGTTCTTTTAAAGATATCTTATAATATTATTTAAAAGTATTATTAATTAAAAAGTAATTAAGTAAAATATTATTATTATCTTATTGATTAAAATAAAGTTACTTATTCTTATAAGCTCTCTTTAAGAGATTATTATTATTATATAATTTTTTAAAAAGATAATATTATAACTATTAGATTAATTTATTATTTATTATAATAATTATTAAATTATTTATTTAATTAAAAGTAAGAATCTATAACTTAAGGTAATTTTAAAATATATTAATATCTATTATTATTAAATTTAATAAGAGATTTAAAAGAAGATAATAAAGATAGAATATCTAGTTATTAATTAAATACTAACTAATAGGCTAATTAAAATTCTTTTAATTAATAAGTACTAAGAGTTTATTAAGTAATTAAATCTTTATCTCTATCTTATTATTATCTTAAAAGATAATTAAGACTAGTAAAAAGAATAGTAATCTCTAATTATATTAAATAAAAAGAACTTTTAAAGACCTAAAGATATTAAGAAGTTTAAAAATCTAACTAGAAATTAAATCTAAACCTCTTATTAAAAAAGATAGATATCTTATTATTAAACTATTAGAATTACTTATAGAAAGTATTATATTATTATTTTCTATATATCTCTTTCTATTATTATTTAAAAGAAGAATAAAAAGATTAATATTCTTTATAAAGATTAAATCTATAAAATCTTCTAATCTAGTTAATTTAAATAAGAAGTTAATAAATCTAAGAAATATCCTAATTAAAATTATTTAAAATTATATCTTAAAGCTTAAAGATATTTAAAACTTAATTTAAAGATCTAATTAAAATTTAAATTTAAATTTTCTATCTAAAAAAATAGATATTATAATTATTAAATTATTAAATTAATTATTAAAAAAGATAGAAATTATTTAAATATATATAAAATATATTAAGATATATAAGAAAGATATAAGAATTAATAATAAGAAAGAGTAATTTCTATAAAGCCTTTAATTTAATATATATCTATATTAATATCTAATATATAATTAATAAGACTAAAAGTAGCTAATTAATCTTTAATACTAAATAAAATTATTAATTTCCTATTTAAGATATAGAAATAGTTTTAGATCTCCTAGAATTCTAGATTCTAAAGATCTAGAGGGATATATCAGAAGGGGCTAGTCCACTAAGAACAACCCTAGGATAAATTTAGTATATAGAGCTGTCTCTGCCTAACTACACCGCCCTTTAGGGTCACCCCTAAGGGCCGGCGGCCCCCCTGGCGGCCTTCCCCTTTTCTCCCTTAGAATTAGACACCTCAATGAATAGAATTTGATTGATCCGACCCTTAGTTGACAATATCACTCATGTCTTCGCTTGCCAGAATAGACATCCACTCTCATTTCCTGCCTCCCTTCTTTCGGGATGCCTTGATAGAGACTGGCCATGCCAAGCTCGAAGGCATACCCTCCATCCCGGTAAGCTACATCGAGTAGCACCATCCCGTCCTGTGCTTCACTGACCACTGCTGGCAGCCATGGTCCGTTGAAGCCCATCTGGACATGATGAACGCCGCCAACATCAGCAAGGCCATCCTGAGTATCAGCTCGCCGGGTACCTGCCTCTGGGACGACGCAGCCAAGTGTGCCAGCCTCTCCCGCGACGTCAACAGCTACGCTGCGGGACTCCAGGCTGCCCACCCGGACCGCTTTGGCTTCTGGGCCACGTTACCGCTGCCATATGTCAACGAATCCATCGCCGAGATTGATGCGGCGCTCGATGAAGGTGCGGAGGGCTTCGTGTGGATGACCAACTACCGGGGCTACTATCTCGGTGACCCAATTTTTGACGAGGTCCTTAACGTTCTGAACGAGCGGAATGCCACCATCTTTTTCCATCCCACTACCCCGTACACGGCTTGCAGATACGGGGCGGGCTGTGACTGGAGCGGCATCCAGGCAGCACCACTGGCAGACACCTTCCCGAGCCCGCTCTTCGAGTTCTTCTTTGACACAGCCAGGCTCATGACCAACATGCTGCTGCGCGGCGTCTACTCCCGGTTTCCATGCATCACCACCATATTCGCACACGCAGGCGGGGCTTTCCCTCCCCTTCTGACCAGAGTATTGCAGTTCGGCAAGCTCCTGCAGACCTCGCTTCCCGATGGTGTAGTCGTCATCGACGAAGGGGAGGCGCGCGAGATACTGGAAACCCGTTGCTATTTCGATCTGGCGGGATGGCCATTCCCTGGGGAGCTGCCGGCGATGATGAGAGCGACCGGAGTCGCGGAGGACAGGCTGCTGTACGGCAGTGATTTCCCATTCTTCCCGGAACCCCTGGTGGTGAACTTGACCAAGATCATGGATGACGGTCTTGTTACAACTATCGGCCCGGAGGCGGTGGCGCTGGTGCATCGAATCAATGCGGAACGGTTGCTTGGGGCTTCGAACGGTGCTTAGCAGCAACAGTCCTGGTGTTCTTTGGTGGCGAGATGTTGGACAACGAGTGCGGATAATGAAACAAGTGTGATCTTCCAAAGCTAGTGCTGCAATGAAGTCGGGTTGCTGTTGTTTGTGCTATTTTCTTAGGTGTGTTCTCAAAAGCTTCTGAAGTCGGATGACCGGCGTCGATCTTCTCGTTCGTCGGGTGCTCTCCACGCTGGCGATGGTCTCTGCAGGTCCACCATTGCCGGAGGTGATGGCTGGTTCGACGAATCCTCGACTGCAGCAAGCAGTCCTTGTCTCGATCCTCGTCGAGAGTGTCGCTGGGCAGATGATGATATAATAGATGGAGTCTCGCTCACACGCCTGCTCCTCTCGGAAGATCGTCGAATCTCGGACGCGTCCATCTCGACAGGCTCCCTTTGTGCGGCATGATAGCCGCGACCGCTCTCCTCAAGCATGCGGGCCATGTGATATCTTGAATCTCTCTCCGCCCGATTCTGCTTCAACGTGTCATAGAGACTGGCACTGTGATGCTTCTCGTCGTATACGCCCTTATTCTGGCTGGCGCTCCACTTGACGATGCCGTACACGATCGCGCCGAATGCTAGGAAACCGCAGATAGAGATGAGGAGGATCTTGACAGTAGGGGAAAGTTCGGAACCGGCTATATCGCCTGCGGCTCCCGTCGCCGACGAAGCGGTTTCTACTGAGCTTGAAATGCTTGGCATGGTGTAATCGCTGTACAAGCCTGGTCGATACAAGTTCAAAAAACGATACCAATTGAAAACCCTCCGGCCTAAATAGAGATGAAGCTGATCTCAATCCTGCGGGAAGGGAGAAGGAGTGGATGGACGACATTGATAACTGCAGAAATGGCGACTAATATGTTACACAAGTACCTAGGTAGTCCTTCGTAGGATTCACTTCAGGGGTTCTGAGGCAGTGAACAGGGGCAGCTTTGTGTTTCCTACGGCGTTGTTGGTAGCAGACACTGCAGCTTCAATTGCAGGATCAATGCGGGCAGGGATCCTCATGCTCATTCCCCTCGCCCAACAGCGTCGATCACACAGCTAAGCACAGCCCTATCCAGGGGACACAGCCACTCCACCCACCCATTCTTAGACCTACCCGCTGTCAACCTTATTTCATTCCGCTCAGGCACAGACCTTCACCCTTGGCCTCACGATGACGGCGGCGGACCACCAGTGCCGGCACCTCCATCACCGCTGGGAGGGCTCGCACCGCCTCCAGCACCACCGCCGGTCGGGGGACTCGCACCACCGGCGCCGCCGCTGCCGTCCGGAGGCTGCGGGTTCTGCATCGACGTGTCCGGGGGCAGGCTCAGGTCCTCGGACGTGGTGAGCATCTCCTCGAGCGCGCCGAGCACCTGCTCGTACGTCGCGAGGTTGCGCCCGGCCTGCTGCGCCTCGACGTAGGGCCCCGCGGCGGCCTCGATCACGTCGCGCGCCCACTCGCTCGCGCGCCGGCCCACGAGGTCGAAGTAGTCGCGCGAGAAGAGGTCCCACCAGGCGACGAGCCCGTGGGCCCCGGGCACGTCGGCCTCGATGTAGCCCAGCTGCCGCCGGATCTGCTGGCGCACGCGGTTGAAGCGCTCCGCGGCGTGCGGGCGGTTCATGTACTCGAAGACGGCGATGCCCTGGGTTGGGGTGCGTGTCAGTTCGATGCAAGGCAGTAAGTCTGCATATAGATAGTAGTGGAGGGGGACTCACATCGCGGATGGGCGACAGGAGCTCGTCTACCGCGCCCTGGCTGTCCTCGCGGACCGCCACCTCGGCGAGCCGCCTGATTCTGTCGGGCGTGGCCGGTCGCCGCAGGCGCATGATGGAGGCCTTGGCGCCGTTGAGCTGTTTGTCTGTCGGCAGCAAGGGGTCAGGGTAGTCGTACGAGCCCATGCACTCCATGATGCGGTCGTTGGGCGTGTCGGGCGAGATCCCTTGGGCGCTCCCGATTGCGGGCCGGGCGGCCAAGGCTGCGAACGTCTTGTGCCAGTTCGTCTTGAGCCACTGCCCGCCGAGAGCCACGAGGCCGCCCGCCGATGCGCCGGATGGTAGTCTTCCGCTTGCAAGAGTCCGGGTGAAGGGGATCATGACTTGGCGCTGGATGATTGAGGGTTAGATATTTGGGGTTCAAACGAACATATATGTAGAACAGCAGGATCCTCTTACATCAATGGGATGCTCGGCATCCAGCCCGCCCAGGTTCCCTGGACTGCTCCCGCCTCCAACGTCTCCCTCGGTAATGGCAGGACCGGTGCAGTACCCTGCAATGAGCCGGAAGAAGCGCCGAAGCACTCTGGACGCGCCGGGCAGGCCGAAGATCTCGGCGAGGCCGGGATAGGCCACGGCAATGATCCGGATGCCGATATTGTTCCCAAGGTCGACATAGTAGGTCTCGGCGTTGCCGCGCTTCTCCAGGAGGTGCACTGACCTGGGCTCATTTGACGAAGGACTCGATCTCGGTTCGTAGACCTCCAGCTGTTTTTCTTCTTTGTTGTCTCTTTGGCCGATTTCTGGAACATGAACTGCCCGAGATTGGGCTAGGCTGGCGCCCTTCCCCGGGCAGAACTCTGGTATTGTATCACATGGATCTTTGGTGCAGTAAGCGGGCTTTGGAGGTGCCTTGTCAACAGTGCAGCAGGCGGCTTTCTTGCGACCCCCTGAGCGGTAAGAGAGTGGTCAGTCTGGGTGAACGCCTCGAACGTGGATCAAAGTTTTTGTGTCGACTTACACGAACATCCGACAGTGCCCCATTCTCCAAACTGAGCTCGGTCAACCTCAACTTCAGTGTCCTTGCACACTGCGTTGACACAATCGGTGCCCTTGCTGCCAGCTTCCCATCGGCACTTCTTGAGCTGAACCGGCTTTGGGCAGCAGTAGTACTGAGTACCCAGGAAGCAGGCGTCATTCTTGCTAAACAAAGGATCCTTGCCTGATGGGCAGCTCCCTAGGCTACGGAAAGACCCAACGTCAGGTTAATCACGATGAAAGATGAGGGCGTTCATCACCTACCATGACGTGTACTCGCAGCCCTTGGTCACAGTCGCAAAGTCCAGGCTGGGGCAACAAAACACTTTCTCCCCGCGGCCGCATCTGTTTGTGTTTCCGTCGTTCAAGAAGCCGCCTCCCCAGTGCGATTGGATGCCCTTGATGTTGATCTCCCCGGGACCGCACTGGGCATTGCAGTCACTGCCGACGCCACCTCCGTTATCGTCGCCGCGCCATTTGCAATTCTTGGGCGCTGAGACAGTCGGGCAGCAAATGGGCTTACCGCAGTGCTTTATGAAGGCATCCGTCCCATTAGTCTCAAAAAGTGCGTCCTCTCCTCTAAGTGATGCAGTACTCACACAGCTCTTCTTGCCACACCCTGCATCGTCCCAGCCCACGGCTGTGAAACCGCTTCCACACGCGTTAGACATGGCTTTGTTATCGTTCAAGTTGATGCATTTGTCCTTGTAGGCAAAACAGTCCTGGCCGTTCGTTCCGGAGAGGTCCTGAATCAAGGCTTTGGGATTTGCGAGTGCCTTGGCGACATCGTTCAGTTTAGCTGTCGACTGGATCGCTTTATTCAGCAGATCTGCATGTGCAGTATATGCATTGTCGTCTTGGTTACAGTATTAGCTGACAGCCAACCACCATTGTGCATGTCATAGAAGAATTTTGCTCCTTACCGAGATCCGATGCCCAGATCAGAGCGCCGCCTAGGCCAATACTGTTGGCCCAGTCGACCTTTTGCTTCATCGTCTCCTTGTCGTCATACGAAACCCACTGCTTTGGTATCAATACCTGCGAAGGATGGAATCATGAAAGGAGAGTGGTAGATAGATACCTGATCCTTGTCAAACGTCACATACTTGACGGCAGCAGCCTTGTCGTACACCGGCTGCACGGCCCTCTTCCGCTTGCCGCCGCCCTTGAGCACCTCCTGGATCTCGTAGTGGCCCAGGATCCCACCCTCGCCGGTGCAAGGGCCCGGCACCGACGCCCCGCTGAACCGGCACCCGGGCTTGGAGCACGCGGGGTCCGCGAGCGTGAAGGAGCGCCCGTAGAACCCGAAGCCCATGACCAGCTTGGCGGGCGGGATGCCGACGCGCCAGAACAGCTCGGCGGCCAGCTTGATCTCGGTCAGGTTGGTGTGGCCCTGGACGATGCTGCCGATGGGGTTGTCGCGGTCCCAGACGCCGTGCAGGTCGTACGACATGAGGTTGATCCAGTCGGCGTACTTGACGAGGTTGGGCAGGTCGAACCAGCGCAGGTACCAGAAGGACGAGGGCGCCGTGAAGCTGAGGCCGAAGCGGGAGCCGCTGGCGTCGAACGTGCTGCGCAGGGTCTGGAACAGCAGGACGAAGTTCTGCACGTCCTGGGGCTTGCCGCCTCGGTCTGGGGCGCCGGGGTATTCCCAGTCGATGTCTACGCCGTCGTACCCTGCAGGAGGTCAATACTATCCGTTCAGCAATTAGACAAGGGACAACATTTTTCATACCATAATGCTTCATGAACTGGACCAAATTGTTTGCAAAGGTCTTTCGCTTGCCAGGATCCGCGGCAATCTCGCCAAACAGAGGTTGTGTGACAGTGTTGTTATCCGAGAAAGTCCTGTAGCCATGAGCCTTGGAATCACATAATTGACTATCACCGTAACGACATACCATCCTCCAATACTGACAAAGACCTTGAGATCCGGCTTGATGGACTTGAGGTTAGGGACTTCCCGAAACAGACTCTCGGGAGTCTGGGAGTCCATCGGGACGATCTTGTAAGTGCCCGGCTCAATGTAGGCAAAAGCAAAGTTTACGCTTAAAAGTTGTCAGTTCATTGATTCAGGCCTGCAGGCGGTGACTGCCGGGATGCTCACTGGGTAAGTGCATCAATCGCCATGCCAGTGGGCCCAACTTTGTGGCACGACTTGCGAGCGCTCCACGCTTCATAATAGCCAATGACCTTGTTCTGAAGGATATCGCCTATGGCTGAAGCGCCTCCGGGAGGCTTCGGGTGCAGAATGCAGTTGCTCTGGCATTTTCCTTTAAGTGAAGTATTAGTTGGAGTTCTGTCGTTGGGCTCTTATGGGTATGAATCCAAGCGACAAGTACTCACCAGTGCAAAACTCCTCAGTCGTTCCGCACTGGATTGGTCAGAGTCAGCCACGATACCCCATGGTTTAATAGGCTGGCCTCAACTCACAAAGCCAAACTCGCTGCAGCAAGTATTCAGCGGACACTTGGTGCCGGGAACGAGTGCGTCTTTGCCGCACTCGGCGTGGGCATCGCAGTTCGATGTGCATCCTTTCCCACAGTACTACTCCTCGTCAGCAAAACTCTCAAGCCACAGGAGGAGAGTATAGATAGAAAGGGAGATCAAAATACCGTAGCCCCATAGCCGCAATAGCCGCTGGCACCGCAACAGGCTTTATTGCGACAAGGTTTTCCGGGCCCGCAGGTGTAATCGTCTCTGCGGTGCAGCTCCGGCCCTGTCAGGTTCGTGTCTGCCACGGAGCCCACCTCAGAGTCAAAGATTTCAAGAAGGTCATGCCCACGAAGTGGATCAAGCCGAGACGGCAAAATCCGGACATTGGAGCTTCTGAGGAGCGGAACTGCTGACAGAGTTATCAGGGCCAGCAGGGTAAGTATAATGCAAAGTCTGGCTCCCCTGAATAACTGCGCTTTGAGAAAGGCCATCCTTGAGAAGTAGTCAAGATGGGTCAGTAGTTGACGCAAGAGGCCCCGATTGGTAAGTTGTAGTTAGGCTCTGCATGCAAGCAGGAATATTTCTATATAGCTAGCATACCAGTTCTCACGGCAATGATACCCAGCTGCTTACAGCCATGTTCAGGAAATTTGCCAAGGCTGTCCCGGTCATCGTGATGCACCAGCCGGGGGCAATATGAGACCGAACGTAACAATCGCTCTAGAAATAAATTGCACGACAGCCATTACTCTGATGGGCATCGGAGGATTTCGTTTCAAGAGTTTCATCATCATTGAATATTTCCTAAAGAGGCCATAGAGCATCAGCCTCAGATGACATGGTGTGGACGGCATATTGTCCCTCTCATGGTTATGTCCGTCACGATGGATGTTAATCCTCCAATGGAAACGGCTTACTCCTCAATCCAGCGGCACACTGCAAGGGATCCTGCAGGTGATGGGAGATGGAAATTGCGAGATGGTCAGAGGATGTCTGAGTTGGGCATCCCTGGTCACCACCTTGTCTGTCTCTGTTCAACGATAGGGCAGATCGAGTTGATGATGATCGAGGGATGTAAGGATGTATGAGAGAAACTTCCTTGGCAGTCTGATCTACCGAATGAAGGGGGTCAGCACAAATTGTACGCTGTGTCTTAGTGTCCGCATGATCTCCTTATCGTCCACGGGATAATTGCATGTCTCTGACCGCTGTGGGTCAGTGAAACGTTGGTGGTAGTACAGAACTCGTCTAACAATCCCGCAACTAGCTCAAGGCAGTCAGAAACGTTGCATGCTCTTAGTCAAATGTCATTGTCTTCTTGGCGGTAGTCAAGGCTCCAGGGTTAGCGGGAATAGAGTATGTGGCGGTACATAATAGGGGCTCAAGGTTAATCCTAGAGCACTTTGACCGTTGCAAGGAGAACTCAAGGTTGTCAAGCGGGTTGTTATTTGCTGATATCCTACATTATCAAGTAATGCTCGTTTGAAACCCTGGGTATTTTGGCAATCATTGTTCATACTTCTCGTCATGACTAGCAAAATCATTCTCCTTTTCATCTTTCCCATTCTTTCCTGGGCTCAGCAACTGAATGGCACGTATATGAATGTGGACTACCCTGGGTTGAGTGACGGGTGTAAAAAGGCGTTGAACACGAGCGTTGCTTGCCCACTGCTCCTGAGCAACCGGGCATTGAGGTAAGGCCTATACGCTTCTCATCGTCTGTGCAGCAGACGAAGATGCTAATGATAACAAAGCAACAATATCTTGGACCTGGACAGCGCCAAGGCTCTTTGCGTGGACAGCTGCTATCGTTCACTGCAGACTGCCAAGACTGCCATCGTAGCAGCTTGCAAGGCTTCCTCGGACACTATCATATTTAGTGGATCGGCTCAGCCAGCATCATACATTGTGGACAACTATATCCACGCGTTCAACGTGTCGTGCAGAAAGGATGCCGCAACGGGGCAGCTCTGCGAGCCATTTATTCTGCAGTGGTCTCAGCAAGGCTTTATGAGAGCCAATGAGACTTGCTCGGATTGCTGGCTCGGCGGGCGTGCGCTCCAGCTAAATAGCCCTTTCGGCTATGATGAGGTGTTGGCAGAGAATTTTGCTTCTTTGACATCGAGTTGCAGCGTGGCGGGCAAGTACACCTTCACAAAACCGCCAACGACCACCTCTCAGAATCCAGGATCAAGCAGCACGAGTCCACCATCCAGCTCTGCAACTCCGGTGTGCAGGAGCAGCTACAAGCTCAAAGCGCAGGACTACGACTGCAACGCGGTCGCGAAAGCGCTCAAGGTGTCAACGTACACGCTGCTCATAGCAAACGACCTGGATCTGTATTGCCAAAACTTCCTCGCCGCGGTCGACGCGCAGGCAACCCTGTGCGTGCCGGAACAGTGCCAAATTTACACATGGCAGGCGGGAGACTCGTGCGAAAGCGTGCTCGTGGGCCACCCTGGAGTGACCTGGACGCAGTTCCTATCGTGGAACCCCCAGTTCAACAGCCTGTGCGGCAACACTGGCAAGTTCATCGGGTACGAGATCTGCATCGGCCCTCCGGGTGGCGGCCTGAACGCCACTGCGACCTCGCCCCTGCCCGGCACGTCGGTGACCGCGCCCGTCCCGCCGCCGACCAACGCTGCCGGCGGGTCCACGAAGCCGTGCGGCAAGTGGTACACCGTCCAGTCGGGAGACACATGCGGCGTCATCTCGGTCGCCAACGGCCTGACCCTGGACGACTTTTACTTCCTGAACCCGTCGGTGGACGCGCAGTGCACCAACCTGCTGCTCGGCGTGGCGTACTGCGTCGCGCCCGTGGGGGACATCCTCACCTACTCCGGGCACCCGAAGCCGACGCAGTCCGGCCCGTGGGCCACCCTCACCGTCCCGACGGCGTCCTACCCACCCGTTAACACGGAGATAACAACCACGAAGGGAGACCCGGGGTACGTGGCGACGACGTCGCTCCTGCCCACCGCGTCGGGCACGGTGCCCGAGTGCCCCGTGTACCGCAACTTCAACGCCAACCAGAGCGACCTCAACGCCTGCGGCTACGTGGCGTACGCCTACGGGGTGACGGTCGACCAGCTGCAGCAGTGGAACCCGAGCCTCGGCGGAGGCGACGGCAGCGCCTGCGCCCTGCAGAAAGGGTTTAGCTACTGCGTCGAGTCGCCCGGCGGCGGTGGGACGGGCAGCCCGACGACGCCGGACACGTGCCTCGACCTGAACGCCACCGAGCCCGGGACGGTGCAGGGCTGCTCCTGCTTCACGCAGGTGAGGGGGTACCAAAACCGCAGCGGATACACGTGCGACGTGCTGGCGGCCTCGGTGCCCATCACTCTCGCCCAGCTGCTCTCGTGGAACACCTGGCTCGGCAAGGCCACTGCTTCTGTGCAGGACTGTAACAAGGCGCTCTATGCGAACCTTGCCTACTACGGAGTTCGTGCTGTCTGCATTGGAGTGGGGAGCGGCACGGGAGGCTCTTTATCGACGAGCTCGCCAACAAGGTCGTCGACGAGCACCTCTGTCAGTTCAGCTGCGCCGACACAGACTGGAAGTGTGAAGGGGTGTCGGCAGTATTACACAGTGCAGTCGGGTGACTACTGTGAATTAATCCAGACCAAGTTTGGCATCACCTTTCAGCAGTTCCTCAGTTGGAATCCTTCAGGTTTGTCCCCCTTGCGTCTTTCTCATGGGATTCGTGCTGTATGCTAACATCTTCAAAGTTGGAAGCAATTGTGAGAACCTGTGGTTGGGCTATGCGTACTGTGTTAAAGGGCCTGCTTGATGATCAAACTGGTGCTGGAATTTGCATTTGTATTTGATTTTGTGCCCTTGGTAGTTCTGAAATTCATTTTCCGTTGTATCAAAACCTAAAGAGTGATGCTGCATGTGAATTCATTGATGTGCAGGCCATGTGAGTGGCAAGAGCATTGTCGCACATGGACAAAAGACGTACATCAAAAGCAAACTTCTTAGCGCTCACAAGTTCCATTTTCCTCCCATCTACAACTACCAAACCAAGCAAACTCCCGACTTTGTTTAATCCAAACACGCGCACGCGAAATTACACGCGACAGTGTTTGAGACCAGCCATGATATCGCCATCACCCCAGTCCCAGCGCACGCCGCAGTTTTCCACCTGTAATAACACAGCTGACTGCATCGAGCGCGCACTCGTCGAAGATGGGCATCGCGTCTGGGGATTCGTTATATATCGGTGTGCATACGACAACAACACAGACGCTGCTTGGGCACGGCTGCTGCAAGCCCTGCGACGATACGCGCGGGAGACATTGGAGTACTACAAGGGGCTCGACATACTCGACCGCTTTCAGCTCACCGTCGTCGAAGACAAGACCGAGTTCGATGGCGCCACCACGAGCACAGTGAGGCAGCACTTCAGGGAGTGGGCCTCGGCACCAGACACCGTCGCGCACGACCAAGGAGTCGACGGCGCCCAGCCGGGCCTGTCGCAGAGATATCGCTACTGCATACGCGTTGACGCCGAGGCACTGGATCGGATCGCTGCTGCTACAGCCGACCTCGAGGAAGGGGTAGACGACACGGACGACGACATCGGCGACGAGGACAACGAGTGCTTCGTGGACCTCGTCTGGAAGGAATGGGAGCCCTCGGTGCCGGACCCGCGCGAGATGCCCATGGAGGCGATCGAGGGTTGCACGCGGCCTGACGTTGGCTGGATGCGAGTCGGGGTCCGCGGGGCCGTGGTGGAGATGTACGAGGCGCTGCGGGATCAGAATGCGTGGTATACCGAGTATCGACGGCCGTATGAGGTGGTGTACCGTTAAAGCGTGAGATCGCTGGTGGATGGAAGGATGTATTGGGAGACTAGGTCTTGGGTTTGCCGCCGTTCAGAGTACAAGATGGAGGGGATGCGTATGACGCTGTTCACGGGGTACCTTGTGGAGGGATGGCAGATCATGTCTGAGTATGCTGAGATATCAGCTACTGTGTGACGTTTGCTTTTTGTCGATGAGATTGGGCGGGGTAGACTCTCATCATGGTTTCAGTAGGTTGGGAGCCAAAGTCGTACGGGAGATACGGGCAACTTGTCTCGACCAGGTCGACGCAGGGAGCACAGCTGCCGCCCCTGGATTACCTACAGGAACTTCGAGTAATGAAACATCTTGTCACGACTTGCCGTTTTGTTGAGCCAGGTTGGTGTGATGATGGAGTGTGAGAAGATAGACCTGCCGTTCCAAACGGCACATCCAAATGCTGATCTCGATCCTTTCAATCAAAACTACCCTCCTACGTTCGTCGTGTTTTTTTCCCCAGTATGACCAACGTATTGTACCTCTCAGGAAGCTCTTTTACTTCAGGGTTTGCCAAGGCCCTGAACTCTGATCCACCATTTGCTCTCGTGTCTGACAAAGCTAGGCATCGTCAGCTTGCCCATTGCGAAGCGACGTCTCACGCACCTAACTCCATACAAGGCTAAGTAAGGCGGGCCATGACCTGAGGCAGACCATCAAGCTCTCGGCGTGAGCCTGTCCTAGTTGAGACGAGTGAGCAATGGCCTATCGACAGCCCTTCTTGGACCAGTCAGCTCAACGCAATTACTGCTGACGCCGCAATCCGTAGGGCTTACATGATTTCCGCTCCTTCCCTCTGCCTTTCTAAAGACGGCTTGTTGATTGGAGGAGGCCTACATATCGCATTGCAAACCAGCCATTGGGATGACGTAGAATGGTTGGCCCGGACCTTTTCGTGAAGGATTAGACTCCGGGGCCCTGTTGCGAACCTGAGATCGGTCTTGTGAGAAAAGGGTCACGTTGAAGTCCGAGGTGTGGCTGTTCTGTCAGCTGGTATTGGCTTGTGAGTTACACGTAGAGCGCCACTGGTAGGTTGAGCTCTAGGCATTGTCAACCAGTCAGATATATAATAAACATATGGAGTGCTTGTAATAAGCTTCCACCGTTCGTGTTGGTCGATCGTGATTAGTTTTGAATGCCTCAAATTCTTTACGAATAGTCGCGGATGTTCCAAAACTTACCATCATGAGGCTAATCTTCCATCTCATCACATACTGCTCCGTCGTAGTGACGGCGTACTCGCACCACTGGCAGGCCCCCGGTCCAAATGACAGTGAGTCTAGTACAATTATGCAGATAGATGGATAATATTCTCAGGACAAGACGCTGAGCTGTAAACAGGCCGCGCTCCCTGCCCGATGCTCAACACGTTGGCAAACCACGGCTATATCCCTCACAACGGACTCAACGTGTCGAAAGAACAATTCCTCGCTGCCTTTGATGAAGCCATTCACGTCGATCCCAACGCCATTGCTTCGGTTGTGGATCTGGGCTTGACACTGTCCACAACGGGCAACCCGAATACGCTCAACCTGCAGGATCTTGCCAAGCATGGAGGTGAGCGCAAACCATAGCACACACACACACACACACACACACACACAAAAGAAGAAATACCCCAGAAGCTGGCTTACATGACTATCCGACCAGCAATCGAGCATGATGCCAGTCTCAGCAGACTCGACGCCGCTCTCGGAGACAACCTCCACTTCAATCCCCGGGTCTGGGCCGAGACCTCGTCCAAGTTCACCAATAGCATCATCTCGGTACAGGACGCCGCCGCCGCACATCGGTACCGCATAGCGCAGAACCGTATCGAGAACCCGGGCTTGTCCTTCGGGCAGAAGGAGGCGGGCTTCAGCTACCTCGAGACGGCGATCTACATGTCCGTCTTTGGCAATGCGACGGGCATAAACGTCCAGCGGCGATGGGTCAAGACTTTCTTTGGTAAGTACCGAGGCGGTTGAACTTCACACAGCATGTACGGCAGCTACTAACTTGCATAAAACGCAGAGCATGAACGTTTGCCCTGGGAGCAGGGTTGGGTCAAGGCCACGATTCCTATCGTTAGGGAGCATGTCGACAATCTGATTGCACAACTGGTAGCGGATGACAATGCAAACAACGAGATGTAAATTTGGTTGATTCAGTTGCAGTCAGAGAGAGCGCTTAGGGGGGAGTACGTGAGGTTTGGAGACGAGTTAAATCGGAATATATTCGCCGTTCGTAGGCAACTCCCGTGCATACAATATATCGTTCAAGCTACCTACGCGGAATATCGCGAGAATTACCAGGCTCTGACTATACACTATCGAGCAAAAGAGTCTCACCCTCATAGAGTGCAAGCTGCAAGAGCTAAGGATAACATGGCCTCCCAATCAGCGGCTCACAGACACCAAATCAAAAGCGGCTCTCGGCCACCAACAAGCCAAGCCAACCTGTTCCAGCTCTTTTCTCGCCAATAATACCACCACCCGACAGACATTCAAGGCGACGCAGGCGGGCTCTCCCCCCGGGTATCGGGCATCCACCCCTTAGGTCGCTCGCTACCGCGGACTTTGAGCCCGTACCCCAGGCGCTCCACCTTCTTGACCGACGTGCGCATGACCTGCATCTTGCCGTCCCAGCTGCGGTCGCCGCGCTGCGGCAGCATCTCGAAGAAGCTGCCCAGCTCCTGCATGTCGGCGACGATGGTCCTGCCACCGCCGCCGGCCAGCTCGCCGTTGAGCGCGGCCGTCGTCGTGGCGAAGCGCATCATCTCGCCCGACAGGTCAAAGGCGCCCATGACGAAGTCCTCGTCGGTCAGGTCGATGCCAGGTTTGGCCTCGTCCACGTCCATGGCTTCGCCTGCTGACTCGGGCTTGTCTTCTTCTGCGGGGGCTTGGTCAGGTTCGTCAGCTGGCAGGACGGCGGTGCAGAGTTCGTGCAGAAGCGTCCTGGCCTCTGCCACGTCCATGAGGCTCTGCTGCCGGAGGTAGTGCGCAAAGGTCACGGCCTCGACGAACTCCTCGATGCAGCTCATGCTGCGGGCGTACCGCCAGCGGTTGATGCCCTGGACGTCGGTGGCGATGGTAGACAGGTGCTTGGAGATCTCCTGCAGGCGCGTCTTCATGTCTGACTCGACGTCCTTGGGGAGGTCCGGGTCGATGGACCGGACCCTCTGTAATGAGAAAATGCTAGACGCCAGTGAGTTGAGGTAGCTCTGGTGGCAGACTTGAAAATGGGTGAACGTGGCCTACATCTTCTTGCTCAAAGCCGTGACATCTCTGGACACCTTGACCACGCGCTCCCTGCGGTCGTGATGCTCGTCGAGCTCGTCCCGGAACCGCTCAAACATGGACGTGTAGGCATTGCGTGAGATCTCCCTGGACTGCTGCGGCTTCTTGGCATTGCCGTCACGGTCCCTCTTGAGGCCACCGCCGCCGTCACGCCTGGGCTTGGAGTCGGGCCTGTCCTGTCTCGGCGCCGCCACACTGGCCGTACCCTCCATTTTGTCACTGTATCGATGCTGTGGTCGAGGATCAATTCATGTGACTGCCTGCATAGGAGGGAGCTTTGGCGGATAATGGAGGTTATCGATGTCGTAAAACGATGCTGAAGGTTGATAATTTTAGTGGGGAAGGGGCACCTGGATTGGTGCGCCAGGCGGCAGGACCCGCTCCCCGCAACTTCGATTCTAGGGGTTCATTTTAGGTACATGACAGTTCTCATCTTGCTCTTGATGATTCTCATACTTGGAGGCTTGCATCAAGGGGCGAACAACGGACTGCACATTGCGACTATAGAAGAGAAGAGCAGGGACAGGATATTTGAGGTCGTTTTCGGGTTCCTGAAATTGGGGATTGAACGTGCCTGAGCCCGGCCGACGGCACCGGAACCCACATGCGCGTCGCCGCGTCGTGTGAGATGCATCGAGGTTGATACCAAGGCAAAGCTGCCTCATACAGCCCATATTTCCATCCAAGACCTCACAAGATCAAACCCTTCGATACGAGCCACATCCGCCATGGCTCCCAAGGCACCTTCCACCGCTTCCTCCCCCTCCTCCCCTTCCCACTCCCTCCTCACTGCGTTCTTCTCCCGCCCGTCCCCAGTCTACATCTCGGCCGCCGTCCTGCGGCTCGTCCTCCTGCTCTACGGCCTCTGGCAGGACGCCAACTCGCCCCTCAAGTACACAGACATAGACTACCTCGTCTTCACCGACGCCGCGCGCCTCTCCGCCGCGGGGGCGTCCCCCTACGGCCGCGAGACCTACCGCTACACCCCGCTGCTGGCCTGGATCCTCGCGCCCACCGCCCTCGGCGACCCGGCCACCCCGCTCGGCGTCGCGCTCTTCGCCTCGGGCAAGGTGCTCTTCGCCGCGGCCGACCTCGTCGCCGGCTGGCTGCTCGTGCGGATCCTGACGACGTCGTCGTCGGCCGAGGGCCTGGGTCCGGGTACGACGAGGCTCATGCCGCCCGAGAGGGCGAGGCGGTTCGCCGCCATATGGCTGCTCAACCCCATGGTCGCGACCATCAGCACGCGCGGCAGCTCCGAGGGCCTGCTGGGCGCGCTGGTCGCCGCGCTGCTGTGGGCCGTGCTGCGCCGGCGCGTGGCCCTGGCGGGCTTCCTGCTGGGCTTCGGTGTGCACTTCAAGATCTACCCCTTCATCTACGCCCCGGCGATCGTATGGTGGATGGACGACGAGCGGATGGGTCGGGCCGGCGCCGCCGCCGCCGCCAAGGACGGGAGCCTGCTCGCTGTGGTCAAGAAGTTCTGCAGCCCGGCCCGGGTCCAGCTGGCCGTCGTGAGCCTGGCTACCTTCCTCGGGCTGAACGCGCTCATGTACTCCATGTACGTCTGCCATCCCCTCCCCTCTCCCTCCCTGACATGCGATGCTAACCTCCGGGACCGGAAAAAGCTATGGCTTCCCCTTCCTCCAGCACACCTACCTCCACCACGTCACCCGCATCGACCACCGCCACAACTTCAGCCCGTACAACATCCAGCTGTACCAGGCCTCCTCTCCCGCGTCGCTACTACCGGGCCACAACGGCAGCAGCCTCCCGCGCGCCGAGTCCCTCGCCTTCCTCCCGCAGCTGCTTCTCTCAACCTTGCTCATCCCCTTCGTCATGGCCAAGAAGGACCTGCCGACCACCATGCTGGCCCAGACCTTTGCCTTTGTCACCTTCAACAAGGTGTGCACGAGCCAGGTGAGCGCCTCTCCCCTCTCACTCCTCTCCCCTCTCACTCCTCTCCCCTCTGGTCCCTCTCTCTCTCCGTCTTCCTCACTCTCAATAAGAAAAAAAAGCACACCGCTGACTGACTGACTGATGGGGCGGGCAGTACTTCCTCTGGTACATGGTCTTCCTGCCGCTCTACCTCCCGCGCTCCTCCCTGCTGCGCCGCCCGGCCCTCGGCTGCGCCGCCCTGGCCCTCTGGGTCGCGTCCCAGGGCGCCTGGCTGCAGCAGGGCTTCCGGCTCGAGTTCCTGGGCCGCAGCACCTTCGTCCCGGGCCTGTGGCTCTCCACGCTGGCCTTCTTCCTCGTCAACTGCTGGATCCTGGGCGTCATTGTCGGCGACGTGGCCGAGAAATGAAAGAAAAAATGACACCCAAACCAGGGGTTTTGTGGAAAGGGAAGAGAGGAACGGGGAATGGGTCGGGGTTTGGATACACGGGTTGCTACCCGCCCCCCCTTTGTATAGAATGTACGCCGGGGAAACATATAGAGCACCTGGCGTCGCTGGATGGGGGAGATCACGCTGGTGCATGACGGCGGCTCCAGACTTGGATAGACAAAAGCACAGGTTCGCAGAAGCAAGTGCGCGTTTTCAGACGCAAATGGTTCTCGTCATTATCCCATTCTCACAGGTCTAGCTTTCTTCAGTCTAATTCATCGAGCCACTCTCACAAAGCCCCCAGCCGCTCTTCCAAGCAAAGCTCTGGCTCACCCCCTTCTCCTGAGACAGGCAAATGGATATATCACCCCCAACAAAGATACCCAGGGACAAAAAAAAATGCCCACAGACCAAACACAGGAGCAAAAAGGCAGGATGTTGGTATCAAAACCGCAGGGGAATAAAAGACAAAAACACACTGCCAACGTCGTTTCCGAGTAATATAGCGACCAGAAAGAAGGCCGCAAGACAAACTGAGGAGGGTGTCGAGAGCGAAACGCAAAAAGGGACACGCTGAGACCAAGTCCGCTCTACCTTGGGGGGAGAGGTTTCCGAATATGAAACAGAGTTCCCCCAGCAAAGACTCCAGGAAACCCTCCCACATTTGCTTTTTGCAAAAACAGACCTGGAGTAAGAGAAATAATCGCAAGAAAGAAAAGAAACTCCGGAATCCGTATCGCCTTTCGTGATGAAGCCATCCGCCCCCCTCGTTATGAGGAAAATCCCTGCAAATATCCGTGTACGCCTTTGCCTATATGTCGTCGTGTCCTCGTGTATGTGCTGATTCTCTTTCTCCTTCTTTCATCGAGCCGCGTCTCGGGCATATCATTTTGTTTCCCTTCAATGCCTACCGCTCGCTGACCTTCTTGCCTGCCTGCCTACCTGGCAACACCGCTCAGTTCACTACTGCTGCTGCTGCTGCGGCGACGGCACGATGTGTATCCCGCCCGCCAGCAGCGCGTAGTTGCTCAGCTTCAGCGACAGCACCCTCTTGCGCGGGAACTCGGGCACGCAGATGCGCTGCCCGTCCTTGACCGTCACCACCTCGCCCCACATCTCCGACAGGTCCTCGAACCGGGCCGCCGGGCGCACCCGGCCCAGCTCGCTCACGATGGCGTCGCTCCAGACGCCCGAGCACACGCCGTCGCTGCGCATCAGGAAGTACGGGTTCAGCGGCGGAGCAGGCGAGTCTTTTTTGTATTTGAAAAAAAAAAGTCAGCAATACTGCCCCATCAACACCAATCTTTGGAGGAGAGAAAAAAGAAAGAAGAAAAAAACTCACCGAGATCCACATATCGGATCCGCATGTACTCGAGCCCCTTGAACCGCTCGAGCGCCCGCACCCCGGCCAGCACGAGCGCCTCGAACGCGGCGATGAAGCCCATGTCCGTGATGCCGGAGCCGGACTCGCTCCACTGCGCCACGTGCCGGCAGCAGTTCTTGACCACGAGGTCGACGCTCTTGAGCCGCGCGCACCGCGGGTCCGCCAGCCGCGCCGCCGCGTCGAAGAAGCCCCGGCACACGCGGCCCGTGAACGACAGGTGCTCGAGCGCGGGCGCGCACTCGGCCAGCCGCAGGCAAAAGTGCATCTCGTTGGCCACCTTTAGAAAGTAGGGCGGGAAGGACAGCTCGCGCCGGTAGTCGCTCTCGAGGCACAGGTGCAGGCTCGTCAGGTCGAGGGGCAGGCGCGGCAGGACGGCCGCCATGCTGAGGTACGTCTTGGACTTGGGCTTGCTGTACGAGGCGTGCCACTCCTTGAGCTGGGGCAGCGCGGCGGCGATGTGGTCAAAGTCGTCGGCGTCGCGGATCAGGTTCCACTGGCCCTTGCACACAAGCGTGCGCACACTGTCGATGCGCGGCAGGGCGACAGGGTGAGCCGGATACGAGGTGTTGTTGTTATTGGCACCGCCGCCGAGGGGACGGGAAAAGTGCCGGACCATGGGCGCCTTTTTCCGCTCGCCGCCCTCGAGGGTCAGCACGCGGACCTCGGGGAAGGTGCTGCCGACAAAGTAGAACGTCTCCTCCAGGGAGCAGTTGTCCTGCGGCAGCGTGTACAATGGGCTCGTGCCGTCGGGCGTCATGGTGGGCAGCAGCTCGCGCCACGCCGGCGACCACCACGACGCCGCCGAAGCATGTGACGACTGCTCGCGCTTGGCCTGGAAGACGGGGAACCAGATCTCGATGTGCTTGACGTAGAAGCGCATGTGCGGGTTCTCCGCAAAGAAGATGAGCGCCTCGCTCAGCGACTCGTGGGTCGCCTTGAGCTTGATGTGCCTATAGAGCCGGTCCTGGATCAGCACGCGCCAGACGTTACTAACGAGGGCCAGCTCGGAGAGCTCCCGCCTCCTGGAGTGCCGCAGGGCCGTGGCCCAGCTCTTGGTCACGCTGTTCATGCCCATCGAGCTCTTGGACGCGGTCGACACCCGGTAGCCGAACAGATGGTCTAAGATGCACTCGTGAATCTCGGCGGGGAGGTCATTGAGGTTTAGACGGGCGCTCTGTCGCTGATCCGCGGTCGTCGTGGGTGAGGAGGGGCACAGCTCCATGAGGTCATCGCCGTCGCTCGAAAAGTGTGAGTGCGGGCAGGAGCACCGCAGGTCGTCTGTCCGCTGTTCTGGCTGGGGGAAAGGTGTGCTTTTGGGCCTCGCCGGCGGCACGAAGGACTGGGTGTGGATCTGATCGAGGGGAGGGCTGGAGGGGCCGGGCGAGACGGGGTTAGAGGCCGTCGTCATGATCGACTCCAGCTCGATCTTGGCCTCGCCGTCGTCGGGCTGGTGTATGGACGCCGGCCGCTGCGGCCGGGCCACGGCTGTGTCGAGGGATAGAGGAAGGTCATGATGCTCGTCGTGATCGTCCGGCGTCCTTGAGACGGCGTCGCGCAGCGACATAGTGTTGTTTTTGGTATGATGGAAAGAAGAAAGATGCGTTATCGGTCAGGTAATGTGATTGGGCACCATGGCAGACAATCGAGGAAGAGAGAGGGGGAGAGAGGACCAGGTTGTCGTGGCTCGCAGGAAGGAGAGAAAGGATCGCTTGGTGTGTGAGGAGAGGCGAGGGCTCGGATGGCTGGCTGTACCGATGGTTGATAGTCGGTATGCTTGTTCACGGACGGCTTCTTTGCTTTGGAGATATCACTTGGACTGCTGCGGAATCAATCCTCGTTGTGTAGGCTCGCGTGAGGAGTTCGAGGGAGTTGTGAGCAGATAACGGTATCAGCTATCCTGGTTATCTGTTTATCTGGGACTCGGCTCGTGCCGCCAAGATGGCGAGGACTATCGCCAAGTGGTGGGTATCTCTTCGAGTAGATGTGAACGGTGATGCGGCTCGTGGCTGGTGACAATGTCTTGGGCTGGTGATCGGGTTTATGTGTCGTGTGTCGTGTGTCTTGGGTAAATGTTGGTGGTGGTGGTATCGCAAGTGTTGGGCAGCCCAGATTAGACTGGATAGGCTCCCGTTATCAGCAGAGTGCGGTCTCGAATTGGTGGTGTGGTGGTGGTGGTGCCGCGCCCGCAAGGTCGACTCTTTTCAGCGGCGGCTGGCAGAGTAGAACCAGCAGGACAGTAACAAGTGGTCGGAAGATTTGGGCGTCGACACACAAGAAAGTGGACCTGGTCACACAGAGGATTGGGAGGACCGAAGAAATTGTAATTATCCAATCTCGAAAGAGGGGGAGAAAGGGAGAAGGCCTCCCTGCGTGTGTGTGTGTGTGTGTGCTGTGTGTTTGAGACAAATGTCCTGCACAGCCGCCAAACATCTGTTCTTTTTTAGCAATCTCATCTCTCTTACAGTCTGATGGCTAATAAGTAGACGCCGCCCTCCACGTAATCCTGTTTCTCCTCTATCTTCCCTTTTTTCCTTGATTCTCGGTATCTCTACTCCCTCTTCTCGACTGCCTTCAAGGTTCCGCATTTCCACGAGGGTACCATCTGGGACCAGTGCTCCGACTACTACCGGTGCTAGTGAATCATCATCGAGCTGAACCGAAAGGGATCCCGTTTTGTCTTCACTGGGTACGAAGCGCGTAAATTGACCGCATGAGCCACCGCGCGATAGGTGGGGTCCAATGCTGTCAGGTCATTTACAGTGGAGAGAACCCTGCAGCCCAGGCTGACCTTAGTTACATTGGCGTCATAAGAGAAAAAAAAGCTGGAGCCAATTTTGGTCTTGGTCTTGGTCTTCGTCAATTTTTTTTTCTTTTATTTATTCGGGGATCCCGTCAATCTTCCAGGGGGGACTCTCGCTCGGCAACATGTGCGACGCAGTATGTACTTGAAGCGAGATCCGGCAACCTGGTGCCCCTCTGTGGCTTTGTTTCTGTGTTTTCGCATTCCTCACTTGCATTCCTTCTGGCTCGTTCGTGGCGGTCCGTACAAGTACAGGTAGGCAGGCACGTTATCTTATCGCGCAACCGGCGGCATTCAAGCCAGAAGAGTGACGGTGAGGGACCCTCGCTCCTCACCAAGCGACGAATCAGCATTACAAAGGTACCCAGGTACTTTGAAGGCGACACATGGACGTCGGCCCTCTCAAGCATCCTGATCCTGGACTTCAGCCCTCAGTATTTCAGGTTTTTCTGCCCTCCACCGAGGAGTACGAAGTATCCTATCCCAGCACGTAAAGGGCGCCGATCCAATGCCGGCACTGAGGAGAATCCACCCACCATGGCACTTCCACGAGCAACACGTAGCAAAAAGGCAGCAAAAGGGCGGCGATCTCGTTGCCGTGTTTCCCCCAGCGCCCACTCGATCAAGAAAAGCTGCCTTGTACCGGCCCAAGTCCACACTAAATCCTACCCAAAAGGATGCACAGCCCACAACCTGCCCATTCCTTGGGCATCAGGCCAGGTTTCTGCCAGCGAGGGGCTTCCACCCAAAAGCTTAAACCAGGATCCTCAATGTCCAGCATTTGCCAATCGTATGGCACCTATTCACATGATTTGCTACACGGGAGATGCTAGCAGACATGGAACCCCCTTCAAATGCCGCTACCTACTTGTGGGTCTGCCGGGCATGTCGGCTCCTCCCGGAAACAGAATGTGGACCATGTACTGCCGATGACAACTTGCCAAAAAGAGGAACACCATATCAACTACTTACTTAACCTAGTATGATACCTAGAACAGTCTTCATTGACTGCTAGACACTAGAGTCGTATGCTTTGGATTCAGCATACATCGCCAGTCTCTCTCACTCGATGCCGTAAACCCATCGTCTGCCAGTTCTTGGCGTGCGCGCACAGCTCAAAATCGAATAGCGTGGCGGCGATACGGCCGGTCCGATAGTCAGGAACCCAGGCTGTGAACAATCCAATATTCAAGTTTGAGCCAGTGAACACACTTAAATCGCTCATCATGCCGGTGCCGGCGGTGCCCAAGGAGCGTTAAAGGAAATAGCAAGATTATGGTCTTGGTCTGTGTGGCTGTGACAAAAGATTCATTCACATCTCTCATGTTGCTACTCGTAAATATACACACCAAGTCCCTCTCAGAGGAGGACTCAACATTAGAAGACGAAGGAGAAAAAGAGAAAAAGAGCACGTATCGCCCATCTCCACTGGCAAAAAAGACTTCCCGAGTTCGATTTTCCTGTCCTCGGGGAGGGCCGAGACCATCCCCTCGAGGTGGGCTCCTTATGCCTCGTCAGCAAGCTGAAAAATCGTGGCGGAACCCAGAATCGAACCCGGTAGTGTCTTGTCAAGAGAATCACTTTCTCGCCCATGGGGATGGCAAGTCGGATCTTCTCTCCGCAAGCAGGCGCTCTAACCACTGAGCCAACCAACCAGTCTAACCCGAAGGCTGGGAGGAAGAGCTGCTTTGGGCAATCTTAAGGGGTTATCACAAATTCTACATCAGCATCACTTCTTGCTTAGACTTTGAAACTGAAGACTTCATGAGTCGTGTCACGTTCGTGTAGCAATCTTTCCATCCTAGTAAAGATGACCCCTCCCTAGGTCATTGTTGCGGTGACAGATCTGCTGCGGTCGCCCGCCCATCGAGCAAGAAACAAAGTCAGGGGAGCTATTGTACCAACCATTCTTGTCCTGGTGGCAAGGGTGTTGTCTTGATTGCAGGCGGTACATCCTCAACTTCGCGGAAAACATCGCGCCCAACCCGTTCACGCACCATCTCGTCTTCAAGAAGTTGAACCTTCATCTCCAACTTGACAATGAGTCGGGCATCTGCGCTCTCCAATATGGTCACTAGCAACCCACTATAGAGAGCCCCCTCGTTTCCTAGAGATGTCTGAAGTATGATCGCGAGAGATTTGCACAGGAGGCCAGAAAAATTGTGTACGAGGCCACGGGATGTACGTAAGACGTAAGTGTTTCCGTGGCATTCGATGCGCGTTCTGGACCGTGGCTGGAGATCAAAGTCCTTCCCTGGCTTCCCTTGAAGTACCATGCCCTCCGAGGTAACAATGAGGCCGTCGTCGCTGACGGTGGCAGGCGAACGCACCAATGTGAGCAACCAATCTTCTTGGCTGCCTCCAAGGAATGTCAACGGCATCCATCGGCGGCCTGGCTGTTGGCTCTTTTTCCTCGAAGTAAATGCTATGGCCGCCGGGACTGAGGGGAGCATCTTGAGGAATGCATGCATTCTTTCCTCTGCGCTGTCATGCTCCAGAATGGGGCCTGGGTCTATCCCCAGGACCCCAGCTAGACAAATGGTTTCGTCCTTGAGTTTGCTTGTCCACCTGTAACCAAGTTCATCAAGTAACATCAGAAAATGGAGTGGAGTCTTGTCTTCCTCGGCAAGATCCCGAGGTACCAGGGCGTAGATCGCGCCCAGAGCCCTTGTTGTGAGCCAGCCTGCCATGCTGTTCTCTACGTAGTGAGCCCGCGGCAAGTCGTTGTGGCGCATCAAATATTCGGACTTCCGCAAACCATCTTCCAACACTACCAACTTCGCGATGGTGGTGAGGTTGGCCACCATATCTCCAAACTGAAAGGTTAGCTCCTGAGCAAGACGCGACTCGGAAAAGGTCCACAAGCGTTTAGCCCAAGTGGATGCCCTGATAGCCATAATGAGCTCGACTGCATCTGCTCCCCTGCATGTAACTTCAGCAAGAGTGTCGTCAAGGACAAGGACTGTCACAGCGCACGAGTATACACTGCCCATAGCTCTGATTGCAGCCTCGCGAGTCTCCCTTGCCAGAGGAACGCACAACGTATCGAGCCAAAAGGGCACGGGACCGGTGCTGTCTGGGAAGAGGCCATTGACCAGTCCTTGCAAGCGCTGAAGCTGGCATTGGGGGATCGCGTTTTGATTCGGATTGCCTAAACCGCTGAGGATGCCCAAGCACGTCAAACAAGGATCAAGGCTTGTGTGTAATTGGAAACCTACTCGGACCACACATGAGAGATCGCAACATAGTCCAGATCCGCATTTTTCTCTCCCCTCTTAACTAAGGATTTGTCAGTATCAGTATCGCATGTGGGCTCATGAAAATGCCAGTGACATGGACACACATACTGCTGGACGCTTTTTTGGTGCCTACAACCTTGATGCCCGACCTGTCTGAAATGATGAGGGGTATTCGTCCCTGATCCACGATATCTGACACCGTTGAATCCATCGTCGACTCGCTGAATGCCATGTCACAGTTTTGACCATTGCAGTCACCGCAGTGCCTTGTAGTATAGTTCGCCTCGTCGATAGTCTCCTTCCGGCAACGCTCACCGTACTTGCATTGGCGATGTTCTAGTCCATATTTGGAGGCCCGACGATCCCTCAAACTCCAGTAGTAGAGTTCTTCTTCCGTTATGCTCGAATTTGAAATGAGAGCGCAGACCTCGCTAGGACACCATCCCGCTTTCAAGAGTCGCCCTATTACCCATTGAGTGTCTCCCCCCACAATGTGATGTTCCCTTAGTTCGGAGGACGCAGAATATGTTACCAGTGCAAGAGTTCTGGAGAGCTCAGTTGAAAGGAATGTGATGGAAACGTAGATTTGCTCGAACAGGGATTGGGGTGGGGGTGGGCCGACAAATAAAGATCTCTCATGCTGTCGAACTCGTTTTACTTTCTGACCCAGACGAGCCAACGATGTCTGGAGCCGCGACATTTGGCTTGAGGCGCTGGAAACGAGAGCGGCTGCTTCGCTCGTAATTCCACCCTCTGCTTTGTAATATTTTCCCCGTAGCTGCGCAATGCGAAATTGAAGCATCCTTGTTGTGATGAATGATTGTGTCAAGCCGTTGATCTCCTCTTGACGGACGAGCTCCTCCTTGGACACGGCGACTCCGAGACCGTTGAAAAACGTTGAGTAAGTCTCGAAGAACAAGTGATGCTGCCATGAAGAAAGTACCATCTCAAACACGTCCTTGTTCCTGGCCACCAGGAGGCTCAGGGCGAGGTGGTCGCTGAAATGTTGATAGAATACGGCAAAAGGATCGAAACTCGGACGGAGAGGGTGACCTCCTCGGACGGGTACCAGACATGGGATGGGCCCAAGCGGATTATACGGGTTCTGAGGGGATGGGAGATGGTCCATTGTGAAGACAGGGGAATTGTTCTCGAGTCCAAGGCCAAACGGACCTGGCGTTGAAAGAGTGTGAGCGTTGGGCGAACTGCCCAATTTATTCAGTCCCGTAGGTAGTGCAGTGTGCCTTGTCTGCCTACGACAAGGCTGGGCTAACTCTCATGTCGTTGGCAGTGCAGCATGCATAAGCCAGTCGACAATCCAGCCAATTGGTATGAAGTTCTCACGCCTTGGCAGATAACAGACATCTCTACTAGTTGCAACGCGTGGCGGGCACTGATTTACTCTGTGATAGGGTCTGAACGAGGGTCAAATATTGGCTTCAAATGCTGAGATACTCTAGTCGACCTACATGCAACCTGGTATCTAGATGGGTACGCTATTGACGAAGTCGGAATGCAAGGCTGTGACATTTTACAGTGGTCAAGATCTCTTTCCAACGTTTCATATCCTCGGTATTTTCAACTCCTCGATCAAAGACTGACTGTCCCTGTAGGGCCTTGAAATCATTTGCACAAATTTGCACAGAAGCAATGCTAGATGTTCAGCACGATTCAGGAACGCCCGCCAGCTTTCGTTCAGTGGGGCGGGGCATCTTGCTGGGGTGGGGTTGGCAAGCAAAATATGGAAAGGGACGGCGCCCATGTTTCGGTTTCAGATCGCACATCAAAACGCCCCTTAAGCGACCAATCCGCTGCGAGCATCGTCTCCCAGCGCTTCTGTAACTTTCCGAAATCACTCTTGTTTCTTGTCGTCGCTCGATGTCCAGCTCTGCCCTTGCCCAGAAAGTCGCATCCTCAGGGGAGATCTCAGACAAGGCCCTGCTCTCTAGCGCGTACAGCTTCTCGCCTAGACTTGACCTGACATTCGATCGCTTGCAGGCATTCCCTCCCATCCCCATCCCCGTCCCCCCAAGCAGGCCCTTCCATTTGCTCCTTCTAGGAGAATTGCGCTTGATCTAGAACAAGCACCGATCGAGACCTTCCTGAGACTCTGGCCCCGCCGGCGGGCGACACGGCCTGTAGCACCGTGGTATTCGGTCGGTTTCGAACTGGCACCACTGAGCACGCCGCTCTGCGCCAAGGCTGGCAGCTGGCCTAGCATCTTGGGCAGTAGGGGGAAATTTGGCCGTGGACGGCGGTGCTGGCGACGGACCTATCAAGGACACGCACTGCGCCCAGCAGACAGCTCAAGTTGCAAGATGAAAAGGTGTCAACTAAGGGTCGGATCAATCGAATTCTATTCGTTGAGGTGTCTAATTCTAAGGGAGAAAAGGGGAAGGCCGCCAGGGGGCCGCCGGCCCTTAGAGGTGGCCCTAAAGGGCGGTATGGTTGGGCAGAGACAGCTCCACATACTAAATTTGCTCTGGGGTTGTTCTTAGTGGACCAGCCCCTTCTGATATACCCCTCTAGATCTCTGGAATCTAGGATTCTAGGAGATCTAAAGCTATTTCTATATCTTAAATAGGAAATTAATAATTTTATTTAATATTAAAGACTAATTAGCTATTTCTAGTCTTATTAACTATATATTAGATATTAATATAGATATATATTAGGCTAGAGGCTCTATAGAGGTTATTCTTTCTTACTATTAACTCTTATATCTTTCTTATATATTTTAATATATTCTATATAGCTTTAAATAGCTTCTATTCTTTCTAATAACTAATTTAATAGTTTAGTAATTATAATATCTATCTCTTAAGATAGAAGACTTAGATTTAAACTCTAATTAGATATAGTTTTAAATAGTCTTAGCTAGGGTATTTTTTAGGTTTATTAGCTTCTTATTTAGATTAACTAGACTAGAAGATTCTATAGGTTTAATTCTTATAAAGAATATTAATCTTTTTACCCTTCTTTTAAATAATAATAGAAAGAGATATATAGAAAATAATAATATAGTACTTTCTATAAGTAGTTCTAATAGCCTAATAGTAGGATATCTACTTTCTTTAATAGAAGGTCTAGATTTAATTTCCTATTAGATTTCTAAATTTCTTAATATCTTTAAATTCTAAGAAGTTCTTTTTATTAAATATAACTAAAGACTACTATTCTTTTTACTAGTCCTAATTATCTCTTAAGATAATAATAAGATAGAGATAAAGATCTAACTACTTAATAAACTTCTAGTACTTATTAATTAGAAGAATCTTAATTAGCCTATTAGCTAGTATTTAATTAATAACTAGATATTCTATCTTTACTATCTTCTTTTAGACCTCTTACTAAACCTAATAATAATAGATATTAATATATCTTAAAGCTATCTTAAGCTATAGATTCTTACTTTTAACTAGATAAATAGTTTAATAGTTATTATAATAAATAATAAACTAGTCTAGTAGTTATAGTATTATCTTTTTAAAAAATTATATAATAATAATAATCTCTTAAAAGAAGCTTATAAGAGTAAGTAACTCTACTTTAGTAGATAAGATAATAATAATATTTTACTTAACTACTTTTTAATTAATAATACTTCTAAATAGTATTATAAGATATCTCTAAAAGAACTTCTAATTCTCTAGATTATCTTTAAATAAAATATTAGTATAGACTTTAAGTAAGAGATTTAGATTATTTCTATTAAATAGAATGTCTAGCTTCTTTATTCTTAGAAGGTAGTAGATAACTCTATCTATCTTCTTTATTACTTTAGATAGAGGATTTATAAGAAAGTAGGTAAGACTAGTAACTACTTTAGTAATATCTAGCCTTATAGTAATACTAAGATAGATTAGAGATCCTACCTTTTATTAATAGATATAAATCTCTAATAAGATTACTTACTTATCTAGCTTTATAATCTTCTTAACTAATATAGAGATAGCTAGCCCTCTAGTTATATTATTAAGCTTATATCTAATAGTAAGATTAATAATCTTATCTTCTTATAAGATCTAGATCTAGCTCTAATTAATACTTTAAATAACTCTTATTTCTAAGAATTACTTAATATTCTCTAGATCTCTTATTTTAAATCAGTAGATTAAGGCCTCTTTAAAGGCCTCTTCTTTAGTATTATCTTTCTTATAATAGAGATAGATAATATTATTAATATAGAAGAATATTAGAATAAAGTTATTATAGAAGAGGTATAGCTCTTTAGTTATTTAGGTGAATTTTATTTTAATAAGAACTATTAAAAGAAGCTTCTACTATAATAGTAGTAATATCTATAGGCTATATAGTACTCTAATTAAATAAGCAATCTTACTAGTCTATTTAAAGTATAGTAGGAGTTCTATAAATATCTTCTTATTAAGATAGGTGTTAGTAAAGATATTAATTATATCTAACTATTTTACCTTAAGCCTAAATCTTATAATAATAGTTATAAGAATTTAAAAAGATCTTTCTATTAATATAGTAATATAGATATCTTAATTATTTAATAATTATTAGTCTTCTTAAATATAGATCCTAATCTTAAATCTCTTAATATACTCTTTACTATTAAACTTATAGGTAAATACCTACTTTAATAATATAACTATCTAGCCCTTAACTTTATAATAGTCTACTATCTTTAATATCTTATTATCTTAGATATTCTTAACCTTCTTTTATATAGTCTTAAGTTAGTATTAGCTATAAAGATTATTAATAGCCTTCTTAGTATTTCTTAGCTCTAGTAATAGATTATTTTAATATAGTTAAAGTAGCTATTAAGACTCTTATTTAATAGAGACTACTTTAGCTTAGAAGCTAGTATAGATTATATTAATACTATAGTAGTCCCCTAGAATCATCCTATTAACCACTTACTATTATCTTCTAAAGAGCTTCTCTTACTCTCTTAACTACTATATATAGTCTATTAGCTTATAATTTCAAGCTGATTATCTAATTAGTATAGAACTTAAGAAATCTTTCTAAAAATTTTCTAATATCTTTAAAATATTATTCTCTTCCTCTAATAAAGTTTCTAGAGTTATTAGACTAGAGGTTATAGATTTAAAGCTCTTTATTAGTCTTATTATAGCTAGTTCTTAAACTAGCTCTTTACTTTAATAAGAAGTTAGATAGATAATAATAATCTCTTTAAACCTCTCTTATACTAGGCTAGGCTTTTTAATTACTTTAATCTATTAGAACTAATCTCTCTTTCTAGTAGCTTTAAACAGTCTATTTATTAGACTAGAGAGGCTAATAATCTTATTATTAATCTCTTTAGGCTCTAGCTCTCTCTCTATTAATTTTAGTAACTTATAGACCTCTACTAATAATATAAATATAGCTAATCTCTTTCTAGATTTATTATAATTCTTCTTTTTAAAGAAGAACCCTTCTTTAAAGATTATATCTCTTAATAGAACAACCTTCTTCTTCTTAAGGATCTAGATCTACTAAATATTTATATCTTTATAGCTAATAAGATATCTAATCTTAGTATAGGATTAATATTTAATCTTAGTTAATATTATAGTATTATAATATTTATCTTTAAGATAATATACCTTTAAACCATACTCTTTAATATAGCTAAGATCTAGCTAGTTTAAGCCACCTAGGATTTAGTACCTATTCTTCTAATATCATTATCTAATAGTCTCTTTTAATAACTTCTAGCTATTAGCTTAATAAGAGGATCTATTATAAAGATAGGTTACTACTCTATAGGCCTTACTAGCTAGGTTGGTTAGTAGACTGGTATTAAATAATATTATATTAGTCTTTATCTATATTACCTCTCTAGATTACTTAGTATAGCTATTAGACTAATAAGTATATATTAATAATAGTTCCTATATAATCTCTTTATATTATTTCTACTTCTTAATAGTATTAGTATTAAGAGCTGGTTTATTATTACTACAATCTTATTAGACCTAGAGACCTTATTATCAGTCTATTAGGCTATAGTAATTATAAAGAGTTTTAAGAAGAATATACTTCTTCTTATCTAGTAGAGGATATATAACTTTTAAGCCTAAAAATTCATCTTTAATAATCAGAGCTACTATTAAACTATTAAGACAGTCTAATATTATAAAGAGATCTAAATAGATTTAACTAAATAAGTATTCTACTAGTTAACTACTTAGCCTTCTTAAGACTTATTGCTTTATCTTAGCTTTAATATATACTTAATAAGGCTAATTAGGCTTATTAATAATTATAACTCCTCTAATATTAATAGATAAGTAGCCTAGAACTTTATTATTAAGATGCCTTATTCTCTTATATTAGGTATTATACCTTATCTTACTTTTTAGGCTAGGCTTTTATAATAAGGCTATATTAATAGCTTTATCTAATTATTATTTATTAGCCTATTCTTAACTTTAATAGAAGTTAATTATAATATAGCTCTTAATTTATTTAGTTAAAAAGACTACTAGTTTTAATATAGAACTCTTAATAATATTATAGTTATTATTATTCTACTAATATCCTACCTCTCTTATTACTCTATAAGAGACTAAATTAATATAAAAGCCTTTAGTAATAATAATATTCTTTAGCTTAAAGAAGGCTAGGCTAGTAGAAGTATTAACCTCTATTATCATCTCTTCTATATTATAGTATAGTATTATAATATTACCTATATTAATAATACTAATTATTAATCAGTATATACTCTTAATAAGCTTCTTCTTTAAGTTAATAATATAATAAGTAATACTAGTATTATAGATAAAGTTATTCTTTAATAGGTATATTATAGTAATAAAAAAGCTTATTATAATATTTAAGAAGACTCTTTAAGAGGCCTTCTTAACTAAAATTATCTAGATATAGGCACTTTCTATTTATCTAGCCTTATTAGATCTCTAATTAGCTAGTAATAACTTTACTAACAACTTCTTAATTACTTTAATTAAGTTTTAGTATTACTTCTATAGCTAATCTATCTCTATAATCTTCTATAGCACTCTCTCTAGCTTTCTCTATAAGAAGGATAATATATAGACTGGCTTCTTCTCTAGATAGAGGATCTAATACTGATTCTTATTATACTTTATTCTATAAGAGTAGATAGATCTCTTATTATTAGAAGTCTTATCTTAAAGTATTAATTACTCTATTAATCTTTAGACAGGCTTTACTACTATATTAAATAATCTCTTAGTTAATCTCTTAACTATTACTATTACTATAAGCTATTATTAAAGCTAGTAAGTAAGTATATAGCTATTTAGAATTAACTCTTCTTAATTAAGAGTATTTATATAGGTTTAAGTAAAGATATTATTAACTTTATTAATATTACTAATAATAATAAGAAAGTTCTTTATAGGCTAATTACCTTAAATATTATTAATATTAATATTCTTAATATATTATAAGATCTATTTCTATTATTTAATCTATATTAATAAACTAATAGATTTAAATAGTTATCTAGCTTATTAGTATTAAGCTTAAGCTTATACTCTTACTTTAAAGCCTAATAGCTTAAGATATTCCTTTAATATTATTAATCTTACCTATATTAATCTAACTCTTAATAATTACCTAATTACTCTTATCCTATTAGAGATTTATATAATTACTTACTATTATCCTTTTAATAATTTATTAAATAAAGCTATATACCTCTTAGCTATTTAATAGATAAGCTTATTTATCTTAATTAGCTTTTTATTTTTCTTCTTATATATTAAGTTTAAAGTCTTCTATTTATCTAACTTTATATTAAAGAAGTTCTTTCTTATTCTAAACTTCTAATATATTATTACTAGTTCTTCCTCTTATAATATTATTAAGAAAATAAGAGGATATCTTAAATAATCTCTAGAAGACTTTAGATTCTAATCTCTATCTAAATTAATATATTTCTAGATCTTATTATTATTAGTCTTAAAATAGATATATAAATACTATATATTCTAATCTACTTTATTAATAAGAATTATTATCTAATTATTATCTAGATTCTTCTTAACTATAATATTATAATTAAATAATTAAAAGAGATTAATTAAGTAATATTCTAGCTTAAACAGAAGATTAATTAGATTATTATTATATTCTAAAGAGCTCTAACTACTTCTTACTAAATTTAGCTATAGAAATCTATAACTTTATAGTCTAAATCTTATAATAATTACTCTAAATAGATAGACCTACTCTAATCTACTTAATTAGATATTAATCAGACTTATAACTATCAACTAAGGGTCAGATTAATTAAATTCTATTTATTAAGATGTCTAATTCTAAGAGAGAAAAGGGGAAGGCCGCTAGGGGGCCGCCAGCCCTTAGGGGTGGCCCTAAAGGGCGGTGTGGTTGGGCAGAGACAGCTCCACATACTAAATTTGCCCTGGGGTTGTCCTTAGTGGACCAGCCCCTTCTGACAAAAGGCCTTCGAGGCATGGCGGTCTGCCATGCAACCTGCGAGCTGCCAGGAACACATCAGGACATCACGAAGGACCTTTCTTCTCTACCCTGCCACGGTCGCTCTTAACACGGCATGTTTTTGTGCAAGGGAGTCGATGATGTCGGCGGCTCATCCTCCAATTGGCGCCTCCCAAAGGCAAACAACACATGACAGCGCATGGTAGACAATCTGCCGTTTTCCGGCTTGGATCACCAACATCCCAGTTGAGCCTCTCCGATTGAACCGCTTCGAAATGCGACGGGGGGGTCGAAGGTGACGTCGGGCAAGGTTTTATGTAAGTAGGTAACCTGCCATCGCATCAAATTGCACGATGCAAGAAATCCCGGGAATCGTCCTGGCTGGGCCAACCCCGCACATCGATCCCTACTTTCACCTCATATCGGCGCTTTATCTGATGAGGTGGCGGAGCTCACTGCCCGCTCCTACGATCATGTCAAGTCAAAGCAATGGAGCCAACTTAATATCGACCAAGCACCATAGAACGCCAGCGCGAGAGCAAGGGATGGAGAGATCCCCGCCAAGCCCCTCCCGCAATCTCACCAGGGAACGCCAGGCTCGGCCAATCAGGCGGTCCTCTTCACCACAGACCTGTTTGCCTCTGCTGCCCTACCAGCTTTGCATGTGTGTCGAGGTGTGTAACTAGGTACCATGCTATTTCGGTAGCTGCCGTTTCTTGCATGAGCCTCGTCCTCCGAGGCGAAGATGGGGCCGGGGGGGTTGCCAGTACCATCCTGCTTGCCAATGGCGCGGTTAGCCAGCCTGCACGCACAAGTATGCCTTACGAAGCAGCATGAAAGCACAGTCTATTTGTAAACATGGCCGAGCGCCCCTCAGCGAGAGCACCGGGTGGCGCCGCCGGCCGATCTCTCATGCCTTCGCTCACGACCAAAGAACCTGCCAACCGCGTAGTCAAGGTGCGACTCGGCCTCATCTACTGCGACCAGCAACACGGGAGGGCCAATATATTGTTCCCTAGGAAGAACGACGAGGCAAGCAAACATGAGGCTTTGCTGACCTGGCCAACATTAGTAGTACCGCTTCCGGGCCTCCGGCCTGGACAGCTTGGGGGCAAACGACCCCAACACGGCGGCCAGTGTCGTACAATTTGCCTCTCTCACGCTCGCGGCGTCAGAGGTTAAAAGGCAGCATGCCCACAGCGACTGGGACACGAGCTGTCTGGACGAAACCGGCTCGCTTGGCTGGGGGTTTGTGTGGTGGGTCGCCCAGTCCGGCAGCGGCCAGGGTCTCACGTTTGACTTGGCATTTGACATTTGAGGCTGCGTGCGTCGCCCTCCACTCCTTTGTCTACTCCGTACCTTGGCCCAACGACAAGCCCCAGGGGTCTGGTTCTTGCTCCTCCTCCCACAAAGCATAACGCTTGTGATTAGGTAGGGTCAAGGATTGAGAGGCAGCTCGTAGCTTTTCCCCCCTACGACGCTGAGGAAGCAAGCAGGGTTTCTCTACAGTCCCATTCAATGCGAGCCTTTCCCCATGTTGGACCTTGGCCCGGCCATGGCGAGAGAGAGCCGCTTCTCAGTACATACGCAAGCCCACTCGGTACTGCCTCTCTGCTCATGTTTTCTATCCCTGACCGACGTACCTGTCGACCATGCAAGGCCATGGACCCCGGCCCCATATTCCTTGAACCTCCACCCCCCTTCACGCGCCTGTCTATTCGAGATGGAGCTTGAAAGGAGCGAGGATCCCAAACCAAGGTTGAACTGAGCCTCTTAAATAGGTAGCGGGCGGCACCCTTCGCCTCGTCCCGTCTTCCATCTGTTTGCATCGTGACCTTTGGTTCTTCAGTTCATGCGGGCGCCTCTTGATCCTTTTTTACCCTTCTCTCGGCGGTAGATCCTCCCTTTCCCTTCTTTGCCAACTCGCACACTCACGCATCCAGTTCATGCGTAGCCTCTCCTTATAAGAGCTTTCCCCATAGGTCTCTTAAAACGCTTCGCTTCTTTTACCATCACGATCATTCTGCCTGCCTGGTTAGCAGAGCTAACTCTCGCGGCAATCCTTCCCTGATATCTCTTTGTCTTTCTCTCCCTCCGGAACCCCCTTCAGCCGTAAATCTTTCTTCCATCTCTTCTCCCCTTTCCTCCTCTCTCTTCTCTCTTCCCGAGTCGACCCAGCTGTAAACCATGGCTCCTCTATCCTGCCTGCTCGCGCCCCTGGCGGTCATCGCCGCCGTCCTGGCCCCGGCCGCCAACGCCGCCCCGGCGCGAGACATCAAGCCCTCGATCCTGGGCGTGCCCATCTCGAACCCCAACGCCAGGAACCTGATCCCCAACGCCTACATCGTCGTGTACAACAAGACGTTCGACGACGACGCCGTCAAGTCCTTCCAGAGCAACATCATGGCCACGGTGGCCAAGCGCAACATCGGCAAGCGCGGGCTCGACGGCCGGCCGCTGAGCACGCTGGCCACGAGCTTCCAGCTCGGCGGCTGGCGCGGCATGGCCCTCGAGGCCGACGACAAGATGATGGTCGACATCTTCAACGCGCCTGAGGTCGAGTACATCGAGCAGGACGCGCGCGTCGAGGTGCTCGCCGCGCAGACGCAGACCAACGCCCCCACGGGCCTCGTGCGCCTGAGCCACGCCGCCGCCGGCGGCAACGGCGGCTACGTCTTTGACGACAGCGCCGGCCAGGGCATCACGGCGTTCGTGGTCGACACGGGCATCATGACGACGCACACCGAGTTCGGCGGCCGGGCGACCATGGGCGCCAACTTTGTCAACAACGTCGTATGTATTCCCTTCCGACCCCTGTATTCACTCCCGCGCGCATGATGCACCCCCCCCCTTCTGCACAGAGACCGAGACGAGAAGCTAACAGGGTTGTAAAAAGGACACCGACGAGAACGGCCACGGGTCCCACGTCGCGGGCACCATCGGCGGCAAGACCTTCGGCGTGGCCAAGAACGTCAAGCTCGTCGGCGTCAAGGTGCTCGACGCCAAGGGCGGCGGCTCCAACAGCGGCGTCATCGCGGGCATGAACTTTGTCGCCCAGCAGGCCCAATCGCAGCGCCTCGCCGGCAAGGCCGTCATGAACATGTCCCTCGGCGGCTCGCGCTCGCGCGCCATCAACGAGGCCATCAACAACATCCGCGCCGCCGGCGTCGTCCCCGTCGTCGCGGCCGGCAACGAGAACCAGGACGCCGCCAACGACAGCCCCGCCTCGGCGCCGGGGGCCATCACCGTCGGCGCCATCGACCAGCGCAACGACCGCAAGGCCAGCTTCTCCAACTTCGGCCGGCTCGTCGACGTCTTCGCCCCCGGCGTCAACGTGCAGAGCGTGGGCATCACGAGCAACACCGCCTCCAAGACGCTGAGCGGCACGAGCATGGCCAGCCCGCACATCGCCGGCCTGGCGGCGTACCTCATGGCGCTCGAGGGCATCACCGACATCGACGCCGTGGCCGACCGCATCACGCAGCTCGCCGGCGGCACGGGCGCGTCGGTCAAGGGCAACACGAGGGGGACGACCAACCTGATTGCCAACAACGGCAACCAGTAGAGAGAAAGAAAGCTCCACGTGCCTACAATGTATAAAGTCTAAAAGAAGAACATATACATATTTTTTTTTACACATTTTTTTCTCTTCCCTATCTTTTTACCTCGAGCATAGATTCAAGAGCCATGGGGTGGAAACCATTCTTTGGGGAAGAGGGAGTTGTTCGGGGAGAAAGCAAGGGGGAGATTACGGCCGGGTGTTTTTAGACAAAGTAACAGCAGGGTTGGGACTGGTCGTTAATTATCATTCATCGCGCGTTCCGCATGTTCTGTCCAAGGAGAAAATACAAAAAGAACCAAAATCTTCACGCTTGTTTGCCAGCTGTTGAATGACTGTCTCTCGTTTGCTTCATGGATCGTATCTTGGGGGAATCTACAATCGGTGTAACGTGTACATCCAATGCGAGAGCGCGTATGAATCTCAATGACAATAGGGAAAACATACGAAAACATCGAAATCAGACACCTTTTTGGCTGTCATTTTCTCCCCTCATTTTCCCCATTATGGAAACCCCGTAAACAAGATCCCATGCTGTCTCCCTTTACGAGTTGTCGATGATCTACCCACCCACCTCATCATTTATCTCCTAATCCCCGAAAAGGGAAAAAAGAAAAAGACCCTTCAAGCTCAATGCCGAACGGCAATCGAAGAAAAGAGGCCTATCCTGCAACCGCATCCGGCCCTCCCCCCTCCCCCCTCGGGCGATCACGACGAACCAGCGACGTCTCACAGGGGGGGGGTGGTGGCTGTTGATCGCCGTGCAGATGCCAGGCGGTAAGATCTGCACAAGAGCAAAACTCCCCCACCACCCCCGGCATTCATGCAACGACAAAACCCTTCCAGGCCGGAACCTAAAACACTTGACGTATCTGACAGCTCGTATGTCGCGATTTTTTATTTTCAACTCAGATCAGCACAAGGTTGTGCGTGTTCTGTGTGCGCGGATTACTTAAGAAGCCAAGGTACCAAAAAAAAAAAACAAGACGGACGAGCGCGCGCCGAGGACTCTCTCCCTCTCGCTCTCACCCTGTGTCTGGTACTCCCGATGTTTTATCATCCACGGGTGCAGATGCAGAATACACACGGACAATCGCTCTTACACAATGTTACGCGTACAAAAACAAACAATGTCTGCAGTCCGTCTCTCCAAGCCCTCCTCGTGTCAAGGATCGCAGAGAGCCCAAGGAGAGACGTGCCCGGATACCAGGCTACTTGCTACACCGGCATGAAACCGGTTTGCTATCAGCACATCTTCGGCACAACCGCAGTCATTGATAGGACTTGGATTGCAATTTGACATCCGTGCTATGAGTAGTGTATGGGTGTTCAAACGTCACTTGTTGAGGACTGAGGAGGGACATCAGAGCCTCTCAGGGCCCTGTTTTCTTTCTTTCTTTCTGTCTTCGCTTCTGTTTCTGTGTGGTATTAGATATGCCCTCCCAAGCGACAACTACCTGTTACTGTGGCTAGCCGCGTTGGAACTGCTCTCCGTGGAAATGCTGCGCCTCAAAACACCGTGATATGATCCCCGCCCCTTGATCACAAAGTTTGGAGCGTAGTGTGAGATATATGTACCCGGGGTTGTTACACATCTTGCGTTTGGATAAAAAAAGACATTAAAATGACATTCGGTGAAGCGAAAAGAAAACACCCGGGTGGAGTGGTAAAGGCATGTCGAATTACAACTCGTCGTGGCCGGCGGTGATCTTTGGCGGAAGCATGTCGGGCGTGCCGGGTACCTTCATCTCGGAGAAGAGCTTGTCGAACTGGGCGCCGAGGAGCCACGCAGCTCCGATCTGTGGTCCAAAGTCAGGATTTACCTAGAATCAGACACTGAAGGAGAGTATCAAGACCACTCACCATCATACCACCGATGAGTAGCAGGGCAGCCAAAACAGCACCGATGAGCATGGCGGCCTCGCCGATATCCATAGACGACTCGCCTGAACCGTCCTTGGCCTTTTGCGCGGCGTGGATCTTCTTGATATCTTGTGTGGGGAACACGGACTCGATGAATTGCTCGATCTGTTCATTTCAAACGAGCGTTAGACAACTTGAGCATCTCTGCGCAATGACACGTGCTAGTCACTCACCTTGCCGCACTGGATGCTGATGGCCATGTAGTTGGGGTCCTTGGGGTCATTCTTCTGGTGTATCCTCCGTGCGTACCGCCTGAAGACGTCGCACACGATTCGCAGGTTCTGGGTGGACTCGATCATGAGCTGGCAGGCGTCGCCCTTTGTAATCTTGATGTTGCGGTCAAACATGGCCGGGTTCTGGAAGACGAGCTCCAGGGTGGCGATGGCCATGGTCTGGGGGATGGCGACAAAGTTGAAGACGGACTGGTCGCGAATGCCGGCCATGTAGAAGAGGCACTCATCGGCATGCTTAAGCGCGTTGAGGACCATCTCGGACTGGCAGAAGACGGCCTTTTGCCTGTTCTCGGGCTTGAACAGGTCGTCCCAGTTGTCAACATACTGGCTCCAGGTCTCCTTGGGCCAGAAGCGACGGCCGTCGTCCCAATCCTCGCGCACGTCGCGGATAATGTTGACCTTTTGTAGGAACTGACCCATGGACTCGGTCAGGTCAGGCCTCGTCAGCAGGACGGGGTTAGCCAGCTTCGACTCGACAAAAAGGCGGGTCAGGCCGTCGCCAACAAGGCCAGCGACGTAGTGGCAGTAAAGCTCGTAGTCCTTGACCAAGGCGACGCCATTGGCGTTGAACTCGGCGTTGCGGGCGTAGTCAGCCATGCCGTTGCCCATCTTGTCGGTGATGTCCTTGATAATGGCGTAGTATGCGGGCTTGACCTTCTTCATCTCGACAATGACCTCGTCAAAGTGGACGAGCAGCTCGCGGTCCTTCTCGTTGGGGCCGCTCTCGGTAAAGGTCCAGCCATCCTGCTCCATGATGTTGTGGAAGTCCCGCAGCAGGGGCTCCTTCTTCTCGATGTCGAGGGTCATGTCGTCCTCAATGGTGTCGAGGCCGCGCAAGCAGAGGTAGAAGATGGTGACGGGCATCAGCAGCTCCGGGTTGAGCTCCTGGATGACGGCGGAGAAGCTTCGCGAGGTGAGGTCGAGGTACTTGAAGCAGGCCTTCTCGCTAGGCGTCTCCTTCTTGACATCGCGCCGGTGGACGGGTTCGTGCCACGTCTTCCTGTAGGTCGGTGTTAGTATCAGCAGCCCAGATGTGAGTGTGTGTGGTTGGATGTGCGCATTGCAAATGGACAGGTCGGCGCGCAAGTACGTACCATTGAATAATGGATCGCAGCTGTTTGGGGTGAACGACGAAGTAGAGGATCTGGCCAGGAGACACCATCTTTGCGGTCGTTGTTCCGGCGACTGTTGGTCGCGGCGCACGGAGTAAGGTTTTTTTCGTGTGCGTCTAATCAAACACCAACCGAAGAATGGCGAGACAAGGAGCGGTAGCAGCAAGCGAAGGGAGGGTATCTAGAGTGCTACAACTCGAATTGCAAAATCTCGCCAGAGGGTACGCGAGCGAAAGAAGGAGTAGAGATCAGGTAGGCTATGGAGGGGGAATGGGGGATGTAAGGTACTTCGTGGATGTTGGCCGTCTTTGGTGGTGGAGGTGGAGGAGGTGTTGGAAAGGAGGCTGATGCTAATGGGGAAGGGCGACCTGCAAGAGAGCTTCGCGCAGAATTTCTCCACACGGTGATTTCATCCACAGCAAAAGAGGCCGCACACCCGCACCGGGGTCGCTGGCCGTGCAACTCTGTCCGCGCCGCTTGTTGGCTCGCCTCCATGCCTGCCCGCCCGCTCGAGTACTCGCTGCTCCAGATTGGCTGGCAGCCCTCAGACAAGACGACGGTGTCTTTTTTAGCACGTCCAAGAGGGGTCTAGAATGAAGACTCGGAGTTCCTTGGCTGGCTACGCCTGCCGGAAAAATTCAGGGGATAAAATCTCAAGCGCGCTTTTCAATCCTTCCATCCCACTCCCCAAATCATCGCTTAGAAGGCGCACGCGCCGCTGAATGGCCCACTCTGCGCCCGGGGCATCGGTCCGCTACCACCTGGCCGACCACAGCAGCTCAATGGCTGGAATCTCTGCAATTGGCCAATGGGGGGCTCGGGGAGTTTTACTTGTAGTGGTGCCCTCAGCAGCGCAGTTAGCGGGGTTGACAGCACAGAGAATCCTGGAACCTTGAACCCAACCAGCACCAGCCGGATACAGCAAGTGCAATAATGTTGAGGATGGCTCACAGGGATCTCGTGAGGAGGGTGAGGTGTCACCTCCATCACGAGCAACATTGCAATCTGGAGCGGAAGGGAAAGAAGGCAGAGCCGCACCTTATCCGGGACCCGAGAAGGAGGAATTGGCTGGCGGCTTTGGCCATGCTGGTGCTGAGAAAATAAATAAATCACCTCATCCTCCTCCTCTCTCTCCTACCTAGGTAGTCGCGGACTAAGATGCGCCATCTCTTGTGTTCTCGCAGTTTTCGCGTCCTTGCATTTGCCGCTACTGACAGAATGCGATGTTTGGCCGAAACCCCCAAAGTATATGCATGCATGGGGAGGCAATATAGTGCTGGTGCTTCTCGAGATCCATTAATCAGCATTTCTGCCATTACACAGCAGCATCGAAGCCTTTGGCCGGCGTCAGGAGTTCACATGCCTGCTCACGGATGCCTACCCTAGGTAGTGTAATCGCCTCACCGAGAGAGAACCAGTAAGAAACAGGGTCTTGTTTCTATTTTACGAGCTTTTTGGACTGCTCACCACCACCCTCTTGGCCCTGCTCGCAGACACATGTCCTCGTAACCAGGACTCACCTCACCGCCTTTGTGCATCCCACCAAAAGCGCCAAAATTGGCACCGGGCTGGCGCAGGCAAGAACCCCTCATTGGCTCCCACTGGGCTGATCACAGCCCAAACCCTTGAGGGACCCCTCCTTTTGCGGTACCTGAAAGAGGCGCCGGCCCCTCCCATCCAAGAGATACGGGTGGCGGTCTAGACAAGAAAAGCCTTCTCTGGCACGATTAGTAGTCACTGTGGAAGCCACTACCACTGGCCACAGCATCCCTTTCTTCGTATCAGCTAGGCACCTCTCTAATTTCCAGCATTTTCTCTTGCTGTCGTGTTCACTTGCAAGAATCAACACAATCTCTCTCTCCGTGATACCCCCCCAAACCATATCAACTACCTCAAACCCGTTCACCTCCAATTCACTCCCCCCCTCAAAAACCTCCACACTCACAATGGCTGCCAACGGATCCAAGGCGAACCGCTTCCTCATCTGGGGTGGTGAGGGCTGGGTTGCCGGCCACCTCAAGACCCTGCTCGAGAAGCAGGGCAAGGAGGTCTTCAGCACCACCATCCGCATGCAGAACCGCGAGGAGGTCCTCGCCGAGCTCGACCGCGTCAAGCCCACCCACGTCCTCAATGCCGCTGGCTGCACCGGCCGCCCCAACGTCGACTGGTGCGAGGACCACAAGGAGGAGACGATGCGCTCCAACGTCATCGGCACCATGAACCTGACCGACTGCTGCTTCCTCAAGGGCATCCACTGCACCGTCTTTGCCACCGGCTGCATCTACCAGTACGACGACAAGCACCCCTGGGACGGCCCCGGCTACCTCGAGACCGACCCTGCCAACTTCAAGGACAGCTTCTACTCGGACACCAAGGGCCACGTCGAGGAGGTGAGTAACTGTTGCTAGCTAAAGGCCCCTTCACACATCCGATCGCTTCTTGCTAACGCTCTCGGACCCCCGCCAACAGATCATGAAGCACTACACCAACTGCCTCATCCTGCGCCTCCGCATGCCCGTCAGCGACGACCTTAACCCCCGCAACTTCGTCACCAAGATCTCCAAGTACGAGCGTGTCGTCGACATCCCCAACTCCAACACCATCCTCACCGACCTGCTGCCCGCCTCCATCCTGCTCGCCGAGCACAACGACACGGGCATCTACAACTTCACCAACCCCGGCGCCATCTCCCACAACGAGGTCCTCTCCCTCTTCAAGGAGATCGTCCGCCCCAGCTTCACCTGGAAGAACTTCACCCTCGAGGAGCAGGCCAAGGTCATCAAGGCCGGCCGCAGCAACTGCAAGCTCGACACCACCAAGCTCGTCAACAAGCTCAAGGAGTACAACTACGAGGTCCCCGAGATCCACGCTGCCTACCGCGCCTGCTTTGAGCGCATGAAGGCTGCCGGCGTCCAGTAAATCTGTCGCCAGACAGATGCGCACGTTATGGGAGAAAGAGGAGCTGCAAAAAATGGTCACAGGCACGGCGAGTCTTCTGCTCGGAAAGAACTCTTAATATAGAGAGATATTGTGTGGCTTCTAGTCTAACTCACACCAAAGTTTCACGATTATGAGAAAAGCTCAATTCTAGATGTTATGAAAAGAGGCGATCGTGCCAATCGTCAATTCATTATGGCCTTTGTATTTCAAGCGTGGTGAAGATATCTGTTTGCCCTGTGAGGGTGGTGACCGGCGGTGGTCAGGATTGATTTGTCAGCCTCGAGTCACAGGCAGTCGTCAGCTAAATTAGACATCAAGACAGAACACACAAATTAATGACTGCTAAGAAACGACTGGGGAACAGTTTGATGAGTGGTCATTAGGAGTAAGAACTTTCCAAGGCTGTCTCTAACATTGATCCTTTGAGCGTTATGTGAACAGTTTTGAGATCTCCTGAGACATACGTCGACAATCAGATAGATTATTTGGCTCTTTTTGTTGACCAGTCTATGTCGACAATTGTGTCCTTGTGGCTGCACTGTCATAGTGTCTCTGTTACCCAACCCATGATCTCTTCGATCTCGCTCACAAGGCACTCTATATTTCAGCATGTTCAAGTTGCTGCTCTATGGTTGCCCACGCACCCTTGTTCAAGTAACCAGACAACCAAAAGTTCCCATGGCCGTCCCGGCCAATGATTGGAAATGCGTTGGGGAGAATGAGCCCAAACTGATTGTTCTGGATGTACACAGGCTTGCCAGATGTCTGCGAGCTCGCTGCGGACTGGACAACTGCGGCCGAGAAGTCGGTCTCGAAAAGCCGCGCCTTGTCCCAGTTTGAGTATGTGATCATGTGCATCCCGCTGTCGCCAAAGAAGGGAGGCAGTTTCCCCAAAGACTGGCGCCACAGTGCCGCGAAGGCCTCGACCTGTGCCCTGGTGCCGAGGCTGAGGATGGCCTGTCGGATCGCCAGTGCCACCCGGTGCAGCGGTGCGCCCAGAACCTCGTCCAGTGGCAGTAGCACATGGATAAAGAATGTTGCGTTTGAGACGTAGCCAGACCCAGCTCCTTCAGGCAGCAAGTTGTCTGCGAGTGTCTCGCGCAGCGAGTACGCATTGTTGAGGACTACAGTCCTGTGGCTGTTCGGCGGGAGGTGTGACAATACGAGCCGAGTCCACCACGCGCAGAGAACGTCGCCGTGGCTCAGGTATGGCTCGGCCTCGCCTGTCTCGGCCGCGAGAGCGGCGACAGCAGAACCCCGAAGGTTTTCGACGAATGTTTTGGGAATGCAGACCATACGGTTCTGCGGAGTTCGGACGAAATCCAGGGCGTTTCTAAGCCCGTATGATGTGAGTCCTAGTAGTGACAGACGATGGTTCTCCAGCTTGTGCGCCTCGCTTGGGTGTTTCCCGAGCTCTGCCAAGGGATCAGTTTCGAAGCCGACTGGGGCTTCAACCTCATCATCACGGCCCTCGAGCATCAGCACCCAAGCATTGAGGAAGGCCCGCTTGCCCAGGGCATCCATCAGCGTATGCGGCCAGTAGATGACAACAATCGTCCTGTCCACAAACGACACAACATGCAGCCCTAGCTGGGGCACGTCCTTGCTAAAGTAATGCGCCAACGTCGTCGGGGCGCCTTCCGGGCGGAAGAGGCTCCGGAACTCGTCCGGATCACCTACCACCGCTGGCTTGGCGCTGGGTCTCGGTATCCTCGCGGCGATCGGATGATCTGACGCACTGACGCCGGTGTCGACATGCGTAAACGAAAGTGCTGGTCGAGTTGTGCTGAACTCGGCCGGGCAGTGATATTCGAGGTGCCCGGAAGCCTGGAGCGCGGTCGTTAGAGTAACGTTGTCAGGATCCGGCCTATACACGCACATTCTGACGGAGACGGGCCCCCAGCTTCCGCCACCCAGGCCGATGTATCAAGCCTTCGAGGCTGGACCGAAGCTTGTCAGGATTGAGCACGTCGTCAAAGACGAACATGGAGTAGAGAATGAAGGCACGCCATAGCGGCGTATCGTCGAAGAAGGGCAGGGGCATAACACTGTCGGTCATGGCTAAGAATGGTATCAAATCAATAGAGGTTTATTGCTAGGTCTACTGCCGCGTCCACCACAAAACGGAAATAAGATCCAAGTGTTGTGCAAAGGGAACCCTCTGGGTTTAAGAGAGAGAAAGCGGAAAACGATCGGCGTTTGGTTGTCTGATTCTCATTGTATCATATGCACGGAGGCGACATGGTAGTGGCCGCTTACTCTGCCATTGCAGGCCATGTATGGATCGTTGCTCAATCATTTGCGACCTATATCTCCATCACGCCGTTACTGGTGCGAAGCATGTGGGAGGACTCGAGCGATGTCACACAAGAATATACGATCTATCCACTTGAATGTAACCTTTTTGGTTTCCACACATGCGATAGAATTGGTCTTCTTCTAGCTTTCAACTGAGACCTCGACGCATTCATACAATCATATTTGACTGGTTACTATTGAATGCTGATAGACGCTTATACTGAGTACTTTGAGCCACGCCTTCACAGTCCTCTGTACGACGATAGCGGCAATCATTGTCAAGTATATTCGTCCATATGAAATCAAGCTTCGACGATCTACATAATGTGAGCTGGATGCATGTGACCATATTGATAACTCATAAACGTCACCCTCCTGAGAAAGATATTATCACCACAAAGCCACATCAAACACATGTCTTAGAGTTTCACGGCTTTTTCACGGCTGTGTCGGCATATAGATGTCAAAGTTTCTGTCAAAAATTACGTCTAAGCCGTGTTTAGATATGCCAAGCCCCTGTTTCTCCTGGTGGCGGTGGCTGGTTCAGCTCAAGCTGGGCATGACGGGAAGAACGGAAAACCCATCGTGCGCAGGGCATTCAGCGACGGGGGAGAGCAGAGTCGACATGTCAATAAAGCAAACTGACACGTATGTTGGAATAAGTTCATTGCCAGCGCTGCAATCATGGGCTGCGTGCGATGCTGGCAACATCTACCCGGGTGGAAAGCCACCGCGGCGCTCCTCACAGCGACCATGGCCCTCCTGACAACCCTGACCGCCGTCGCGCTGATGGTCTCCGTCTTCCACCTTGGAGGGTCTCTGACTGGACGCAGCGTTCTTTACATGGGCCCCTACGACACGGCCTCACGAACGAACCTGGCCATCCATCTCGTCATCAACATCGCCGCGTCGGGAGTTCTAGCTTCGTGCAACTTCTTCATGCAGATCCTGGTCGCGCCCGGCCGGCGTCAGGTCGACGCGGCCCATGCTGCTGGGCGTTGGCTAGAGATCGGCGTGCAGTCGTTTCGCAACGTGCTCGTGGGTGCAGTGCCGTTTTGGAAGGCGCTGCTATGGATCTTGCTGGCGCTCAGCTCAGTACCCTTGCACCTGTTGGCCAACGGCTGCGTCATGCAGTCCAAGGCGTCGACGAACCTGATGATCGCCATCGTGGCCGAGGGCTTTGTGACGGAAGCGGGCACGGTGCCGTTCTCGCTGCCAGGGATCGCCGTCGATCCCGACGCTCGAGGAGGAGGAAACCTCGAGACGTTGAAGGACATTGCAAAAAAGGTGGCGAGGCCGGCGAGATGGGAAAAGCTGAACTACAGCAGCTGCATCGGTCGATACAACCGGACGGACAACATCATGCGGAACTACCGACACCTTGTCATGGTCCTCGGGCACATGAACGGCAGCGCGGCCGATAAAGGGTGGGCCCGGGAGGCTGTGCGCACGGAAGGACTAACAGGCAAGTATGTGGCGAGTGCAAGTGCGGTAAATTACTTGTGGTGGATGGGCGACCTGTTGAGAACAGACAAGGCCCTTCGGTATACCGACTCATGGCCTATCCCGCGATCGTTGCTGTCTGGCAAATTCATGGTTGACCTGGATCAGTCGGGCGTGCTGACCCTCGATAAAAAGAGAGCCAGGGAGCCCTGGGTCCAGATGAAAGTCCAGTACTGCCTCTCCGAGCGATTTGACGCCCCTTCGAAATTGGAGGTCGACAACCTCCTCTTACTGGTTGTTCTGGTCATGTTCGCACTCAAGTGTACCCTGTGCGTATTTGTCTGGGTAGTCCAAGGCCGGAGCCGAGACGAGTCGCTTCTGACGCCTGGAGACGCCGTCGAGTCCTTCATTGTAACCCCGGATCCAACGACAGTCGGGATGTGCGCACTAAGCCGGGACGACAAGCAGTTGAAGCCGATGACCCAGGCCGGAACTGCATATGCACCAGTCACACACCCACGGCAGTGGATGACCAAGGCTGGACGGACATGGAGAGCAGTGCCCTGGAGCATCTGGGTCCTGTCTTATGCTTTGATAGGCAGCTCCTTGATCGTGGGCGGGACGATGCTGGGCATATCGCTACGCGAGAATTCGCTGCAAGTGCTCCAGGCTTACGGACGAAGGACCTTGGCTAACACACAAAGGCAGGCCACAATCCCGTTTCGGCCACGACTCGGCAAATATGGCCGTGCAGGGCGACGGGATGGAGGACATGCCTCTCCTGGAGCAGACGCTCCTCGCCAACACACCGCAGCTGATCCTCTCTGTGTGCTACATAGCATACAACGGCATCTTTACGCGCATAGCAGCCGAGTTTGAATGGGCCTCCTTCAGTGTTAAACATCGGCCTCTGCGGGTGACGCGCAAGAAGGGGCAGCAAAAGTCTACATGGCGTCTTCAGCTGCCGTATCATTGGTCCGTCCCTTTGTTGATCACTAGTATCATGCTGCACTGGCTATACTCGAATGCCATCTACACCAGCATCTACACAGGTAAAAGCTCCCCGCGTGCCATGCAGGGGAACAAATGCTCATCATTGGTCAGGCTACAGTGGCAGCTACCCATATACCTACCAGGACGACACCACTGGATTGCAGTACTCGTCCGTGACCATCCTCATTTGCTTCACGATATCATTCGCGATTTCCCTCATCCCGCTCGTACTGGCCTGCGTCAAGCTGCCAGGCAATATGGTCGTCTGTGGTGGCAACTCGGCTGTGATATCTGCAGCCTGCCACCTTATTACGCCCCCAGCGAGCCGGGAACGAGCTCGACTACCGTTTGATAAGTTAGATGGCGACGTGCAGGTCAGCCTGATAGATTCCGGGCGCGAGACGCTGATACTGGCAGCAAGGGGCAAGTTGAGATGGGGCGAGGTCTGGGTCCCAACAGGCAAGGACTCGCAGTGGTTCGTGTATGGCGACCAAGGAGCAAGGCACTTGTCTTTTGGCACGGAGGATCAAAACATCCACGAGCCCACAGATGGACAGTGGTATGCGGGGATCAAAGAACGTTCCAACGTTGCTGTAAGCTAAGCCCTGGTGTGTAACTCAAGAAGTGACTGAATATAGAAAGGGCCTAGTTCCAAAATTGTCAGAAGGGGCTGGTCCACTAAGGACAACCCCAGGGCAAATTTAGTATGTGGAGCTGTCTCTGCCCAACCACACCGCCCTTTAGGGCCACCCCTAAGGGCCGGCGGCCCCCCTGGCGGCCTTCCCCCTTTTCTCCCTTAGAATTAGACACCTCAACGAATAGAATTCGATTGATCCGACCCTTAGTTGACAAAAATGGATAGGTTCTCTATTTGACCTGCATCAAGGGCTGCTGCTGTGCTACGTCAGACGATAATTGCATTTCCAAACGGTGTCCCAGATTGATGTCGAGATATGAATCATTCTGAGACATCAGTTCCCCAGTTTTAGTGTGCGGCGTAGCCATTAGTTTCGTGCACATCTTCTCTATTTTTACCTGTTTTAAGCGTAGCTCCCGCCGTTTGCTCAGCTACCACAAATCTTGGATGAGAACTCGACAACATAGCACATACAGGAAATGGCAGAAACATTAGACATGGAGCTGGATGTTATGGGCCAGCAACCGCTGCTCAACATCTACACCAATCTCAGCTTTTGCTACCCGTACCACGGTTCTCCCGACAAAGTAATCGAAATCCTCAACAATGGCCTCTCACGACTTGGCAAGAGCTTCCCATGGCTGGCTGGTCGCGTCGTCACAGAGGATATCGGCACAGGCAAGGCCAACACCAGGATACGGCCTCGGCACGACACGCCTTGTGTCGAGATGCGGGACCTCAGGGAGGACTCGAGGGTGCCATCCTTGGAAGCCATGGAGAATGCCGGCTTTCCCATCCAGATGTTTGACGAGACGCGGTTCTGCGCGCGCACCACTTTCAACCCCCCGGGGCCTTCTGGCCCGACCAACGAGGTGTTCATGGTGGTGGCTGCGCTCGTGAAGGGCGGTCTGGTCCTCAGCTTCTCCGGAATCCACAGCGTGATGGACATGACGGGCCTCGAGCAGTCCATCTACCTGCTGTCCAAGGCGTGCCGGAACGCGCCGTACACGGACGAGGAACTGCGCGTCGGGAACATGGAGCACAAGAACCTCATCGAACTGCTGGACGACAGCTACGAGCCGGGGCCGGAGCTAGCGCATCAACTGGTCCAACCTCCGCCGCCGGGCGGCGAAGCCACACCGGCGCCAGAACCTCGGCCGTGCGACTGGGCGACGTTCCTCTTCTCCGCGCCGTCCCTCTCGCAGCTCAAGGCCCGCGCGAACGAGAACCTGCCGCCGGGCTCGTTCGCCTCGACCGACGACGCCCTGACCGCGTTCATATGGCAGGCCATCGCGCGCGCGCGCACCGAGCGCCTCGGCGTAGACGCGTCCACCATGCTGGCGCGCGCCGTCGACCCCAGGCGCTTCCTCAAGCTGCCCAAGACGTACCCGGGCCTCGTGCAGAACATGACGTACAACACCGCGCCCAGCCTGAGGGGGCTGACGGAGGCGCCCCTGAGCGAGGTCGCCCTCGGCCTGCGCAGCGAGCTCGTGGATGCCGAGGGCATGGCCTACCGGTGTCGGGCGCTGGCAACGTACATGAGCCGCGTATCCGACAAGGGACTCGTCTCTGTGGCAGCGGATAATCGCGCTGGGCAGGACGTTCAGATCAGCTCGTGGGCCGGCGTCGAGGCGTATGGGATGGACTTTGGCATCGGCCTGGGCCCGCCCGTGGCTGTCAGGCGGCCCATGATTCCGCCCGTTGTCGAGGGCTTGCTCTACCTGCTGCCGAAGACGCCCAAGGGGGACATCCCGGCAATTCTGTGCCTGGCGACGTCAGAGATCAATAAACTAAGAGAGGATCCTGAGATGAGCAAGCTCGCGACATACATTGGGCCAAACATGAGCGAATGACGAAGTTTATCCTCAAGGCTTAACAACCATATAGATCAGCCAGAGCGTTATTTTGCAACACAATAGACAGGTTCCCAGATAACTCTTATCAGAATGATGCCGAAATCTATCGTGCATATTCCATAACATGCAAATGTACAAAATTCTGTTGCTCTCTCTACTGGCCGAGAAGGTCAAAAAATGAGCAAAAAGTTGGTGGAGAAATTGGGAATCGAACCCAACACCTTTCCCATGCTAAGGGAATGTCATACCACTAGACCATATCCCCGAAGGATGTAAGAAAGTGACATTCTTGTGTATATGTAACTTCTGATTCTGCGAAAATGTCGCCATTAGTGAAAAGACTATCCACAACCGGCGACTGTATCATAGTAAACAGTAGAGAAAAGTATTATGCCCACCAGGCTCTTCATGAACAGGATCTGCGTGCCTTGATCGTGCTGCTGGCAGGCCACTTAGCATCACGTGGGGTCGCGCGACTGCCTAGAGATCTTCGCGCTTTTGCCATCGCGACCCTGGTTTTTGGAGTGGAGACCTGTGGTCTCAGCTCTCAGCTGTTGTCTGGTCCCTACAGATCCATAACTTGCGACACAACGGTGATCGCGGGACTGCACTTTGGCGCCGACGCTGGTATGCCGCAAGCATGTGGCTTCTAGAGAATGCCGGCGACCTCTTTGGGGGTGCGTACTGAGCCTCGAACTTCCGCAAATTGTGCTGATTGAGTCCATAGGCCGCAAACTCTGGCTTCGCCCAGGCAAGAGGTACCTGTTTGGCAGGACCGTGTCTGAACGTGAGTGTCCCTGTCAAGCCTTTTGTTGACCATGCAAATTGACGATATGCAGCCGGACAGCTCGCCATCTCAGACAAGACCATCTCTAGGAAGCACCTGACGATCCAGATCGACAATGTCAAGCCTGGCGAAGGCGTACGTACATGCGACAGCTTGCCCGACAGATGCAGAGAGTGCTGACAGTCCACAGCTCAACCGACATAGTCGAACAACCGTGACGATGGAAGACCTCAACACCAAGATCGGCACCTTGGTCAATGGCGTGCAAATACGAGGCCAGGCGCATGTGCTCACCGACGAGGCCACAAACGAGATCAAGATGGGGCACTGCAGCAAACTGTTTCGGTGCGTTCCACGAGCTGCGGAGCGCGAGGCTACAAAGCATACTTACATACTGGCTAGGCTGACGTGGAACCCGGTGGTGCTGAGCTTCTCGTTCACGGCCAAGGAATTGCGGGCCGACCCCTGGAAGGATTACCGAGACGATCTCGAGCAGCTCGATATCAAGTACATTGCCGAATACGACCTGTCCTTGACGACGCACGTCGTCGCCAAGAAGAGGAACACGTCAAAGGGACTGCAGGCGCTGGTCAACGGCAAGTACATTGTGACCGACTCTTTCATCAAGGCCGTGCTCGATGCCGCCACGCCGCCGGCCGACGCCGACGGCGCGGGTCAGAGCCCGCTGGAGAACGATTACGAAGGCAACTGGCCGAATGAGCTGGAACACCTACCTCCCCGCGGTGAGGAGCCGAGCAACCGGCCGGTCGACGCCTATGCGCCGAACAAGGAGAGAAAGGAGATATTTGACGGATACACCTTTATTTTCTACGACAAGAAACAGCACGAGAATCTGTTTGCACCCATCACCAACGGCAAAGGCAAGGCGTTGCTGAGGGAGGTTGTCCCGCATGAGACACAAATCGACGACTTCATCCGGTACGTGAAGGAGGTTGCAGGAGAAAAAGGCCTGGGTGAATTCGAAGACGGCAGCGAAGGCAAGGGAGTTGTCGTAGTGAAGTACGCCCCAGCAAAGGGCGACACTATGGACTGGTATGTCAATTTTGTAACCTCGATCTCACTGCGACTGGACCACCGGCTTGTTGATCAGCGGGAATTCTTGGACGCCATCTTGGCCAACAATGCGGCCATGCTTCGCCGTCCGTTGGAGGTTGAGAGGACGCAACCAGAGCCCTCACAGATGCAGCCGCAGGGCTCGGAGGCGATGGACGTGGACCAACCCCAACCAGATGGAGAGCAGCAACCTGCTCCAGACACGTCGCAAGAGGCTGAGAGCGCGCCTCGGCCGCGGAGAGGCAGAGGAAGGAGGCCAGTCACCAGCCGCTTCAAGGGCTTCGACATTGAGCTGGATCCTGATGAAGAGACGCCGAGCGCCCCGAGCGCCCCAAGTGCTCCGCCTAGTAGCTCTGCGGTACACGCCAATGATATGTTCATGTCTCAGAACGGCGCAGTCGAGGACGCAAGCGAGGTGCACGGCACACGGCAGAATGGACGGAAACGCCCCGCCTCGCCGCTCCCAGAACAGGAAGAGGACGTCTTCGAAGAGATGGCGCCAACCGCTGCGGCTGCGAAGCGCCGCCGCATAGCCCGCGGCGAAGATCCGCTCCCTCCTCCCCCGGAACCGGAAGGAGACGAAGAGGAGGTGGTCTCGGACTCGCCACCCCCCGACAAGGCCCAGAAGGGAAAGAAGAAGGGCAAGGAGAACGACATCCTCGAGCTCGCCGCCAAGAAGCGGGAGGAGATGGAGAAGCGCGCGGCCGAGGAGCGGCAGCGCCTCGAGGAGCTCCCCGACGACGGCATCGACTACGAGGAGATCCGGCGCCTCACCATCGTCGAGCCGATGGAGGTCCGCCAGAAGGCCTCTGCGGCGACGGCGCGGTCCCGCGAGCAGGACATCGCCGACGGCCGCTGGGACCCGGCCTGGAACGGGCGGCGCAACTTCAAAAAGTTCCGGAAGCAGGGGCAGCCGGCGGGCCGGCCGCAGCAGAGGGTCATCGTCGGGCTGGAGGAGGTCAGGGCCAAGGAGTACGGCATCGGCGACGACTACTGGCTCGAGGACGACAGCCACCCTAGGAAGAAGGCGGCGTCGGCGTCGGCGTCGGCGTCGAGGCAGACGCAGAGCCAGGGCGCGTCGTCGCAGTCGCAGGCCAAGTCGCAGGAAGCCGTGGCGGCCAAGGGCCGGGCGCCGTCCAGATCCATCCCCGTGGATGACAGTGACGACAGCGGCGAGAACGACGCCGTCCAGGAGATCGAACCCTCGCCGGCGCCGGAGCCGGAGCTGCCGCGTACCCGGGCGGCCAAGACGGCGACGAGGGCGAACGCCCGGCTCGCGCAGACCCAGACGCAAACGCAGTCGCAGCGGTCGAGCAAGCGTGCGGCCGCGGCCCCGCCGGACAAGGAGAAGGCGGCCAAGAAGCCGCGCAAGGCCATCGAGGTCCGGGATAGTGACGACGACAGCGACGATGAGCTCAAGTTCAGGTTCGGAAGGAGGAGGTAATGAATGCCATATGAAATGAAAGTGCTCGGCATCAAAGTCTATTTCTTTGGACGGGAGGGGGTATCACTTCTATCTCTACCAGGAACCTGCCTCGTTCCAGCTCTAGCTCGCTCTCGGGGCGGAGGGCATCTTAGCATAAACCAAAATGATACCCATATGCTTGCCTATCTTTTCCTTTCCCACAATGCCTTGAATTCTATGCCCGTAAACGCCGTATAAAACCGCAGCCCACCCTGCTCTCTCTCAGTCCATCTCGTCCATCTGCGAGGCACCAGTATCGCCTTCCTCGACCAGGATGCCCACGAGGCAGGCCGCCAGCATGGTCTCGTAGTTGACCCAGGGGTGCACCTCGCCGAAGAGCTTGTTGCCGTCCTTGCCGGCGCACCGGAGCAGCTCGCCCGCGCCGCCCGGGTGGAAGGGCACGTAGGGCGTGATGTTGTACACGCGGCCGCCGAGCGCGGTCCAGGCGTCCCTGCCCTTGCGGCCGTTCATGGCCCTGAGCACCGAGGGCGTGACGCGCAGGTAGGGCGTCGAGGCGGGCAGGTTGCGCAGGTCCGAGGTCGGGGAGGAGGAGAGGCGGGCCCAGTCCAGCGGGGAGTGGCCGGGCGTGAGCTGGACCTTCTTGGAGGCGGGCTTGGTGGTGTGCGTTGGCGGGAGGGCGAGCGAGGAACCACCCCCGCCGCCGCCGCGGGCTTGTTGTTGGGTTGCGAGAGGGCCGCGGTTGGGGAGGGGGAGGTTGCGGTTCGGGAGCGGGGAGAGTTTGGGCGGCATGGCGTTTGGTGAGAGGGCGGCTGGGGTTGGTCGGGGAGGAGGGGCCATAGCATTTGGCGTGGAGAGTGAGGGAGGAGGAGGCGGCGGTGGCATCGTGGTGGAGGTGGCAGCGGTGCCGGTGCCGGTGACGGGGCCTCGGGCGCGCTGCGCCGAGTTGGCGGCTGGGAACATGGGTGGGTTGGACGGGACGTCGTCGTGGTCTGGTTCATCTTGGTCGTCGGAGGTGAGGGAGAAGGTCGGCACGGAAGAAGCTGGCTCGGTGGCGGCGGCCTTGGGTGTCGTCTGCTCCTCTCCCTCCTCTTCGTCGGGGCCCGTCGTGGAGATATCCGGCGCCGGCACTCGTTGTATCACCGGCGGTGGAGGGGGCATTGCGGCACGGTCGGCGTCTGCCTTGCCGGCGGCCGAGTGCGTAGGTTGGCCATTGCTGGCAAGTTTCTTAGCTGCGTCTGCCTGTGCAGCAGCTCCGTTCTGAGACGTTGCAAGCGGCGCCTCGACCCTGCCCTGGCCTCGCCAGAGCTGGCCCAGAAAGTTCATCAACGGCTCTGGCCGCAGGCAGATGTAGACCACGGAAGCGACGAGGAGGCTGATGCCCAGCAGGCCCATTCTTTTTGCTCCGGAGATTTGCGGAGCTGGCGGTCGGGAATATCCTGGAGAGCCTCAGCTGAGCGCGCCCCCCGTGTACGGTCACGAGCGTGGGATGAACTGACGATGTTGTGCAGAAACGGACCATCCATCCACAGCTACGGTTGGACTAGGCATTTCAGGCGGGGACACCTGGAAATTTGACTAAGCGCACCAGCGCCCACAGCGGGCAGGCTAAAGATAGGTAGTACAAGTTGGCCCAGAACGAGGCGAAAACATGCATACCTACAGGTGGCCCATCAAACAATGCACTATCCGTTCATGCACTAACCCATTTCCCCATTGCTACTTGTATTATCATCATCACGATCTGGCAATGGAGCCGGCCTCTGGCCTCATGGGTTCCTCTTCAGTATTCTACCGACTTAGATCGGGCTGGCTTCGAAATTGTTGGGTAGCTTTATGTTCTTTCACCAGACCGAAGGCCAAGCCTGACTGATTGATGTCTCAAAAGATATCACGGCTGGAAGGAAGATTCCCCCACTGGCTCAAAATTGACAGAAGCTACCCATGAGGATCTTCAGCGGTACCTTGATGATAATCCTGCCATCCCGACGTCTCTTCGTGAAAAGTGGTGTCAACAAGCTGTTAGCTCGATCGCATTCATTCACAGTAAAGGCGTCTTGCACTCTGATTTGCGGCCCGAGAATCTTCTTGTCCAAGCTACCACAGAGTCTTTTGATCTCTGGCTTTGCGACTTTGGTGGCTCGTTCTACAAACGGCATGGTCTAGACGGCGGTCATCTGCCGGATTCGGGATTCAGTGATCCAAATACCAGGTTTGATCCAACAGCATCAACGACACAAGCTATCGATATAGTCGCCCTAGGCTCTCTTCTGTACACGATCCTCACAGGACATTGGCCTTATCGGGATCCAGGACCGCAACGGACAGCAAGAGCAAATCGATGCCTACGAGGACAAAGTCGACCGACTGTTTGCACAAGGAGAATTTCCTGATGTGCGTGGTCTTTCCAAGGGCGAGGTCCTCATGAAATAAGGTACTGGAAACAGGAGTACTCATGTGCACAAGACATTGTGCGGGACTTGAGCTAGCAGCTGGGCACGGCCAGAGCAAGATGCTGGGTCCCCGGGAATTGGTGGGATGGTGGTGCCAAAGTTACGTAGCCGCATGCAAGAGGCACCTGATGCTTGCAGCACATGGATGCGATTCACCCTGCTCGGAAATGATGTCGAAGCGCGGTATTTTCCTTTATCTGTCGTCTCTTGGCCTGCCTGGACGCTTGGTGGCTGGCCAGATGGTTCTATCTTGCGGGACAAGCAGGAAGAATGTCGGGAAGAAGTTGTCAACAATTCCAACCCGCCTCGTTTCGTTTCGATTTCAAGAGGTCGAAACGCGAAACAGGTACGGGCGGTGACGGCGAATGGGAGAAGACGCTGTTCCCTCGGCATGCTTAGTCCTCGTGCATTAACACCAGGGATTCACGGTGGGTTGTGAAGCTCCCACGCGGGGCAGCAGACCAGCTGTGACGCGCACCAGCCAGGGATGTGGCCTCTTGGAAACGGGTTCTGGTGTGCGATGCATAAATGTTTACAGTCGGTCGAGATGAGATGATGGCCCGAACGAGTGGTTCCTCTTCGTCCATGTGGATAGTTGTTCGGAAACCTGGAATTAGGTGGAGGTGGAGTGGTGAAGAAAAAAAAAGAAAAACACCACACCAGACTCACACGCATACTCACTCACACACATGCGCATCTCTTGATCGTAGACTTGCCATCTTCAAAGCCTCCCGTTCTGGCCGTCAGTCATCCGGACGAATGTCTCACTTCTCCTCATGTTTTCTGGACGATCTTCCCTTCATTAGGGGTGTTTTTGGTTATCCACTATTCGGCTCCGGCTCCCCACTAAAAACCCGCCGCTGAGCCACTGGAGTTGGAGCCTTTGGGGGACACTCTGGTACTCGGACTCTCGCTATCTGCTCCCTGATTCAGTCCCCTAGCCACTGGCAGCGCAGCCTGCAACGGCAGAGGAAGAAAAGCGCCCCAACCAAACAGAGAAAAGTCACGACTCAATCTCCCATCCATCGCCGTGACGCGGGAAGATGCGTTCACTCTACAATTCTGCAACAACACCCGCAAACCCCGCCAATTCGCGACAATCCGCATCAGGCTCGGCGGCACCCAAGTCGCATCTAGCACCAGAGTCACGACCGGTCCTCCGAAAACGACCGAGCGCCACTATTTTGACGAGGAGGCCCATCATCAACGGGGAACTCGCCGCACCAGGAGGCGCGCCGCCCGGCAGCTCGTCTTCCAACAACACCACGCCACCGCTGTTGTCGTCGACAGCTTCGCCGGCTCCGCGCAAACCGCTCAGGACCAGAGACCACAATGTCGCGCCCCCGACGACAGGCACCCGCATGAGGAACTTGGATGTCAAGGGCACGCGGACGCAAATGACAAGCCATCACCACAAGGGGCCCGCCACGATGGCGCACGACCGACACAACAACGCCGCCGCCTCCGCCTCTGCCTCGGCCGGCTCGCAACGGCAACCGCAGATGCCCACCCTGGCCAAGGGGCTCAATCGCACGCCCATCACGCCCAAGGTCGCCGCCCCGAAGCTCGCCTCCTCCACGCAGCAGCGGCAGACCGTTACCGTCGCGACGACACCCCTGGCCCAGCGGAGGCCGAACGGCGACCGGCCCGAGTCGGCACTCAGCAACAACAATGGGCACCATTACACCACCCCTGGGGGAGGGCAGAGAGACGACTATGCATCGCCCGTGCCCGCATTTCTCAGCAGCAACATCACGCCACGGTCGGGGTCGAGACAGACGCGTGTGGATAGCGGCAATACGACGCCGAACGGCACTCCGAACCCGGAGAGGGCCGATTCTTGGGATGTGAGGTCGGGCTTGGCCTTGACGCCCTCGGGGCTCGATGAGAGGTTGAGGCAGCATGCCGGACCCTACAGCCCTGTGCACGAGGCGCCGAGATATGCCCAAAACGACAAGGACTCCAAGTTCTTCTACGCCAGCGACGCGACAAAGAGCAGCACTCCCCAGCCGGCGCCCGCCAGCAGGCCTATATCGGCCCAGCAGAAAGCGCCTACCTTCTTCTATGCGAACGGAGGCGCTGTCCCCGAGAAACCCACCATCTCACCTCCCTCCTTCACGCCAGTTCTCGCGCCTCCGCCGACCTCACCAGGCCTCTCTGATTCGGCATCCAGCAAGTTTGTCTACGCCAACGGGACCCCTGACCTACAAGTCCCCGCAAGGACCAACGCCTTCTCGCCGTCCGGCGCGCCCTCTACCGCATCTACATCTTCGAAAGCACCCAGCAGACCGAGCAGCGGGACCTCCATGACTGGTTTTCCGCAGCATTACCCCCAACAACAGCAGTACCCGAGGCCCGCCTCTCCGGTCAAAATCCCTTCATTCCCCCCTCCACAGAAAGCCAACTCATCTGTTGGGGTTGGCACCCGTAGCGCTGTTGACGCCGTACCTCAATTAGCACCTGCAAACCCTGTACTTCGGCGTACAAGTACCGACGGCCCTCCCAGGAGAGAGGGCCTACACGCGCGCAATAAGAGCCTCACTATCGCCGAGCCTCCCGCTGTCGCCAAGATACTTTTGTCCAATATCAGCCTCGAACCCGCATCACCGTCGCCGCATTCCGCAGCAGCAGGTCTGGCATCGATCCTGCAGACTGTCGAGGACCTCAACGAGCCGGAGAGTGAGGACGATGGCTCGGACGAGGACGGAGAGAAGGAGCACAAGGTAAACAGCGAGCTACACAGTCCTATCAAGTCATCGCACTCCAAGGATCACCTCGATGAGCTCGTGGCCAGCGCGCGAAGGGAGCGCAAGGTGCAGGACCTCGAGATCAGGAACGGCTCCCTGGAAGCCATCAACCGGACGCTCGAGCGGCAGCTCCGCAAGCAGCAGGCCGAGCTCCGCCGGTACAGGCGTCTCTCTCGCTCCGGCAGGCTGTCCCTGGCCTCGGTCGCGTCGAGCAGGATCGCGTCTGGCTCGACGGTCGAGGGGCCGCTCGCCAACCCGGACCAGCTGGCGCTCTCGGACCTCAGCGAGGAGGACGACGAGGACGACGACCTGTCCGACCACGACCACGAGTACCCCGACGAGTCGGACATGTCCGAGTCGGGCGAGTCGGCCGGGTCGTCGGGGCTGAGCCCCAGCACGATGGCGATGCGGGACGCGCGGCACCGCAAGCGCGACGAGCGGCGGCTGCAGCTCGACCTGTCGAAGCACCAGCAGCTGCTCGTCGACAGCCAGAAGATGAACCAGAGCATCAAGCGGTGCCTGGGCTGGACGGAGGAGCTCATCCGCGAGGGCCGCAAGGCGCTCGAGTTCCAGGTGCGGGTCAGCGAGGTCGAGCTCGGCGGCAGGGTGCTGGCGCCGCCGGACGAGGAGGAGGAGGAGGATGGGAGTGGTAGTAGGGTGTGGGACGACGGCAGCTTCCTGGCGCCGGACGACACGCTGGCTGCCAAGACGCCGCCGGACAGGGATAGCGGGATCGAGATGGCGAGGGATGGGCTGTAGTGACAGCGAACCTGGACCAGGGTTTTTTTTTTCCTTCTTCCGGACCATTCACCACTCACGGACACATTCGGGATACAGCGGGATACGGCAAACATGCATTTTCTTGGGTTCTTTTGCGGTTTTCTCTTCTGCTTTTTGACCGATACCCAGAAACGCACAACTTATCAACCGCAACTACAACAACCACAAACACATACACACCACACGCACAGAGTTTTTTTCCTTGAACAACACACATCGCATGCCGGACGGAGCGCTTCGCCTGGAGAGCTGTCGCCGAGATTAAAGGGGATAGCACTTTGGAATGACGGGGGATAATGAGACACACTACCACACTTGTACCCGGCATAAGCGAAGCCGCACGCAGGCATGACTTTTTCCTTAATGTTATTCGGGTCGACAAGGCACACCTCGGGGCCGGCATCAGAAACACTATACCATCTCTTTGGCCTATTTTTCTTTTCTCTCTGTTTGTTGTTTTTTCTTTTGTATTCCCAAAGCACATTACAATGTACTTCTAGATACCCCCCCTTTCCGACAGCACCCCCAAAAGGAACAAATTTCAAAACAGACGACATAACATCACTCACGCGCACAAACATACCCACACACGCACTTCATCAATGAGCGGCGTACTATCGGAAGACAGGGGGGTCGTTTGACGATGGAGGTGGGTGTGGTGTATAGGTATAGATAAATGTGCAATCAACCTCGCGTCCTCATATTGCAGGAACGCGTCTATCCCGATCCTAACTTGTGCCAAGTCATTGTCAGGTTCTGTGTGTAGTGACTTCCATGTCACGAGCGTCAGTTCATCTTGGCGATGGTGAACCAAAGAATTTAAGCTTTCAAGCTTAGGAATCAACAACAGTGCAGCCCGTCTGGCCGTTGCCCTTGTACATTGTGCCCGACGAGACTTGACTACGCTTGCAACGTAGCTATGTCCCAGCAACCCTGCAAAACATTAGCTCGCATCGTATAAGTCCGCACACTGCTGCCCTGGCCTCGGTGTATCCTAGAGGACATCTTGTGAGGATGAGGCACGTGGGGGGTTTGACCATCCTGTAGCGTACAGTCATAGTCATGATATCTTCTCGACCCGTGTTGATTCACGCTCTGAGCTGCTGAATATGCCTGGCGACAACAGTATGTATGGTATCTAAGTTAGCTGTAGAAGATGACTATTATTGCTAATGAAATTGAGTAAATGGCTTGGTTGGCTGCTAGATAGTTGAATTGGCTTTCAAGCCTCAAATCCACGATACAACCGTGTGGCAGCCGCGCTCTACGTTGGCCCATTCATTTCCCTTGATTCGTTGCATCCTATATTCGTTCAAACTATGATTCCTCGAGAAATACCGTATATCGATGGGAAATACCATAGATCGGATCTTGGCACAGGCTGGAGGTCCTACCTTACAGGATGCGAGCTCGCGATTAATAATCGACCCCTGCACTCCGAAACCGCACCTCGGCCCCCCCAGGCTACCATGACGGCATTTGAATTCTCGCAGCCGCAGCTGTCAGCTGGGAAGTGTGAAACATATCCCAGCCTGAAATGCTACGTACCTTAAGTGGTGGAACATCCCCACAGCGTGTCTAGGACATCGGGTGGGTTCCGCGAAGCTGCTGGCGCCCGCCTGACAGCCAGAAAAACAAGATTAAAAAAAAAGGGACCGTTGCTATCTCGATCCGACGGAAAAGAGAGAGAGGATCCATCAAAGTTGACTGAGTGACTGACTGGGAGGTGGTGGCGGGCTCCACCGTTGTTGACAGGACCGACATTCTCCAGCCCGGCGCTTGCGGCTCGTATTCTGTGTCGATCATCGTGAGAGGTCCCAGGCCTATCCTCTGGCCGACAGAACTCCCGTGCCCCCCTATGCTCCCTATGAAGCCGACCGTCTCGCGGCAGCCTCGTGTAGAGCGGGCACGCTACTGATGTACTTGTACTTTAAATATCGCAAGGGCTACTCCGCATGCAGAGCTCCTAGTTGAGATCTACAGTCAATAAACGAAATGCCAAGGGGGTAAAAGAGCAAGCAACCCTGCCAATGTTGCCGATAGATTGTTTTGAGCGTGAACAACCAACCACTTGTATGGTCTTCAGCGGCCCCATATTCCATACTCCATGCTTGCACGCAGGAATGCAAATCTCGTAACCTCGTACCGTCCCCGTTACGCCGTGGGGCAACGCCTCCCCGAGACAAGCAACGAGGAGGCTCTCTTCCACCTTTCCGGAGGAAAGAGATCGCCAGAGACAATTATGTATATTACTCGGCTTCGTCGATAAAGGGAGGTTTTCCCTCACTCCGTTCCTCGCCTCGTGTTGTGATACCATCATCGCCAGATCCTCCCGATATCCTCAAGCCACAACCAACTTCATCCTGAAGAAAGCATACAGCAACTCCTTATCATTCCAACCTCCTCTTCCTCATCCTTTTTGCCCGTTTCGCACACAAAGACAAAAAAAGAAAGATGAAGACCTCCGCCGCCATCGCCGCCCTGACCAGCTTCGGCGCCGTCGTCCTGGCCGCCGACTGTCCCGCCGCCGGCACGACCAACGCCGCCGGCGACTACAGCTGCAACCCGGCGCACCAGTACCCGGCGGGCCAGACCTGCGTCGAGGTCAACGGCTGCTACGTCCTCCGCTCCTCCGCCGCCTCCAGCAGCAACAGCGCCGCCCCAGCCCCCTCGCAGGCCTGCGCCGCCCCCGGGTCGACCAACGCCAAGGGCGACTACAGCTGCAACCCGGCGCACCAGTATCCCGCGGGCCAGACCTGCGAGCTCGTCGACGGGTGCTACGTCCTGCGCTCCGCCGCCCCGTCCTCCACCTCCTCCGGCGGCCCTGCCCCCTCGCAGACCTGCGCCGCCCCCGGCTCGACCAACGCCAAGGGCGACTACAGCTGCAACCCGGCGCACCAGTATCCCGCGGGCCAGACCTGCGAGCTCGTGGACGGGTGCTACGTCATCCGGGCCCCTGCCAGCAGCACCGCGGCCCCCCCGCCGCAGACGACGACGGCCTCGTGCGCCGCGCCCGGCACGACCGGCTCCGCCGGCGAGTACAGCTGCAACCCGGCGCACCAGTACCCGGCCGGCCAGACCTGCGTCCAGGTCAACGGGTGCTACGTCCTGCGCGGCGGCGGCGGCGCCGCCACGACGACGGGGCCCAGCCCTCCCGTCACCGCCGGCGCGGCCCAGGTGTCGGGTGCCCTGTCCGCGGTCGCGGGCCTGGTGGCTGCCGCTGTCTACGGGCTCATGTAAGCCGTGGGATATACTCTTTTCTCAGTTGATATCGCTACGGACGGTGCGAGACAAGATACGCTGGATTCGTGTGTGGAATTACATCGTGTACACTTTGGTCTATAGCATTATGCTATCATAGTTAGCTTGTTGCGCTTGGAGATGGATTTTGTTATAAGGGGTGGGAGTTGTAATAAGAACGAGGTGGAGGAATACACGCTTGAATAATCAATAGTATAGTAATCAACTTCAATTCTTTCAACTGCAGAGCACTCACCGGCCGGGGTATTCATAGAACCAAGACATAGCATCATCGAGGGGAATAGTTGTTCTATGTGAAATGTATGGAAGTACGGCTCTCTCGAATGCTTCCTCTCCCTCGTCTAATTCCTCTGCCGCGAGAGGGGGACGACTATTCCGTCCTTCTAGAAACGAGGCTCATATCGCAAAATCATCACTCCCACGGCGGGCTTCATCTACTGGCCTCCTTTTCTCTCATGCTCTTCCTGCATTAATTGCCCACTCGCCCAACTAAAGTCAAAGGCATCCTCAGTTTCCACCCTGTTTCGCTTCGGCCTTCCTCCCACGACACTGCTTTCTAAGACGCCTTGGGCACGTTGGGCGCGTCCGCCGCCGCAGCCGCCGCCTTGTCCTCGTGCGACGCGGCCGTGGCAGTGCCCGCGCCCGCAGCCGGGTCGTGGTGCTTCTTGCCCTTCTTCTCCTTCTTCTCCTTGTCCTTCTTGATGGCCGCCTCGGCGACGAGCTGCTCAAAGGCCATGTAGTCGCCCTCTTCCTCTGGCGTCCTCTTTGCCTGTGAAGATAGGATAAGAAAAATTAGCTTAGAACACCCTCAACAAAAGGAACACACGAGATACTTACCTTGTTGCACACATCGCCAATCAGCACCAGGGCCTCGGCGCGCTCGAGCCGCTTGGCCAGCGGCACCTTCTTGTCGTTGAGGACGGCGTCGCACACCTCGCGCAGCACGCTCTGGATCTCAAACTTGGAGCCGCGCCACGCCGCCGTCAGGATCTTGCCCGTGACGCGGCGCTCGTACTCGGTGCGGCGCTCGTCGGTCCAGTCCTCGCCGCCCTTCTCCTCCATGCGCGCCATCTCCTCCATCGTCTGCTGCGCGTCGATGGCGCTGCTGATCGTGTTCCACGTCTCCTTGACCAGCGTGCCCTTGTCGCGGATGCGGCTGAAGAAGCCGCCCATGCCAAACATCTTCTGGCTGCGCAGCAGCGCCGTCGCCTTGCTGACGTACGTCTGGCCGATGGCGTGCAGGATGTCGAGCCCGAAGGACTCCATCTTGAGGTCCTCGACCTCGAGCCGCGTCTTCTCCTGGAAGGCGCGCGTGACGTCGGCGCCCTTGTCCGTCTCGGTCCAGACCGACACGCGGTCGAGCAGCTTGGAGACGAGCGTGTCGACGCGCTTCTGCCGCACGAGCGCGCGCTCCTTCTCGTACGCCAGGAGCTGCTCGCGCTTCTTGCGCTCCTTCTCCTTGTCCTTGGCTTTGTCCTTGCCCTTGAGGTCCTTGCCGGCCTCCTCGGAGACGTGGCCGGCCTCGTCCGACGGCCGGTCCATGAGGGCCGGGCGCAGCGGGATGGCGTGCCGGCTGCTCGGGGTGTTGCGGCCCGAAGCGTTCAGGTTGGGTGTCGCGGAGCCCGAGGGCGAGGGCGAGGGTGTCCGTCCCGAGTACGCCGGCGGGGGTTCCTGTGCATCCTTGTCGTATGCGCCGGTGGGACCATGCGCGCTCTTCTCGTCCTCCACCACGACCTTGGGCGGCTTGGCGTGGCCGCCAGCCTCTGACGATGACGCCGCCGCCGCTGCGTCGGCAGCAGCCTTGCTCTCCTTCATCGCCTCGGCGGTGCCGGGGAATTCTTCGTCTGCAGCAGCAGCGGCGTTGGCCTCGGCCTCGGCGGCGGCAGCCTCCTCCTCGGCCATGGTGATGTCCATGGTGGCCGTCAGGTCCTTCATGAGGGAGATCTCTCCGATCCAGTCGACAAAGGCCTCGCCTCCAAAGATGCTAGTGAAGAACTCGGCAGGGTCGACGAAGCCCTCGGAGGGCTTGGAGGCATCCTTGCCGAACTTGTCGTAGGCCTTGCGCAGGTCCGTGTCGGAGAGGACCTGGTAGGCCTCGCCGATGGCCTGGAACTTCTCGTGCGCGGTGGGATCATTGGGGTTCTTATCTATTGTGAAGAGAATGGAGGGCCACGTTAGATTGGAGCGCGAGACAGAACACAGGGGAGCCCAGGCTCGGGGCATCTAGGAGTGATGACGTACCAGGATGGTGGACGATAGCCAGCTTCCTGTAGGCCTTCTTGATCTCGAGCTCGGTCGCGGTGGGCTGGACGCCTAGCGTATCGTAGTAGGCCGTGTCAACAACCATGCTGGTGGGATGTGCGCCTCGGGACGGCGCGTTGCAATCAAACGATCGTCGGTTTCAAGGCTGATCTGGCTCTCTGTTCTCTGTCTCTCACCGAGCGCCCATGTGGGGAAGAAGCTGGCTGGACTTTCAATGAGCGACACTTCCGTGGTCAGATATATGTGCGCGAATGGTAGTTGGCAGCGACTGCTCTGTTTGGGGAGGACTTGATTAAGTGACAGCAGTCCTGCGCAGTTTTTGTTGTATCGTTGGTCGGGGATGCCGTCGTCACCGGGTGTTTGGTGTTTATCAAGCTGTCAGGATTTACTCCGTGATCCGCGCTTGGGCAGCCAGTTTTTAGCGTGGTGGGGCAGGGATTTTATCTAAACTTTTTGGCCGTTGCCTGCCTGGTTTGCATGTGCCCACGGTCCACCCACAGATTACGTATCCCCCTTTCTCAGCCCTTTTCAGCCCTGCTTTTGTGAGTTTCCAGAACGTTTCTTTAGCAGCAACTGGGGCTGTGACGGGCGGGGCTGCAACGTCATTCAGCGACTTTCAGGTCTCTACAGTTCACCTGGCCATGCGCAAGTGTGGCTTGGACTTCTCAGGCCTCTCTCCATGAATTATCAATGCCAATGATGGAGGTGCCCTGGTCGCAGCACTTTTGTGTCTGTGTCCAATGCATGAATCTTCATGATACAATAGCCTGTCCATCACCTCGACAAAGGAGACATATCAACCCAGCCAACAATAGTCAACCCCCCCTTCACTGAGAGGGAGCCCAAAGACCAGCAAACTGTCATTTCACTGACCATGCAGAGACGAGGTCGGATGATGGATTTTCTGAACAAATGTGACAAGGATAGTCCAAAGCGTGATGCCATATCTCAGAGACTGTGATGCAGGGCCTGTAACCCTCAAGCCCAGCTGATATCAAGTGTTTGCTTGCAAAACCATATTTGAAGACCGTGTTTTTGTACCTTTTGATGACTAGGCATGTTCTTTTTTAATCTTGTCTCCAGGCTGCAAGCCATTGTGCCAAAGCTACCTGACCAGCTTCAAATGCTTCAGATACTTGAGAAGCTTGACACAGGATATGAATCACCAGCTTTGTTGTCAAGCCCAAGTCCATCTTCTTGGCCGATCAATTGTCCCAGCATTTCATACTCACTGGAAACTAGTAACGCGCAATGCAGCCATTGTCATTCCATTGAATCATCTGTGTTGGCTCCCGTTGAGGCAGCAGGTAGACCGTTGCGTTTGGCGCTGATGCGAAGGCGACACTTGCAACACCTGGTGGCAACAGCCAGTTACGGATGCTTCGACTTCGAGAGAAGCCAAAGGTAGCCAAACGTACTACGCATCACCATGTGCAGTCGACCCGAAGTCACTCCTCATAGCCCTGCATCAGGGACGGAAATACTCATCAGCACACATCTAAAGGTCCTAGTGTGACCTCGGCAGTCGAAAATGCCCGGAGCTCAGGTGTTTTGGTAATTATGCCGGTCCTAAGCTTTATTGCCCCACGACTAGATCGTCATTACCATGGTGCTGGCGAGTATCCAGATTTAACCGTCGTGCCTGACTTTGGGGTATATCGAGACCTCGGACTCCCGATGGTTCTCTATAATAGACCCTACATCACTCGTGGGTAAAGATGATCCAATCATGGACCAGCTAATTCAAATCAAATATCATGATGCCTGGTGTAAGTGTGATGGGAATAGATTGTGTTCACGTTCCATTGATCCGTATTCGCGGGGAAAGGAGAGGTTGTTCAAGTATAGATATGAAGCCAAATCCAGCCAGAAAGACATACCCGATTCTCCTTTCATTCCTGGACAATAGTCAGACTGATCAGTCAGTCGTAAAGCTAGCCTTCGAGATTCTCATCGTAAAAGACAAACAACATGAAACTAATCAACGTTGCAACTACCGTCGCTCTCCTCGCCTCCTCTGCCCACGGCCAAAAGGCACTCGAGTGGAACGAGCCCACGAGCGGCGTCACCTACGGGCTGGCAGTGCCCGAGGCCGCCTCAGCGCCCTTCGACGTGCTCCTCTCCATCGTGGCACCCGCGAAAGCAGGCTGGGTCGGCTGGGCCGCCGGTGGGTGCATGCTGCGCAGCCCCATCCTCGTCGCCTGGCCCAACGGCAACACCACCGTCGTGTCATCTCGATGGGCAAAGTAAGCCTCCCAGCCCCCCAGCGCTTCTTTGTTCGAAACCATATCACCGCATGGTACGAACAAACTACTGTGCTAACCGACTCTCTCCTACCCAGCGCCTACCACCCCCCGGCCCCGTACAACGGCACCTCGACCAAGGTCTTCGCGAGCTCGTCGACCCGCAACGAGACGCACTGGAAGGTCAGCGTGCTCTGCTCGGGCTGCAGCCAATGGGTCGGCGGCGAGGTCAACTCGCACGGCAACGCGACGTTTGGCTGGGGCGTCAGCAGCCACGCCGTCGACACGCCCGCCAGCGCGTCCAGCGCCATCCGCTTCCACGACGTGGGCAAGGGCCACTTTGAGCTGGACATGAACAAGGCGAGGCTGTCCAAGGACGACTTTGGGGCGCTGGTCAAGTCCCTCGGCGGTTAGTGAGGCCAGGGGAGCTTCAAAACCCCTTGACTTCTTGGTGGCTCTCTTTTTCCTCAGGCTGCCGCTTCAAGGGCCGGGTTTGTGGGGTGGAAATCGTTGCAGCCGGGAAATTCGGTCCTTTCGCTTAAGACATGAGGTCCAGGCGTAAGCACTAGATAGCTCAAAGAATTGAAACTGTTTCAGCAACCTCCTCGTTTTTCTGTTGGTCCCTAGACAGCATCAGGGAATATTCTACGCGAAAGGCAACTGTTCTAATCGAGTTGAGTTCTGCGCCATTAGAGCGCGCTCAAACACATGGCTCCTCCGGCCGTGAAGGCCGGGATTGAGATCCTCGCGCCTCCCACCATCCTCCGATCAGTTGTAAGGCCATCCACACCCTTGATAGCGCGAGTTTGCCTCAAAATGATCTCCCTGACATCCAATTACTCAGTTCCTTGACTTTGGCCGGTTCAAGCCATGGTCCCCCAACTTGGAGATCACGGCCAAGGGCGAGAACAAAGATCCGGTCAGTCTGGTCCCTGGCGATAAGATTACGGTGAAGGCCCATGGTGTGGGATTCTCCGGGGAGGTTGTTGTGAGTATATGCGCTCTCATCCGGTTGTCAAGGGACACCCCAAGCTGACCCATGCGGTAGGAAAACACGCCGGAACGCTTCGTGGTGGACTCTTGGCTGCCGTTCGGTCTCATTGTTGGACGTCGTTACTTCACCTTCTCGGCCAGTAGTACAAACCAGGATGACACTGCATTCATGCAGTTGGAAGAGTTCAGGGGACCCTTGTCTGGGATCTTGGGCAGCTTGGTGAACCAGCAGAAGCCGAGTCCGGGGTTTGCAACATTCAACGAGGCTTTCAAGAAGGAGTGCGAGAGGCGGTCTACTGAGCAAGTGGTGGTCCCAAATAACGCAGTATGAAACCTTTTGGACACTGAAATTGAAGTACGACGGTTTTGAAATAGTCATACTAAGAAGTTCCGCCCATTTTGTTGTAATGGCAATACAATCGTTGCAATGAGAAACGGAAGCAAGTCAAGATGGTGTGGTGTGGCTTGAATTTTTCAAATTACCACGGCCACATACATGGTGATGCAGCCGTGGAATCCCGACCAGGGATATAGAGTGACAGGTTCGCTCCAGGTATGATAGGCTGTCAATTCTCAAGAGTAGAGACAACACCTCCTTACTCCCTCTCTCTGATACCACCATCAGTCACTGCTATGCTTCCTTCAGCCGGTACATGGTGCAAAACAAATCTGTCTAATGTCGAGAGATAGGTCTAGAAGAAGAGTGGAATGCTACCGAAAACCCATCTTGATCTATCTCTGGTCGAATGTAGTATGCATATAGCCTTGCAGCAGTGCAACGACCATCACGGCTGAGACCTCGCCCTTACCTACAGCTTTGCAGAGCTCTGCACCAGAGGCAGGTCGACAAACTTCTCATACTCCTCCAGCGACTCCGGGTTGGCCGCCGTGCCGCCCACTTTCGCGGTCCGCCCGCACACGACGTCCTTGACCAGGTTCTCGATCCTCTTGCCGTTCATCGTGTAGGGGATGTCTTGGACCTCCAGTATGTGGGCCGGAACGTGCCTGGAGCTGAGCTGCTTCCGGATCGTGGTCCGGATGCGGTCGCGAAGGCCATCCGACAGGGGCGGCGTCTTCACCTTGAGGAACAGCAGGACCTGCTCGTCGGCGTCGAGCTTGCGGCGCTGGCCCACGGCGATGCAGTCCTGCACCTCTGAGAACTGGTCGACGATGCCGTAGAGCTCTGCGGCTCCGAAGCGCACACCTAGAGAATGAAACTATGAGCTACTGAACAGCCTGTACATGGCATCTAGCAGATGCTTACCACCTGGGTTGAGGACTCCGTCGCTACGGCCGAGGACCTCGTAGCCTTGGGTCTTGACGATTTTGCGCACAAAGTCGCCGTGGTGCCAGACACCGGGGAATGTGTCAAAGTAGGCCTTGCGGTACTTCTCCTCGCCGCCCTCGCCCCAGAACGTGATCGGCATGCTGAAGAAGGGCTTCGTGATGACCAAGTCGCCCTTCTCGCCCGTGTCCTCGATGTTCTTGCCATTGGCGTCCCAGATCTCGACGGCCATGCCCAGCGACGGGGCTGGCAGCTCGCCGTGGTGGACTGGGAGAAGTGGGCTGCCTCCGATGACTTGTATGGTGGCACGTTCAATTAGCCTCATATCGGTTAGGGAAGATAGCACCAATACTTACTTCCTGCGACGAGATCTGTCCCTCCAGTCGCGCTGACCAGACCGACCTTACTTGGGAAGATCGATCGGAACCACTCGAATATCTCTGCAGATAGAGGCGCCCCTGTTGACAGTGTCATCTGTAGACTGTCCAGCGGCGGCATATTCTTTATTCCAGCTTGTTTGAGGGCAGCTAGGAACTTGGGGCTCGTGCCATAATGTGTGACGCTGGGATTGTCAGTGTTGCTCTTCGACCAGGTCTCAAAGATCAAGTTGCCCAACTCACCCTTGCTCTTGAAGCAGCTGTACTTGGTAGTCAGGAGAGGGGTACAAAGGGCTGCCATCGTATAGCACTATCCTGGCGCCGAGGCTCAATGCGGATATAAGGTAGTTCCACATCATCCAGCCTGTCTTTGAAGGAAGTCAGCATCGCAACTCCCATCTTGTTCTAGAAGCTTGCTCACGGTGGTATATTGATAGTATGTAGAATCTGGACCCAAGTCGAAGCCCAGGATGAAATCCTTCTTTTGCTGCAGGAGGGCGGAACCTCCACCATGGACAATGCCTATACAAAATCGATTAGCTCCTAATCATATCTGGGCGTGATGAATATTGAGACCAGACATTTTGGTGGTCCAGTAGTCCCTGATCTAAGAATGTATTAGCTGACTGAGTCTCAATCGGTCGTAGGATCAACTTAACTTACGAGTAGAGAATATAGATAGGGTGATCGAAAGGTACTTGAGCAAACCTAAGCGACTCTGTCCGGACATCGAGGAAGTTGTCAAGGGATTTTCTGGAAACCCAAGTCCATCAGCACAACATCATCGCACCGAATCAAAACTTGTCCCTCAGGCAGCCTTACATCCTTCCATCGCTCCAGCTGCTGCCAGAGACGTCAATGACCACCTCCAGCTCCGCAACCGCCTTGCGCAGCTGCGCGACGACCCCGCCGAGCTTCTCGCGGTGGTCGTGCGTCTTGCCGTTGTACACGACGCGCGACTCGACAAACAGCACCTTGGGCCTGATCTGCAGGTACCGCTCGAGGATGCCCTTGGCGCCCATGTCCGACGCCGTCGACGACATGATGGCGCCGACGCTGCCGCACGCGAGCAGCACCAGCAGCGCCTCGACCGAGTTGGTCGTCACGACGGCGACCCGGTCCCCCTGCCCGACGCCCAGCGACCGCAGCGCCGCCGCGTACCGCGCCGTCTCGTCCCGCAGCCGCGCCCACGTCAGGTGCCGCCAGGCGGCGCCGCCCTCGCGGCAGGCCGACACGGCCACGGCGTCCGGGTGCGCCGCGAGCCCCGCGGCGAGCATGTTCTCGGTGAAGTTGAGGCGCGCCCCGGGGAACCAGTTCGGGCGCGGCCACATCCTGTCGAGCGCGCCGTCGTCGGGGCCGGCCACGCGCTCCGGCGGGGCGCTGCAGACGACGCCGCAGAAGGTCCAGAGCTCGCGGCAGAAGGCCTCGAGCTCCGTGACGGACCAGCGCAGCAGCTCGTGGTAGGTCTCGAGCGACAGGCCGTAGCGGCGGTTGACCTGCCGCCTGAAGGCGTCGACGCGCGTCAGGTGCGGGCTCGGGTGCTGCCAAGAGTTGGTCGTCGTGGGAGGAGCCATGGCGATGTGCGATGAGTTCAGACGGGTCTGTTGTCCTCCAGATGCGGTGAAAAGGGAAAGGTTTCTGAGATGCCGACAAGTACGAATATACAGATGCACACGCGCGTACACACTCACGGTCAGCAACCAAGGAAATGCTTATGTAGTCTATCTATTCTGACCTTACACGCTGCAGCAAGTGCAGTAGCGACAGGGGTTGACGGGCCTCGGACCGCCGAGCCCCACTGATGACCTGCGGAAAAGCCGGTTGAGGCCTTCGGAGAATCCTCACGGCACATCTGTACGGCATTCCCCCCTGTGGTCCCATGCGGGGAGCTGGCCCCCAGTTTTTCAGCGCCGAGGTGTCGCTGAGATGCTCCGGATGCGCCGGCCCGAGCGAGAATGGTTAGTCCAGTTCGTCTAGCATTCAGATCGGTGGAGCTTGAATGGACCTCATCCATCTCGAGTGATCCTCCCAAGAGCTGGAGGTGATTCTGTGGCTACTCTGAAAGATCTAGCAACTGGGCAAAGGAAACATGAGCTTCAGTCCAGAGGTTGGGAGAACCCCTTCGCCAACTACCTACTAACTCCCTACTGCCGCTGCTCCTTGGTCAAGTCATCCCCAAAATCCTTGGGCAGCTCCGGACCCCAGACCGAGATGGGACCGGCCACATCCCGCCTCGTCTTGATGTCCACGTTGACCACGTCGCCGTCGGCATAGTGCTCAATCTTGAAGCCGCTCGGGTCCGCCCAGTAGTCAAAGATCTGGCTGCCCAAGACGTGCCTCCCGACGCCCCAGACGGCGCGCCACCCCTTCTTGGCCAGCCACTCGTGCCCGAGGAGCTGCGTGTCAAAGTCGCTGATCTCGTACGACGTGTGGTGCACGTACGTCTGCTCGACCTCGGGCGGCGCGCGCTGCATGAAGAAGGTGTGGTGGTCCGAGTACTCCTTGCCCAGGTCGAGGCGGATGAAGGCCAGCACGTCCATGTCGTGGATCTGCGGGTGGTAGAGGACGTCCGAGGGCACAAGGTTGAAGTTGGACGTGTAAAAGTCGAACTCGGCGTCAAACTCCTTGCAGACGTAGCCGTAGTGGCCGACCTTGTGGATGAGGGCCGGGCCCGGGTGGTAGCGCTGGAACTGGCCTTTTTGTCTCGCTCTGGTCAGCAAACGAATCAATCTCTGGGCCGCTGGTTTAAGACCCGCGTCACCTTACCTAGCCTCGGCTTCTCAAAGGGCGTGTTGAAAGGCCCCTGGTGATCGTGAGTCTCGGTCGGTATGTGCTTGGTGTCAACCTGCCGGTCCTCCTGTCCGTAAATGACGTGCATGAAAGTCCCGTTGGGTCGGGCAAAAGTAATGACCTGGCCGCCTCCGGGGCCCTCGAGAGGTTTGGGTGGCGATGCCCCGGGTATCTTTGCTGCCTTATTGAACTCCTCCTCGGACGCTGCCACGAACGCTCCTCCGCCAAATTTAGGTTTCCCATCGGCGCTCTTCTTGGCAACGTAGCAGTACGGATCCCGGCCGTAGCCACGAAAGTAGATCACATCGCCACGCCTCTCGGCCTCGACAAATCCAAAGTCGTGTGCGAACTCGGAAAACTTCTCCAGGTCCGCATGTTCAAAGTAGACGTGGGAGATCCTACTGAGCTGAACTTTGGAAGGGTAGTTCTCGACGTGAGGGATCCGCATGTTGGGCAGAATCAGTCTCTGAACGGGGCCGGGCAATTGACAAAGTAAGGAAAAGAACAGGTTTGAAACGGACATGGTCACTTCAAGGCATGGTCCTGGAAAGGTCAGTCAAGCCCACCGTATCAAATATTCTACAGTTGGGCGTGACACATATGTAACCCTGCCGGTTAGCCAGTTCACAGCTCACCGGGGTGAATGAGGGGATACTCCGTGGAAGTCACTCCGGCAAAGTCACTCCGCGGCGCATTCCCACCCACCTCGACAACACCAAGATGAATATGGACTAGAGGCTTGTTGGGGGAAGAATTTGCACGATGAGCCTTGGGACTGACGAGGCCAATATAATTCAAAACGCACCTCTTTGATGTAGAAACCAATTGTCAAGTCATTGTTCGGTCGGGCAACATGACCAACGCCCCAGTAGTCATAGTTGGCGCGGGCCCTTCGGGGCTGGTCTTGGCTCTGTCCCTCGCCAGACATGGAGTATCTGTAAGCTGTTGCACTTCCACAACCATCAGGGTGCGCCTAGAAATGCTAATATTTAAAGTCTACCATCTTGGAAAGGGAAACGGGTATCACAGAGGACCCGCGTGGCGTCTTTCTGGCAGGTGATGCCAACCGGATACTGCAGGATTTGGGTGTGGGCAGTCAGCAGATGGAACACATCGGACACGGCAAGGAGCCTCAGCCGCAGTGATGGATGTGACAGCGCTAACTTTTAGAGTAACAAAGTCGTCGAGGAGATCCGGTTCCACAAGAGCAGCTTCAAGAACCCGCCCTTCATCACAGTCGACATCAGAAAGGATACGCTCAAGCAGGTCGTTCCCGATGGCGTCTTGCAGATACAGCCCAGGCTTGGTATGTTATATCTCATGTCGACTCAGGCCAAGATCCCCCGCATCCTAAACATACCATGTCTAGAACACGCGCTGCGCACCCTCGTCAGCCGGTCTCCCTTCTGCAACCTTCGGGAAGGATGCGAGGTCACCGGCCGCACCGAGTGCGGACGTACTAGTACCACCGTGGTGCACTACCGTGACCCCTCTGGCAGCGCAAGGGACATCGCCTGCACCTGGCTCGTGGGTGCAGACGGTAAGAAGGGCATTGTGCGCAAGAAATTCCTGGAGCCCACGGCCGGCATCCGCCAAGAGACGGGCCTCTTTGCCTACGAGGGAACCTGGATCGCCGCCAACCTCAGGATAAAGGGTCCCACCCCGCAGAGCCACCCGGACTTCCCCCTCTGGGCGCTGGGCTACACCCCGGAGCAGGTGTACGACCTCTTCTGGCCCCGGCACTGGCATTTCTGCAGTCCGCCGGGCAGCCCGACCGCCTGCGGGCGCTTCGGCCCCCACGCCGACCGTATCTGGCGCCACGAGATTGCCGTGCCCAATGACTGGGCCGGCGACATGGACGCCGAAGAGATGTTGCTGGGTCATCTGCTGCCCATGGTGACACGCACGCAGGACGAGAATGGCGAGAGCTTCCCCTGCGGAGAAGTCGCGTTTCCGAGGGAGTGCATCGAGGTGCTGCGGTGCCGCTCATTCCGGTTCGCCCAAAAGGTCGTGAACCGGTGGTTCTTTGGCCGCACGATCCTCACCGGCGACGCGGCCCACGTCTTTCCGCCGTTTGGCGGGCAGGGCATCGCCTGTGGCATCCGAGACGCGTATGCTCTCGCGTGGCGCCTCGCGGCCCTGCTGAAGATTGGGCATCCGCCGGAAGGGAAGGCAGCGGAGCGCCTGCTGACGATGTGGTCGGAGGAGCGGAGGCAGGGTGTTGACGACTCGACCAGGCTGACCAGAGTGAACGGCTTGATGTGCAACAACGAGGAAGGATGGCTCCAGTACGCTGTTCGGAAGGCTATGGACTTCCTGGTGCGATTTCAACTGTTCGGGTTCCTCAAGATGAACTTCCAGAGCGACAGCCACGGCTACAAGCCGACCAAAAATGGGTTCTTCTTAGAGAAGTTTGGGGGCGGTCCCAAGCTAGCTCAAGTTTACGTACAAGCGAGAGGACAAGAGCCCGTGCTGTCCGACGAGCTGCTTCGAAGGCAGACCATCTTGACACTGCTCATCATTGGCAGTCACTATGGCGACTTAGACTCCCAGGTCAAGGAATCATTGAGAAGAGCCAAGTTGCCGCAGGAATTGCTATCAGAAAAATCGATAGCGTACCTGAGCCCTGATGCATCAGCGACCACGCAGCCAGTAGCTGGAGCGGAGCCAGTCTTTCATCTCTGCAAGGAACAAGGTCTAAGCAATCTCAACCTCCGCCCCGGCTATGATGCAGGCGCTTATATGGATCGAATCGGGACACCCGCCAAGTTCGCGATCCTCCGGCCAGACTGCATCGTTTTTGAGGTTATTGGGTCCGTTGCAGAACTAGAACAATGCCTTGTCTTGCTTGGGGAGATGATAGAGGATGATGTTTGAAAGACATCCTGGGCTTAAGCCTTGTAAAATATTAATTGTCGATACGAAAATCGATACTTTCCTCAACTTTATCGCTCCCTGAAGCGTCTATTGATCAAAATTATAGGTATCTTGACTATCATATGCACGCAAATAAGACACATCCAAGAGTATGCTAGTTTTCTGTAGCGGCAGCAGGAAATGAGTACAGACGAATACTTTTCCCATGGCCAACCTGACATTTGCAAACGCTCATTACATTTGATGGAGGGAAGGCACTAACAGTTGCCGACCATAGTAAGCCACCGTCTTCACTTGACTACTATACTCGGTATTGTTACTGTAAGTATGGGTTCTGACATAATGCGTGCATCAGGCCTCAAACACGATCTTATTTTGGAGCGCTGGCAACCCTTCCAGCTCAATCTCGACAACATCTCCGTCTCTGAGGAGCCTTTTCGGTTCATGGAAGTATCCCACACCAGCCGGCGTTCCAGTCATGACGGCTGTACCAGCAGGAATAGTAGTGGCTGTAATTGCGAATTAGAAAGCGTCTCATTTATCAAAAGATCTTCAGACTTACCTTGGCTCATCCAGCTCAGGACTTGTGCTGGACTAAAGATCTGATCTTCGTCGATGCTCGCCTCCTGCATCACCTTGCCGTTGAGCTTGGTAGTGAGCTTACGGCCTTGGCCTCCGTTGGCAAAAATCTCGGGAGACACAAGAACGGGACCAATAGGTGCGAACTTGTCAAAAGCCTTGGCGAAAAAGTACTGGCCTCCCATCTGATCTGGATCCTGGAACAGCCGGCAAGAGAGTTCGTTTGCCGTGGCGTAGCCGAGTATGCAATCTTCTGCCTCTTCGGGAGTGACATTCTTGCACTTTCGCGAGGTCACAAAAACATATTCACCCTATCATGGAGGCATCAATGTTGATGCGTGCGAGCCGCAAGTCATGAGAAGGGGCTAGCATACCTCGTAATCTGGGTAGCTTGTAGTGCAGAACTTGTCGATATGGATGTCTTCCCCTGGATTTGCAAGCGCAGCAGCAGGTTTCGTCCACAGAGGAGGGTGTTGGGGGATTTTGGCCTGGTCACACAAGTCAACGAACAGGCTCTATGTCCTTCATTTGGGGGTTGCTAGACCTTGTTCTCCTCTGCATGAGATTTGTAATTGAACCCAACACAGTAGATCGGCAGGCCTGGACTAGGCACGGGGGCTAGTATCTAATATTCACTTAGTAAGACTGTGATTCAAGACACTAAGCGCATTCCACTCACTTTGGCCAGTCTCACTGACCTCCCGCCACGTTTTGCCGTAAAAGCAGCAAAGGACGAGAACCCTTCCAGCTGATGACCCGGGCAGAGGGAACCGGCATTGCTGGGCTCTATATCGGCAAAATATGTCTGGCCATCATCGGCTTCGAAGCGAACAAGTGCCTGGAAAGTCGACATCGTGGGCATCTTGTGAAGGAACTTGTATCACCTGTTTTCTATACTAGAACTGATGTTGTGGTAGCCAACACCTATCGAAAACCACTTAACATCATTCAATTTATAGGACATCCGAGCCAATGCCAAGCCCTTTCCATCGGCGCAGCATTTTATGCTATTGGGGTTCTCGGTGACGCGGCGTTGTGACGCGGCGTTATGACGCACCGACGACTGGGGTTGTAAAGGTAGAGGTTGTTCCTCGGAGGAACATGAGGTTGCTCCGGGCCGGCCGGGCACCGCCGTTGTGGGTCCCAGCAGGCTCCTCCGGGAATAAGAAGAGGGGGTCTGGAAGGTGTTCATTCAGCAGGTAACTGATTTCGGCGTCATGGAGCTTTTGCGTCATAACAGAACCACTCCAAGAGCCTTATCGAGGTGTTTGAATCAAACTGTGAAGGAGTTACAAGACTGAGTTTTCGATGCGTTCATTGAGTATCTGCAATACCAATGTGAGAGAGCGTGATTCTGTTTCTGGAGATGCTCCATAGTCCCAACATTCTTGACCCTTGTTCCTCACTAGTCCTTGTTTGGAGTAGCGGAAATGCCAACCCCGGAGTCTGACTGCACCGCCTTCCCAAATACAATCTTGTGATGCATCTTTTCACTTGTGACCGCATACTGCTGACGTTGATACTTCCGTCTGGAAGCAGGCAGACAAAATAAGCGTGGGCACAGGAGTCATTGATGTAGCAGCCGACAGTGGCTTGTCGAGCTCTACGGAGTTCTCTGTACCTGTACCTGTACCGATGCCAAACTTTGTCATGGAAGAGACATCGCCCTTGGTACTTGACAGTACCTCACCGGAAAGCCGCTCTGGGGCTGAGGAGCCTAGGAGTCGTGTCTGTGATCGCTGTATCGTGTGAGCATCCCCTAATCAGGCGTGGTATTTGGTCCTAGATACTGACCTCTGATGCAGTAAGAAGGTGAAATGTACACGCACATCGGTCAATTCCGGCAGCATCGGCTTGAACTGACGTACATTGTAGGCGACATGAGACGCCCAACATGCTCCCGTTGCTTTGAGAATAGCGAGGAATGCCTGTATTCGGCTACCAGAAAGCGACCTGGCCCGGCAAAAGGCACCCTGCGACACCGGTCAGGTAACTCACCGAACTAATGTTGATCGACATGCCGAAAGAAGCTGATTGTTTTACTTTCGGGGAGTAGGACCATCAAATCAGACGGCCAAAAGGAGGAAACACAATCCCCAGTCCTTTCCAAACCTTGAGGATGACCCCATGGTGCAGCTTGACCCAGGATACTTTGACGCTGTTTCAGTACTCAATGACCTTGCCACCGCCGAACCACAACCCATATTCCCCGACAGCTGGCTGGTCACGCCGCAGGACACTTTGTCGATACCTGAACCGAGCCTGACTTTTGACCAAGAAAAGTCGATGTGCGTAATTTTCGACCATACTCGCCGACGTTCCACTTGGACTAACGTTGTGTGTGAACAGACTGGACAACTACTTTGCATACATCCACCCCTGTATGCCCATCCTGCACCGCGACAAGTTCCGCAGACAGCACGAGGATGGCTCTGCTAACAGAGACCTCCTCACCGTCATGCTGACGATGACGGCCAAGATCCTGGGGCGGCCGAATTACTGGGACGAGCTGGACTTTGCCGCCTCGTTGCAAACACATCTCCACGATAGATCAGTCCCGAGCATAGACAAGGCGGCGGCAGGGCGGCGGCCATCGCTCGACGACTTCAGAGAGGCTTGCCTCCTCGCGTTTTACGAGTTCCACCAAAGCCCCGGAGAGAAGGCCTGGCTCCGGATCGGCAACCTCACGCGCAAGGCGCACCACTACCGACTCCACCAGATCGACCACCGGGCGGGACCATTGCCATGTATGGCGAACGCCCTCGACGAGGAAGAGCGGGACGAGTGGAAGGTCCTATGGTGGTGCATATTCTGTCTCGACTCGTACTCCAACATCACGGCCGCGATCCCTTTCGTGATTCAGATCGACAGCATCCGGACGTCCCTCCTCGCCGACTCTGGGCCGCTGGACGGACATGGAGGCGCGCGGCGGCCCGAGATCCTCCTCCCCGACGAGCCGGACCTGCTCTGGAAGGTCGCCAAGGAGGTCCTCTCGCTGGGCCGCCACGTCAACTTCAACATGCACATCGTCACCACGGCGCTCCTCCGCGAGTCCGCCACGCTGTACCGGCTGTGGTACCAGGCCCCGTCGGAGCGCCTCAAGTCGCGCATCGCCGCGTTCGAGACGCACACGGCCGCCCTGAGGCTGGCGCTGCCGCCGTGGTACCTCAGGACAACCCGCGACGTCCTGCACGACGAGTCCTGCGAGGACTACCACGCCCGGCTCATCTGCGTGCTCCACATCAACGCCGCGCATCTCCTGACGGCCCTGTCGCTCCCTCAGCAAGGGGCCGACGGGGAACAGGCGACCTTCCGCGCCAAGACACTCGCCTATTCCCAGGACATTGTAGCCGTGGTCGAGCAGTGGGACGGCCAGCGCTCGACCGGAGTGGACCCGGCGGTCTGCTTCATCATCTACGCGGCCCTCGTCGTCCTGCAGTTCCACATCGACCTCTTGGGCGGCAAGGAGCCGAAACTTGATTCTCGGCTTGGCACATGCAGGACTCTTCTGCTGCTCTTTCTGGAGCAGTTTGCAGAGTTCTGGTACTTGCCAAAGTTCTTGATAAGTGAGTGGTATCACTGGGGCTGGGGAGTTGGGTTGGTACAGACCTGCTGGGAACTAACTCTCTTCTCCTTGTAGGATCCTTCAACAAGTACTGCCAGATCACGCATGACAAGTCGGGTGGCTCGTCTGCACTGTTGAAGAGTTTCCAGGTGCCTCTCCATCCCGAATGGGTGGCCAACGTCTCGGGTATGGATTTGGATATGGCTCTCCCATCTCCGCCTGAGGGAGACGCTCCGGCGCAGGGTTCTCAGGATTGGGGCTCCAGAAGCTGGCCAAACGCCCTGGGATATACGTAAACGCAACATGCACACACAAGTCTTGATCATCAACTTGCGGAAACTAGAAAATGACTGGACATATCTCGAACAGTTCTTAGAATGCAATGGAGAGTTCATCTTGAACTTCCTCGCTCGTAGTTTCTCGCACCGCATCACTTGTGCATGTAAGCAACCCAATGGGGATGATACGACTGTTTTCATTTCCGACATGTGCCATTGCAGGTTACGTCACTTTCTCTGCCATAGTATGGTGAGCCAGACGGATGTCTTGGTAATTGATTACCGACTATTTATATTATACCACATACCCGCTCAACTTCTTCCAGCTAATAGGATTTAAGGTTTTGATATGTAACTTCTTGGCATTCTTTGTCGGGGCATGCTTACCCATCCATGGAGGATTAATGGGTTTGGCGGAAGCATGAATAGCTCTTATCCGGATCCTCTCTCTCGACTCCCTGGGCTTAGCCTTGTCCTTCTTCTCCCCTTGACACAAGAGAAAAACACGTGGAAAATCGATACCAAGGCAGCAAACAAAAAAGGAGGCGGAATGAGAAGAGAAAGAAAGAAAGAAAGAAGAAGCTATAGTACACAGCATCAAGAGCGACAATCTAACTTTATATCTCATGTCCTCTGATTCACCGAGAAGATAGGAGGAGGTCAATAGATCTTATCCCAGCCTGAGAGATTAGCTGGTAAGTCACTGGAATAAAAACTTGGACGCAACTTTCTGTGAAGCTTCTGTTTGCTTTTCTCCTGCGGTTAACCATTCTTGTTCTGACGCAGACCTCAAGGCGGCCACGGGTACAGTCTTGCCAATAGACTCAAAAGACCGAGATACACCACAAAATACCCAAAAATATATCCTGACATTCCAAAGGACCACCTGATTACGTTCAATGCAGCATCGACCAGGCTATCATCATCCCCCTCCACGCCCGTCTACCCGAGTCGGCCATGACACAACTAAAGGCCCCCTCCCCAAGCCTCGAACGATGCCGACCGCCCAATCACCGGTTTGTTTTCTTTCTTCAAAACTGCCCATAAAACTCACAGTGTATCTGGACACACGTGTATTTGTTCGTCACGACCGGCTTGTCCTTGACCTTCTTGCACTCGACGTTGCCGCACCGGTCCAGCAGCTCCGTGATCTTGTGCCCGCACCGGTGGTGGATGTAGATCTTGCGCACGCACATCGCTTGTTCTCGGTTCTCGGGGGCGAACTTTTCGCTTTTTTCGAACAAGACCTTCTCGTGTCTGTCGTGTGATTTCCAAAGAAAAGAAAAGAAATAGATCTCTCATGAAAGTGCGCCGGACTTCTTTCTTTATTCAAAGGTCTAGGCAGGTTGAGGCCTCTAAACCCGCTCCGGGGGGAGAGGAGCAAAGGTGTTTTCAGAAACTCCAAAGTAAGGTACGGATGACAAGTGATCACGACGGGCAGGCGTGAGAAAAAGCTTGCTATGAGAGGTTCTGATGTCGTTACACAGCGTCTGCTCAGAACGCACCTTTGGTCAGCTGATCTCCCATCTCAAAGCAAGGGGCGGTGAGGTTGGAAGCCGCACTTTTCAACACTGTTGTTATGTGAGATCTCTTCCCTGGGGATGATGGATTCGCTTGTGAGGATGTTGAACTCTATTTCACAGAAGGAAGGACTCGGTACTGCTGCAGAAGCCTGATCGCAGCAGAAATGGACGGGAAGACCTATTTGTAAACACATGTCTGGTGTCCGCATCTTAGTATCCCCATCATGATTGAGAGAAAAAGGCAGCATAACCATCATCGGGAGGGATATTATAGCTCACGGCTGCAAGCAGCCCAAAATGGCATCATGACTTGATAATATTTCCTCCTCATCAGCAGCTAACGCCACATTTTTCACATGATCCACCCCGCGCAGGAAGACTGGGAGGCGGAAAACGATACTGTTTCGGAAATCCTAGGATCGTCTCATCTCATCCATGGCTTTCCTGGCCCGCTGCCGCTGCCGCCCGCCCGCCAGAAAGGAAGCGTGGGATGTTCGTTTTTTCAAACACCACCCAGCAGATAAAGCATCAACGTGTAAATGACTGCCAGCACACGGGACGACCCCCTCCCCTCCCCATCCATTTTCCCAATTTACGGTTTTCCCTCACGCAAAGGGCCGCCCGCTCGGGACATTGAACCGGTGGGGTTGATAGCTGTGCCTTCTATAGTCCCACGCGAGCGGGTAAGAGGCTGATGAACTCATGACCATAGCGCGCGCCCCCTCTCTCTTCAGGTGGAAGGGCCGTACCAGAACAAGTCTCGAAGTGTGCCCAGGCGGTGAGCCCAGAGCCCAAAGCTTGATAGGAGCGTGTGGTGCCCTCTGCCGGTTCTGGTCCAAGCCTCGGAACTCTTGATTGGGGGGTGCATCCCATCCTCCATCTCCTCCAAGGTCCTTTCCGGTTCCCACCCGGACCAAACTCATCGCAGAGTCGGTGTGCTTGCAACCTGAACCATGGCTCCTGATCGTCTGAAATCAGGATATTCGAGTTTCCGGGCGGGCAAAGGAGCCACACTGGAGCACGAATCCGGATTTCGGCTTCGTGGGAACCGTGCACCCACGACACTCAAAAAGTGGTCTCCTGACTAGGCTCCCTAGGCTCAGCCATATATTGCCAGATGGTAAGTCATTTACGCCCACGTCTCCGATTCGTTTCCCTTCTCGTCCCCTTTAGCTGAGTTGTGATAGCGTCTGCGGTGCTTGTCGTGGGTATATGAAATTACTAAAGCAAGTCGGGATGTCGTTCATGTTTCGGTCAATGCACCTTTCCAAAGGGGCTTATTAATACTGCAGCATCTTCTTCGCGATATGACGAGCTCGGTCGTCTCAGGTCCACTCTGGCCAAGCCGCGTGGGAGGCGGGACACAGGACCCCACGCCGCGATGTGGCCCATAGCACAGCAAAGTGCAGCGCCAGGAGCGTCATGCTAGCCTTCCAGTCCCAGCGCCATCGCGATCTCGGTGCGACCTGCTGACCAGCAATGCTGACATTGTGGCTCCCGCGTCGGGGCGCTCCGCGCCCTTGCATTGTCCCGGGAATGCCAAGATCCAATCCTGCGACGGCCACCAGGGACGCCCCGATGCCCGTGTTCACGAGGTAGGGCCAGCAAGGCCTGGTCAGGGTGGCCATCTTGACCAGGAACAAGGCAAGGCGCAAGAAGAGAAAAGTGGTCTCGCTGTGCTCCTCGGCAAAGTGGGCGAGGTAGTGCTGTGCCACGAAGCCCCGGTGGCGGACTTCGCCAAAGAACGTCGTGGGAGGGGCCATCAGCAGAGGCGGGCTCCTCGGCGGGGAGGGCGCTTCAGGGCTCGTGGAGAGGGTGTGCTCTGACGGCCGCCGCTCCAGCGCGGAATAGTCATCATGGTTCGCAGACAGCGCCGTAGCCGTAGCCCTGTACCGGGCCGTCTGTGCCCCGGGATGTGTTTGCAGGCTGCTCTGTGCTGCTGCTGACTGCGCTGATTTCCGGGGCGAACCGGGCACGATGGTGCCAGAGAGATCCTCCTGCGACGAGGACGAGACCTTGGCTTGTTTTGTTGGATCTCCTTGAGACTCAGCAAGAGTGCCATTCTGGTTGGGATGAGGCATATACAGACCTGGCACTGGCGTGCTAGGGGCCATGGGAGAGTCCAGGTTCTGGACCCTGCGGCTCTGGAAACCTCGAGTCGGGCTGGCGCTTCTAGCACCCCGCGCGACTCCATCGAGACTCGACTCGTTTTTAAGAGCAGTCAGGACCTCGCTGGCGCTTGGCCGATCTGCGGGGTTGACAGACAGCAGTTTCTTGAGCAGCTGGTAGAGCTTCCCTGGCAGCTCGGGCCTCTCGCGCCTCTCGTCCTGGAACCCTTTCCAATCAGTGATCTCGGCACGCAGCAGGTCGATATCTTCGAGCTCTTCCTGGATGGCGTTGGCGCTCTGGTATGGAAGCCGGCCGAAGCACATAAAGTAGAGAATCATGCCCAGAGAGAATATATCAGACTTGGTCGTGAAATTCCCGTAACGCCCGCTTGCGTCTCTTCTCAGCACCTCTGGGGCGCAATATGATATGGTGCCCGTGGAGCCGGTTGACTTGCGCACGGCGTTCTCTGGCTGGACCTCACCAAAGTCGCTGATCAGGCAGATGAGGCTCTTGCCCTCCCGATGCAGAAGGCAATTGCTGGGCTTCAGGTCGCGGTGGATGTAGTTCGCGGCGTGCAGGTAGGCGAGTCCGGCGGTGATGTCGCGGAAGAGCGAGTAGATCTCCTCGAGGGGCAGCTGGCGTTGGCCGGGAAAGATATCCTGAGTCCGTTCGATCTGGCCCTTGGATCTCCGGCGCATCTGTGCCTTGAGCTCTTCCTTGGTTGTCTCCTTTGGCTGGTCACCTGCTACGTAGTGTAGGAGATCCCCGCTGTTGCAGTATTGCTGCAGGATAAACGCGCAAGCGACGGGCGGGCCAAACCGTGTGAGTCGGACATCCTCGAGCCATACGTGGCGGTAGGAGACAAGATTCGGGTGGGAAAGCTTGGCGAGAAGCTCGACTTCGATCAGGACTGCGTGGTGTGAGGTCAGCGCTGGAAATACAAAGGGCTGTGTGACGAGAGAGAGACGAACCCTTCTCGAGCCAGGCATGATCATCGCCTACGGGGACTCTCTTGCAGGCAAAGTGCCCAAGATGGCAGCCATCGATCTCGTGGCGCACCAGAAGCACGATTCCCTTGCCACCCCGGCCGAGCTCCCGTTCCTCTACAAAGAATGTCTTGAAATAGCGCGGGCTGAAGGCCTCTCTCCTGATGCGGCTGCCCTCGTGCACGTCCGGGGTACTAGATATGAACTCGGCTTCCTCTTCGATGTGCTGCACAGGAGCGGCCGCGCCCTGCTCGTCTTGAAAGAACGGCTGGACGAGCCGTCGCGTGGGGCTGGCAGGAGGGGCTCTGTCTGGGCGCTCGAGGCCATGTCCGGCCCGCAGCATGCGAAAGTAGTCTGGGTCGACAAAGGATTCTTGATGGGAGGGCGCGTCGTAGGAGCGCTCTGGCGAGGAGGGACGGAGAGGCTGGTGGCATGTTGGACAGGCCGTCAGGCCTCGGATCTCGAGTCTCTGGGACGACGGGTCGCGAACGACGATGGCATCATGATGGCGCCTACATTCGAGATTTTGTCAGTGCAGCTCTCGAGCGCCCAGGAGGGCTTCTGAAATAAGTTGTTGGATTCTGGCAAGCCAATGCAAGCTTCCTCGCGGCGCGGTACAGGACGGATTTTCAGCAGATCGTGTGCATCATATGACGTACGTACAGGACAATCTCACGGCCCTCGCGTGGATGGTACGGCACCAAGGACAGCGACATAGCTGATCAAACAGCCCGAGTCGATGGCACTATCGCAGCTCTTGGTCAAATAAGTCCATGACAAGCTTCTCAAGCGGGTTGGTGTCGGCTGGGGAAGTAACGCTGGTGTTTTGTGGTGCTGATAGAAATTGTCGATGCTCGCGATGCATCTTGAACTTTGGATTGATAGCAATGCTGTTATGCCACCTATCGGCAGTAGTTACTCCTAGGGGCCCATCATATCATCCAGTATTGCCCCGCATTCACACCACCACTGGTGACCTCACCCGGGTCCAGCTTTCAGGGGCTGCAACCACTAAGCGGCCGCTAGACAAACGGGCCGCTGGCTGCCAATCAAGCCCGTCAAGGTTGGAGACTGACTGGCGGATGGATCGAGTCAATTGACAAACAAACAAACAAACAAGCCTCAAGAACGATGTCCTGACGGCTTTTTAGATTGTGTGTTTGTTGACTAATGGTGAAATTATCTGAATAAAACCTTGGTCTCTTATCAAGTGATATTGGAAGATGCTAGTTTAGGTAGTTGATTACTCTCATTGAATTACTAAGTTGTTGTCTTTGGGATATCACGATAATGCAGGCAAATGCAACAAATGCGACCATTAAATCCAAACCAGCTCAACTCTTCCGGCTCAATCCATCCATCCCACCCTCTTTCCCTCTCTCCCACACACAATCCCCTAATAGGTAAACATGCGCACGCCCTCGCCCCCGCCCGTCTCGAGGCGGATCGCCCGGTTCCGCCGGCCGTAGTAGACCCTCAGCAGCACGGCCCCGGCGGCGACCATGAACAGCAGCGCCGCGTTGACCCAGTGGCCCGTCGGGTAGCCCCGCGCCGCCTCGTCGGGCCTGTAGATCCACACGCCGACGATCTGGCCCGGCGCGCCGCCGAGCCCGACGTTGAGCGCGATGGCGAGCCCCACGGACCCCGTGCTGAAGATGTTGGACGACAGCCAGCCCAGCAGCGGCGGGATGCACGAGAAGGCGCCCGCCGCCGCGACGACGAGGCACCCGTACCGCCGGCCGTACGCCGCGGGCGGCAGGCACGCCGAGGCCGCGAACCCGCAGGCGCCCACGGCCGCCAGCAGCGCCGCGTGCAGGCCGCGCGCGTTGGTGCGGTCCGCGGACCAGGCCGTCAGGATGGACACGGCGTAGGCGACGGCGTACGGCGGGACCGTCATGAGCTGCGCGCGGAGGTCGACGTAGCCGAGCCCCGCGGTCAGGGACGGCGTGAAGAGCGAGAGCGAGCTGAAGGGCGTCGAGATGCCAAAGTAGACGAGGTAGTGGCCGTACAGGCGCCAGTCGGCCAGCGTGGTGCGGGCGTCCTGCCAGGTGATGGAGTGGTGGCCCTTGCTGCCCTCGGTGTGCAGGCGCTGCGCGGCGAGGGCCTTCTCCTCCTGCGACAGCCACGAGGCGAGCTCCGGGTAGTCGGGCAGCGCGAAGAGCACGAAGAAGGCGGCCACGCAGGAGGGGGCGCCCTCGATGAAGAAGAGCCAGCGCCAGCCCGAGATGCCCTTGGCCTGGTTCATGTGGCCCACGCCGTAGGCGATGGCGCCGCCGAAGGCGCCGGCCAGGGTCGCCGAGGCTAGGATGATGGCGACGCGGACGCTGCGCTCGTGGGTCCGATACCAGAAGGTGAGGTAGTAGACGAGGCCCGGGAAGAGGCCGGCCTCGAAGACGCCCAGGATGAAGCGCAGCCCCGTGATGGTCGGGTAGTTGTTGGCGGCGCCCAGGCACAGCGAGATGGCGCCCCACGAGAACATGAGGAAGGCGATCCACCGCGACGGCCTCAGCTTCTTGAGCAGGATGTTGGACGGCACCTCGAAGAGGCCGTAGGCGACCAGGAAGATCATGAGCGCGATGGTGTACTGGTAGTTGGTCATGTGCGTCTCGGTCATCATGTCATGGTGCGTCGACGAGTTGAGGATCTTTGCGTTGCCAATGTTGGACCGGTCCAGGTTGCACAGGAAGTAGATGACGGCCGACAAGGGGACGATGCGGAGGTCTTGCCTCCATACCAGCTTCTTCTCCGCGACCGGGTCGATGCGGCCCGGGGAAGGGTAGACCTGTATGGGATGAAGCCGACCGGTCAGTCTGTCTTTCCATACCGCCCCCCCTCGGCCATGTCACCGATACGGAAATCACCAGTGCATGGACAGACACACAAAACACGCACCTCGTTGGCAGCTCCCTCCACGAGATCGCCATCCTCGTTGAGGGTCGGCTGACCCAGTACTTCGGCGGCCTTCATCGCGGAGTGCTGATAGGAATACACGTCCGACATTGAGTCGAACGAGAGGGGGGGGGAGAGGTGCGAAAGGGTTGGATTCGCGACCGCACGTCGGGCAGGCTTTGTAGGGATCGGCGCCCTCGCCCGCATTCACACCGACCGCATTGCCATTACTCGACAGCCAGCAATCGACTGCAGATGCAGGAAAAAGCCGACGCACAGTAGCATTCTGGGTGGGCAGCCGGTTTTATCAGGGCTGGTGGTGTGCAGCTTGGCCAGGAAAGCCACCGGTCCCCGTCACCCCTGCAGCAGCTCAGCTCGCTGAGATGAGAGAAGAGAGGATGTCCGCTGTTTCCTGCCACCCGGCGCAGAACCCGACGGCGCAGACCACGAGGTCAGCGGCGCGCCATGGACGCATCGGGGATGGAGTGGGTGGCAACACACCACCAATGTCGACTGGCTAGGGCCGCAAAGAGCTTAGAGCAGCCGGGGTGTAATTGAGCAAAGTGGATGTGTCGACGACAAAACAAGCCTGCTGTGCCTGCGGCTTGCCTTCATGGGAAAGGTGTCTTTCAGCTGCATCTTCCTTCCCGGCTTCCCCTGCCGGCATCGCAGCACTCAAGGCAGGTCGGATGCAAAATCCAGTAAGTCGGTGGATGGATTCATCTATCATGTAGGTACCAAGAGGTCAAACTACATCAATTGGCTGCTGTCAAGAAATCAAGCATAGTTATAAGCAAATGCGACAACACTGCAACTCTCCATTCAAGCTCACTTCTCCATCTCTGGGTATGGTATGGGGAGGGACTTCTCATCCGTCGAAAAAGATCACACAATCCGATCAAAGGAATACAACCAAGCCGAGACAATCAACGAAACCAAGTATCCATCCTCCCCACCCTCCCCAATCTAACATCAAGAGTAGTTCCACGCAAAGAACAGCCGAGGCAGCCACTTGGGCGCGACGTTGACCGTCACGTTCCGCACCTCGCACCGGGCCTGCACGCCGGGCCCGCCGCGCCGCCCCCGCCAGTCGGCCGCGCCCTCGAGCACCTCGTCCAGGAACGCCAGCGCCCCGCCCTGCCCGTTGAACAGCTCGGCGTCGTGCCCGCCCGCCCCGTTGCGGTGGTACAGCACGTCGGCGCCGTTGCCGCAGTACCGCGCGACCAGCGCGTCCGTCTCCGCGACGGCCGAGAGCTCGTCGCCCACGGCCTTGTACACAAAGACGCGCATGGGCGGCGTGCCGTGGTAGCCCATGACGCCGTCGTCGTCGAGCATGCGCCGCATCACGGGCGCGGCGAGGTCCGCCGCGCCGCCGACGAAGTAGTCAAAGATGTTCTGCGAGCCGAACAGCGCGGCCGCCTGCACGCCCGTCAGCCGCGAGGCGGCCAGGAAGGTCGACGCGTTGTGCGGGCCCGTCGTCTTGAGGCGCCGCATCAGCCAGGCCCAGGCGTCCGGGTGCTGGCTCGCCATGCCGATGAGCCCCGCCGGCATGAGGCCCGCCGTGTCCTTGCGGTTGATGAGGGCGCCCACGCTCGAGACGTTGGGCGTCAGCCCGCCCAGCGCGGCGCCCGCCCAGCGCATGTGCGGCGCGTACTGCACGGCCAGTTCTGTGGGTGGTAAAAAGACCAAGGGTGGTGTCAATAACGGTGCATCTCGGCCACTTTCCAACAATAGAGAGAGGCCCTTGGGAAAGTTGGAGGTAGCGACGGGAAGACGGAAGAGAGAAGGAAAAAGAAACATACCGGCCGCCCACTCGCTCGCCAGCGCGCCGCCCGAGTACCCCCACAGCGCGACCCGCGTGGGCTGCCCGCCGCCGAGCCCGAACGCCGGCCCCACGCCCTGCAGCACGGCCCGCACGCCGTCGATGGTCGCGTGCCCGGCCATCCCCCCGGCCGTGAAGCTCGCCTTGGGGCCCTCGTAGTCCGGCACGGCGACGAACCAGCCCCTGCGCAGCGCGAGCCCGATCTCGCCGTACGGCTCGCCCATCCGCAGCGCGAAGCTCGGGCTCGCGTCGACGTTGCACGAGTCGTAGGGCAGCTGGTACGACACCAGCGCCTCGTGGCGGCTGTAGTACCCTCCCTTTCTGCCCTTCTGCCGCTCCGCGCGCGGGCCCGGCCGCGGCACGAAGAGCGTCGTCACCGCCCACGTCGGGTCGAAGTGGCTGTCGGTCGTGCGGAAGAGCACCTGGTAGGCCGTCCAGGCCGACGGGACGGCGAAGGCCATGAGCGGCGCGTGCCGCACCCGCAGGACGCTGCCGGGCCGGGTGAGCCGCCAGCCCGGCGGGGCGCTGTACCACGGGTCCCGGCTCGGCGGCAGCACGGCGGCGTGGGCGTCGGCCGTCGTGTTGAAGGCGACGCTGTCGCCCTGGACGACAAAGTCTGCGCTGCTCGAGGCGAGCAGCGCCTGAGACAAGAGGAGGAGAAGCAGCGGCAGGGCTGCTCTCCTCAGGAGCGCGAGGGATGACGTCGTGAGCATCATCATGGGTGTCGTTGGCTGGCGCTGTCGCATGACAAATGGCCCGCAGCGGCGTCCTGGTCTTCCTCGAGAGAAGGGACGGGATGTGTCGCAAACCAGGTGATTTCGTCGTCTGTATGTACTCTCGCTTTGGCTGCCGTGGCCTGCGCATTAGCGAGTCGTCATATAGGTGACTGCCGAAGGGCCGCGAGTCCTGAACAGCGCCCTCGGAATAATTACCCGGCACTCGCATAGATTAAAACTGATATACATTGACCTTGGCGGTCACCATACCTCCCCCAGATTTTGAATGCCGGCCTCTTCTTCAAGTGCGAGGGATCTTATCACAATCTTGTGTGTGCAACAAGTAAGGGAAGAGCGAGCACAGGAGGAGGTGGCGCATGGGCAGTCTGGTATCAGCCTTCAGTCATCAAGTTCGTTGGTATTGTCTTTTAAAGAGATGCACTCGGTCGCCAAGACATTTAATACAGAAAAAAAGACATTTGTAACCAAATGGCTGCAATTAATGCAGAATATCGGAAAAAATACATCCCTTTGATCAAAACGCCGGCTCGCACGTCTCTGCGAGTCTTGTGGTGAGGCGACACGGAATCGGTGTCAAAAGCTCACTTAACTAGCACCAGAGAGAAGATGCATATCCCATGATCCCATCCCACCCCATCGCCACACACACCTCCTGTTCCTTACACACACACACACACAAACAAACACATATTCCGCGCTCATCTATAGCCTCGCCTCCTCCTTCCCGCTCCAGCTGACGGCCGTCCTCTTGGCCACGGTGCCGCTCTTGGTCAGCACCTTGCGCCGGCCGCCCGTCGTCAGCGGCGCGTCGTCGTCGCGCTCGCGGATGTAGTACGCCCAGTCGGCCGTGTCGTCGAGCTCGGTCTGCGAGTAGCCGTTGCCGAGCCACGCGAAGCGGTTGCCGACGTAGCGGACGTCGAGGTCCTCGAGGCGCAGCTCCTTGACGGCCTCGATGTAGTGCAGCGCGCTGCCGGGCCACAGGGCGACGATGGGCCCGTCGGGCCGGGACTTGTACCACGAGCGGCAGGGGTCGGCCCAGACGGTGCGCCGCATGAACCAGTCCTTGTAGGCGACAAAGTCCTTGACGGCGGCGCGCGTGGGCGCGACGGTGGCGATGTTGTGCACCTGGAAGTGGTCGATGACCTTGCAGATCCAGTCGGCCTGGGCCTCGATGGCGCACAGCACGGGCCCGTTGCCGATGGGGCAGTTGGGCCCGAGGAAGATGAAGTAGTTGGGGTAGCCGTCGGCGGCGAGGCCGAGGTACGACTCCGGGTCGGCGGCCCACTTGTCCTGCAGGTTCTCGCCGGCCGGGTTGACGACGGGGAAGCGCGGCTTGAAGGAGGTGTCGAAGCCGGTGGCGCAGATGAGCACGTCGACGGGGTACTCCTGGCCGTTGTCGCAGAGGCAGCCCTTCTCGGTGACCTCGCTGATCTCGCCGTAGACGACCTCGACGTTGGGCTTGGTCAGCGACTCGAGGTAGTTGACGCCGGGGGTCAGGCGGCGGCAGCCGACGGCCCAGTCCGGGATCAGCTTGCCCTCGAGGTAGGCGTTGCCCAGCTTCTCCTTCATCTGGGCCATCATGTACTCGGTGGTGTCCTTGTTGATGGCGTTGTCCTTGAGGAAGATGCCGAACTGGGCGTTGAGGCCCGTCTCGATGCCCTTGCGGTACTCGGTCAGGGCGCCGGGCTTGCTGGCGAACTCGCTCTTCTCCTGGTCGGAGAACTTGTGCTGCTCGAGGCCCTGGACGGGCGAGACCCAGGTGGGCTCGCGGATGAAGGTGGTCACCTTCTTGCACTTTTCCCGGATAGCGGGGAGGACTTGGATGCCGGAAGAGCTGTGAAGAAAGAAAGGGGGGTTGGGCAGGTCAGCATGACGAACCTTTTCTAGTGAGTTTTCCGTTTAGGAATGCAAAGACTTACCCGTTGCCGATCAGACCGACGTGTTTGCCCTCGAGGGAGACGCTGTCGTCCCAGTTTGCCGTGTGCAGCAGGGTGCCCTTGTACTTGTTGAGGCCGGGGATGGCGGGCCACTTCCAGTTGTTGAGGATGCCGCTGGCGTTGATGAGGATGTCGCAGTGGTCGCTGACGATGACGCCGTTGGCGAGGTCGCGGATCTTGACGTCGTAGCCGCCGATGTTGTGGTCCCAGTAGGCGCCGATGACCTGGTGGCGGGTCTTGATGTACTTCTTGAGCTGGTACTTGTTGGCAAAGCCGTCAAAGTAGTCAAAGATCTCGTTGGCCGGCGGGTAGACGGCGGACCAGTCGAGCTTGGGCTCGAAGCTCCAGGTGTAGTTGTGCGAGGGCACGTCGCAGGCACAGCTTGCGCCAAGTCAGTCGCCAATGCCCACTTTCTCTCTCTCTCTCTCTCTTTCTCGACAAGAACGGGGTTTTGCTAGGACTACGCATGACTTACCCGGGGTACTTGTTCTCGTACCACGTGCCGGCAACTTCTGGGTTCTTCTCGTAGACGGTCAGGCTGAAGTTGTTGAAGTGCTTCTGCATCTTGTATGCAAAGAGGAGGCCGGAGGCGCCGGCTCCGATGCACACGACACGGACGTGCCTCTCGGCGTGGATGGGGCCCTCCAACCGCTGAGCGGCATCCTTCTCCAGAGGAGTTGCCGTCGGCAACAGGACGTCGGCCATAATGTGTGCGGGGGGAAGAGGAGAACGTGTGCGAAGATTAACGGGTGAGTGTTTGTGTGTGAAGGCCTGGGAGAGGGACACACACAGAGAGAGAGAGAGAGATAGGGAGAGAGAGTATGATGTTGAGGGTGAGTTGAGATGAATGAAGAACAGACTCCAAACAGGAAAGAAAGGACTGGTCGTTTGGGAGGCGGATTTCTAGATATACTTGGCGACTCGAGGGTCGGGAATGCTTAACCTACAGCAGTTTCTGCACATCGGGTTGCGGGCAGCTCTGGTGGAGATGGTGCACCAGGCACAACTCCAGGGCTTAGAAATGCACACACATATGGGGATCTCAAGCAAGGCTAGTGTCGTTCACAATGTCGCTGTATCAGACCATGGACATGCGATCTCTAGGGAAATCCCTGAAGCGGGGGCGTTCCTACAGAGTCCATGACAGCTGGGGCAGTCTGGACAGAGAGCAGGCAAGCAAGCATGCAGGCAGGCAGGAATACTGCTGGTCCAGACGACACGTGTAGTGCGTGGGCAGAGGGGCTAGCACGACAGGCACCACCGAATAGCTTCGACCGGGGAACGGCATTGTGTGGCATGGCAGTGGGCAAAGGTGGTGGAGGCAGGGAGATCCGGTGCGTTACGAAGCAGAGAGCGAGAACGCGGGGGGGCGGATCTGGGGATGGAAGGGAGAGCGAGCAACATGAATCAGGGAGCGGGTGAGAATGGGGAACTCATGACAAGTGCACCTTGATGCTAGGGAGCTCAACGGAAACAGGATATCTCGTGCGGCAACGGTGGACAGTGGAAGCTAACGTTAGTCCCAGGGCCAGGGCGAGGATTTGAAAAGAGAGTCCGAGGAGGGTGGACTGGACTTTTGAGGGTCTGGTCCCCTGTTAGTTGGCATCTCGAGTCAAAGAAATCCGGTCGGGTGGGGGGGCACTGGTCAAGAGGAGGGCAGAGGAGAGGAGAGGAGAGGAGAAAGGGACCAAGCCAACATCCATCCATCCATCCATGTGCCACTAAGGGTCGCATCGCGGTCTAATGGTGTGTCGCTGTGTTTTGCGGTGATTGAACTGGTTTTTGGGTTGGGGTAGCAGTGCAGAGTGTAGGTAGGGAACACGGGTGGTGTGTGGAGAAAGTTGGGGTAGACGTGCCAGTGACGCTACTGAATAATCTCCCCCCTCCCCCCCAGGACTCGACGCTGCGTGGCGGTGGTGCCGGGAAAAGTCAACCGGCTGTAACCCTGCGAGCCCTGCACGCTGTGTGTCAGTTACCGACAACGAGCCATGGACTCGGTCGGCTATCTTTCGAGGGTCCAACCCTGGGAAGATCTGCGCCCATCAGCGGGCGTGCCGAGTCACCGCTGCGCATCTAGTGCCGTGCTAATTGATCCTTCCACCGAGCCTCCTAAGGTACCTATAAGCAGCATTTGATCATGCCCCTGAACGACCAGCGTTTGCGGGGGGGGGGGGGGGGGGGGGTTTTTTTCAGCGTTTGCA